GATCCCTTTCTCATGTTCGACTAAGGTGGACTGGAGATATAGATGAATCAGGTCCACGAATCCAGCAACGGAGACACCGGAGGAATTCTGAAAATCCACAGCTCCGTGCTCAAAGATGGCGTCGGAGATTGAGGCAAGCAAAGCGGTAGGATCTAGATTGAAATACATGTCTTCTATGTCAAGTGAAAAAATAGAGTGGGGCAAGGAGAAGAAATGTTGGGAACTGATGACAGAGATGAGTTCTATTGAGTTAGACACTCTAAAGGGTTGAGGGAGGTGGATGCAGGACAGATGCTTTTGTAGAAAGAGCCCGAGCTGCTTCTGCCAACAACCTTTCTCCGACACAATACTTCGGAGGGGTACTCCGGTCTTATGTGTTTTTGCAGTAAAGAAAACTGAAAGGTACTGCTTCGCTGGACTACTAATGGCGGTTTTTAGGGACGACAGATTCAAAGACGAGCAGAGTTGTTTAGCTCTTGACCTGAGGGTCCCAGACGGTCGCGATTTCAGTTTGAGAAAGTTCTTTGAAAGGACAGCGTTCACCTTATCTCCAAAATCTCCCTCTTCTAACACAACAAACACACCCGTCTTATCGGATTCTAACAGCTTTAGGTGTTCTTGACGAAGCTCTTCAACAGCGGTGAGTAGAGAGATCTTGCCTGGCTTGGGGGGTGGGTGGAAGCACACGGCGCGGATGGCGGAGCCGAGGAAATCTTGCCTCTGTGGTTCTGGGATGGCGGCGGCGACTTGATGAACTGAGGCGAGTTGATCAACCTTCTTAGTGGGAAGGTCTGGGGCGAACTTGGGGCCTTTGGAGAGCAATTCCATGGTGTCAGACGAGATAGCAGTTTTGCACAACAGGACTGGCGGTTCAAACTTCGTCTCGTTCAGCTCACGGCAGGAGGCAGTCACTCCAGCAATCACTTCTTTCCATGAAGCTTCAAGGAGGCGAGAAGCTGCGTCGACGATGAACAGGTACGAAGGATGCGAGCGGAAGCCAGCGCCAAACAAGTTCGTCATGCGGCTGGGAAGGACCCTCCCCAGAAGGTGGAGCTCTAGGGATATTTCTTTCCTCGATATCTGCATGATGCGGTAGCTGGAGGACCAGTTGTTACAGTGGAATCCAAGGACGGAGGCCACTCCAGGATGAGGGAGGTTCTTGCGTAGGTGCAGACCGAGCGAGCGGAGCCTTAGACGGAGCAAACTCATTCTTGAGATGAAGCAAGCAGCCTCGAAGAAGGAAGCCGGGTTGAAGATCAGTGGCTCGCAGTTTGGACTGGCACAGTACATAGCTCAGAAAAATAGGTATGCTTGGTAGAAGAGCGTGTTGGTTTAAGTCATGGATGAAGAAAGAATAAACAATTAAAACAGGGACAACACAACCACATCTTTCAACTAGCAACAGACGAGTAAACTTTCAACAGCGAGCAGCCGACTATACCCAGTAGGAGTAGGGGAGAGAAGGGGGAGAGAAGGAAAGATAAAACACGCGAAGTGCAAGTCAGGGTGGTAGGGTTATCTCGGATTTTAAAAATTCAACCTCAGTTTTCGTCAGCAGGAGGGAAGGGTTTGACACGTTGTGTTTTGCTGTGGTCATGGCGAATGATTCTATTGGCGAATTCGCGTGGTCAATAGTCGGCAACTTATTTTGCCGGAAAGCCGGCAATAGTGTTCGCGTGGTCAGTTTCCGGCCGGCGCGCACCGTTCGGGTGGTGGTTCTCCGGCAAGCACCGGCAACTTTCCGGCGCTTTTTCCGCCCGAGCTCTGAACGGCCGGGCGAGTGGGCGCCAGACTGTATCCGGTGTCTTCACTTCCGAAATGAGAGAGAAGGTCGGTGAGAAAAAAATGAACGAAAGAACGAAACTGATCTGAAGTAACTTTAGCAGCCGCTACGAAAGTCAATCCAAGTCGCTGGGACATGAGTGACGGCGGCGACAGGCTCTCGCTAGCGGTGTCCCGCGTGCAAGAGGCGAAGTAAACTGCCACCATCTGGCGTTTCGTGTTCGGGTGGCGAGGGTCACGTGGTGTGCCGCCGGCGCGTTTCTGGTTGCCGGTTCCGCCGGCTCGTTCTCGCCGGCAACTGACCACCCGAATTCGCCATAAGATTTCCCTGCCGAATCTACTGTCATGCCCCCCAAGGATTTTTGTGTCATCAAAGAGGGAGATGACACAAAAATCCTTGGGGGGCATGACAGTAGATTCGGCAGGGAAATCATAGAATCATTCGCCATGACCACAGCAAAACACAACGTGTCAAACCCTTCCCTCCTGCTGACGAAAACTGAGGTTGAATTTTTAAAATCCGAGATAACCCTACCACCCTGACTTGCACTTCGCGTGTTTTATCTTTTCTTCTCTCCCCCTTCTCTCCCCTACTCCTACTGGGTATAGTCGGCTGCTCGCTGTTGAAAGTTTACTCGTCTGTTGCTAGTTGAAAGATGTGGTTGTGTTGTCCCTGTTTTAATTGTTTATTCTTTCTTCATCCATGACTTAAACCAACACGCTCTTCTACCAAGCATATTATTTCCGGCTTCTGGTTGGCCCCATTCGAATTTGTGATGACGCACTGCAACACGCTCAGCCCGCTTTCGGCCAATGGCGCTCCTCATTCGTCTCCTTTACTTCCCAACGAATGGCCAAACTCTCTACATTTACGGCTCTGCGACAGCCAATCGCGAATGATCGCTTCCGCGCGCGAATCGCACACAGTCGAAAATCAGTCCGCCGTTGATTGTTGTTGTTAATAACAACAACAACAACAACAACATAATAATAATAATAATAATAATAATAATAATAATAATAATAATAATCTTGAATGAGTCAGGAGAGCCGCAGCTCCGCGGAAAGGCGACAGCCCGCACCACAGAGACGCGCGCGGTGCCCCGATTTCCGTCCGATTCTCTGTCCCTTTTTTTGTATCATGCGGTTTTTTTTGAGCTTAAAAATGTTTTGTGCCAAGCTCACTTTTTTTTTTTGTTTTTTGTATTGCGCATACGTGATCGCTTGCGTGTCTTGATCAACCGCAGTAAATTGGTTACCAATGATCCGTGGTTTTCTATTTATTTTTTTTAGGTATGAGAAGTTTATGCTTGGAAAGTATTATCTGTTAGACTGATAATTTATTTGTTTAAATAATAACCATGCCTCATTAATTCTCCTCGGCAAAGCATTAAAACGATAAAAAAAAATTATTACGAAGCTCGGAAGTGATCCTTTAATATGGACACCTGGCATTATGGACGAAATTTTCGGGGACCAAACCTTCGCGAATTCTAATTCTAAACAGAATTAGCATAATCCCGTCATGGGCCACGCGACTGAACCAGGGTGTGTCGATATTTCGTCAAATGTGACCAGTCTCGAAAAAGGTCTGTCTCAGGCCGAAACGTCGACGAACTTTACGAATAATATGTTTTAAAAACTCTAATAACCGTCTGAAGTGCGTCTTCTGCCATATATACTTTTCGTCATCCTGCGCTACGCTTTTTTTTTTTCTTTTTTTCTTTTTTTCTCTCTCTCTCCTATATATACTTTTTTTTTGTCATGGAATAAATGCTGTGTTACGGCATCTGCTATCGGTACGCCACAAAGTCGTCTAACGTATTAACAAAGCCATCCTGTGCTGCGTGCATGCGTGACGGTCCGCTGTTGCGGGCGCTTCGTGCATACTAGGTGACAACTCGTCACGCAACGACGAGCCTGATGCTGTTTCAGGAGCTCCACGAACCGCCGAAATCGCTCTTCTTGGCGCAACATTCGCGAAAGAGGTGACTCCTTCCTCCAAAAAGAGATTACTGAAGAGCGCAGTCAGACTGCCCATACACAATGTCCATTGCAGACGTCAAATATCACACGCATGTTTGCTCCCAACATGTCTGGAAGACGTGTGCAGACAGCTTTTGTACCACCAATGTTCACACGAGGAAGAAACACCCCTCAGTGTCATGTAGACTGTCTTTTGTATTAGCAGTGTTTAACACATTCCAAAAGTTAGGCGATCTAATTGCGGCGAGGGTAAAAAGTGAGTAGTCTGACAGTTTCGAAACTGCCGCGCCAAACGTTGTTTACCCCCTGTCGCGGGATAAATCCTATAGTAAGCTGTGCAACATTCCTGTGCCGAGTCGGGCAAAAAGCGCGTGGCGAGAACTCGCTCAAAAATGGTCCCCACTTACGTGAATGAGTGTGACAAGTGCTGTGCCGCAAACACCCGAAGCAGACGACAAGACGGGTCGGAGCAGACGACGCGTTTACGCGAGTGCTTCCAAGCACGACGGATGCCGCCGGTGCCTTCTCATCGCGATGGAAATGACGTAACTCGGTCTAAAAGCAGACGCGGCGGCCAAAACAACGCGCTGTCACGAGCGGCCGCTCGCTACCAGACAGCTCTTTTTCACGAGCAAGCGAGCGTTCTAAAATGCGTCAAATTTCTTTTAATATTTGAAAAGGCTTTCTACTAAGGAGATTTCTGACTAGAAGCTGGTTGAGAGTGGCTGTTTGAGGAGTAAACAAGTTAGCTGAATTTGAGACATGCTGTGTCTGTTCCTTCAACTTTTTTTCCCTTTTCTTCACCACAGTCTCGAGTGGTCAGCGACATGATTAGGCGCCCCCAGCTCATCTGCAACATACAACGCGCGATGACGAAGCAGCCAAGCTCGCCTCGTCATTGCTCGAGGTCGGGGGGGGGGGGGGGGGGGGGGGGGGGGGGGGTGGAGAGAGAGGGGAGGGGTAGGGGGAGGGGGGGAGGGAGGGAACAAACGCACGTGCGGGCATTTCAGGGGTAAACAAACCTTCCTCGTTCAAACAAACTGACAAGGTGCGCAAGGAGCAGACGGACTTGTATGCCGTCCGCACCGCGTTTTCTTGTTTTTTTTTTTTTTTTTGCTGAGTCAGCGTGCGTGGCTTGACTCGCTGCTGTCTGCATGCCTCAGCTTTTGTTCCCACGCTCTTCTTGTACGTCGCTGTAGTTGTTGACATCTTTCCTGCGTGTTTTTTTGCAGGTCGGGAAGAGAAAGTTAAGCGGATCCGCAACCTTACGGGATTCTGGTGAGTCGATCATGCCGTCTTGTCTGACTCGAGATACGGCGCCAGATAATAACGCGTGCATTTTTTTTTATTTTTTTATGCGTGCGCAACACTTCATCGACTAGCGATGGGCCGCGAAGCCCGGCCACGTAGTTAAAGGGCAACTCCGCTTCATTTTTGGTTTTGAAAAAACAATGCAGTCCTCTTCAGTATCGCCTAGGAAGACCACACGTCAAATATTACGACGCAGTTCTGTCTAAATGCTTCTTAAACGGTCCGGCAAACTTTGCAACTCGCCAAGTTGCCGAAATCGGCTGGCTCGAGCGGGCGAATTCAGGCGCAACCAACAGCGCAGTCAAGGCTACGGCAAGGGCGGAGCCAACATTGAGCTAAACGTCATCACCATGGCCCCCTTTTGCTTGTTTTTACTTCTCCGATCGAGCGTAGCGCATGACGTCAGCAACGTTGCCTCTCGGCGCTCAGCGGTGTCCACGTGATTGGCGTACGCGCCTGCGCAGCGCGCTTCTTGGGAGCAGACCAACCGCCCGTCGTGGTCCCGCCGTTACCGCCGTCTTCCGCGTCACAACCACCGTCGTCGTCTCACCGTTTGTGATTATTGCCTCTCGGAGTTTCGTCCACACTATGGACACCACATGCGCAGAGTCTCAGACTTATGCCGCAGTTGTGCAGACATCATCAAATGCCGTAGACACCAAAACGTGGCGAAGAGTGCGATGCAGACGACACTCCCGCCTGCCGCACGCGGCACACCCGCCCCCATCCCGCCAGTCGTTGGGCCGAGGATCACGTGACATCTCGTACCACGTGATGGCCATGTACTTGGCGGCCCGAGGCCAATGTTGCCGGACGGAGCCGAAGTTTCGGTTTCGATTTCCGCTCGTGTTTAAAATTAGATTTAAAAATATATATCCCATTTTTCGCGAAGCAAACGACGTAGTGTCTTTTACTAGGGCTTTTTAATTCGAAATCACTCATTATCCCGTCGGAATTGAGCGGAGTTGCCCTTTAACAAATCCGGCATGTGGGATGAATGAAAAAAGCAAGGAGTTACAACCTGGAACTAGTAATTAAAAGAATATAGAAAGGACGAACCAAGAATTAGACCTGTAACTCTCAAGTTTTGAACAGACCCCCTGGCGAGAAACATTAGATATTTTTAGGTATTGCCTTATGAATAGTACAATAGGGATTGTAGCGTCCCGCCTTCAGCTCCTGCATTGTTTTCTGATATAAAAATTTAGGTTCGCCATCCCTTTAAAAATATCTAATGAAAGTATGGAAGAATTTACATAATGTATGAATAATGATGACGCTTGATAAAAAAAAAGAAGTGATTTAGGGAGCGATTAAGCGCATACTAAAACCACATTCATATATTAAAACCGTGCAACTACCAGTGATTTATTGGAAATTAATTCCAGTATTATGTTAGGCCCTGCGAGTTTGTTTAGTAAGACTGGGAGGCTATATGTAATGGACTCATTCCCATCAAACTGTTCTACAAAATGAGATGTTACACTTTTCTGTTTTTCTTGTGTTTTACTTTGCAGAGTTTTATTCTCAGTTTGAGCAAATTAAGCACATTTTTGTTATTATTTTTATTTACCGATTTATATAGCGATAAAAGTCTAAATTTGTAAAGGGCAGTTATTGTTAGTACTTTAAAGTCGGTAAAATAATTGCTGGTGTGGGCATACCACAAGACATTTAAAATTGTATGTACAGCCCCCTAAGCGAGCGTCAGGGTATAAAGCTGGTTTGGGTTTTCGTTTGTTTTTATTTTCATGTTAATTGCTCCGGGTAAGTCACCTTTTGAGTTTTGACTGTTTAAGCAATTAAGTGTTCTTTGGCATCATGTTCATTTTGTATTTGCCCGTCCCCCACTATAATGCCCTCGCGGGCGCTGTGGGCTTATTTCAATAAATAAATAAATAAAAGAAGGTTATATTAAGCTGTTGTGCCCCACAGTGAAAGATGATATTTTAACTTGGGTAATGCAAAAATATTGTACAATGTGTTTTTTTTTAATGCAAAAGCATTAACTGTCTCATGGAGCGAGCTGACATTATCAGCTTTGAAACCACGCCAAATGGCTCTTAAATCCTTCTCCAAGTCAGGCCAGCTCCCATTGGCCGGTTAGCCACGGCACCTTTTATCCGCTTCGATCTTATTGGCTAGCGTGTGTCGACCAGGCTCCCATTCGCCGGACACACAGCGCCATGGGGTGGCCGGTCGTAGAAACTGATGCTGCGCGTCTGTTTCAACGATTGGCCACCCCATGACGCTGTGTGTCTGTCAGCGTGCCAACACACGGAGAGCAAGTACGATGTACGTGCTTTCACATTCACAACTGAAAAGAAATGCTTAGGTGTACCTCAATCCTTTTTTTTTTTTCCGTTAGTTGGCAGAAGTGCCATCAAACTATTCTCTCTGTTAAGTTTGGTTTGAACATGATTTATGTGATGTTTCCATGTTAAATACTGAAAATAAGAAACACCAAGCGTCTTTACAATGGTAACAATTTCAGTTTGGTTTGTATACAGCTAGGTAGAGGATAGTAGCAACATTTAATGGTTTGTTTTGAGGTTGAAATATGATAACCTTAATCTTGTTTATGTATGGATATGTACAAATGATGATTACAAATAGCCATAACCTAAACTCAACTATATTTAACTTCTTATATATCCACTGCATCTGGCACATACTAGTACCCCCTTGACTGCACCGGCCGTCACGGCCATTACATTTATACGGCAATACCCATAAAAAAATGGCCTCGTGGGGTCCTTTGTATTTGTATTTTCACTTTTGTCTTTGTGCAGTAGTCATAGACAATGTCACGTCTGCATTTCTTGTTCTCTACACAAATATACTTCTCAAAGGGGTGTAGAAATTTTTATATTTCATATTTTGACGCAACACTGGGACTCGTAAAGCTTATCTCATTTTGGTCGTGAATATCTGAATAAAACTTGCTTCTTTTATTTTATTTACCAAATTTTTATCTTAAAAGGGCACTAACGAGGTTTCCGAGATAGTTTATCTATGGTCATTACTCAATATATGTCCTCTAAGCATTCTAAAAAAACCAAGACTAGATTAATACAGATCAAACTTCCCTATTAAAAATAAAATCAAAGATTGCAGCATGCCCATTTTTCTGCAGTTTGGCGCAGAAACCAGGGATGCCAACGCATGTGCGACAGCCAATCGCGAGCTATCAGCTCGCGCACAACAAGAGGACCGACCAATGGCACATTGATTTTTAAACGTGCGCGATTTTCATGCAGGAAGCAATCGCTCGCGATTCGCTGTCGCACCTTCGATGGCGCCCTTTGGCGTTTGCGCAGGATCGTAGAAAAAGGCCATGTCGTGATATCAGTCTAGTTGCGGGTTTTCTAGAATGCCTGGAGCCCATAGGTTGAGTTACGAACAGAAATAGATGATCTCGGAAACCACGCAAGTGCCCCTTTAATGTTTGGCAAGTAAATTGGACGTTGATCAAACATCTGTCAAATGTACCGTAGGCCGCAGTGTTTCTTTTTTGTTTTTCAAAGTGGAGGTGTCCTGTACTTTAAATGCTTCCATGTTTGTGCCAGGATTCTGGGGCTGTGCAACAACTATGCCTACGTGGTGATGCTGAGTGCTGCATTCGACATCCTGAACAAGGAGCTAGGACCTCACAATGTGAGTGTGACCGTATCCCTCAAAACCTACCGAGCAATAACATTTTAGTCGTGGCCACAGTTCCCTCCTCCTGGCACTTACGGTCGGCAGGGTGTGGCGTGGCGAGGATTCGTCTACAAAGGACGCGGATGTAAGGAAGCGGTCGTTGGAGTACGTTCGTAATACTGGTGCATGTAAATCACGACGGTAGTATCAAGGCTGGTAGAAAGACGTTTGAAAGGAACCTCCTTGAAGCCTAAAGCCGCGGCGACGCTGCCGATGCATCGTACAGAAGACAACCCACTGGCATTGCCTGAGGCGTGTTCGTTGACGATCACATTGGTCGTACAAATAGCGTCTGCGGACATGTTCAAAGCATGTGTAAAGCAAACATGCTTCAAACATCCTTGCGGTGTGTCTACAGATAATGGACCTTTTTGCAGTAAGCTTCTGCGCATGCGCACACCCTCTCCCCGAACTCGCTTCTCGCCATCGCCATTTTCGGAGGGCAGGACCGACATTGTTGTCACCTGTCTGCACATATTTTGTCCTTTTCAGTGATATCGTTTGTTTTAAGCATGGGTGATACCGAGCATGAAGAGCAGTGAAGACTGATATAACGGCATGATGCAAATGTGTTCTGACGGGCGGAGGCACGTTTCACTGCCCTTCGTTTGTAGTTCACAGACGGCCCCCCAGGTGGCTCTCGTTACTAAAAAAATGTTCGTTCTGTCGTCGTGTCTGCAGCGAATGCCGTGTCGTTTGTGCAATGTTTGATTGGTGCGACTGCACCTTTAGGGTGGCCGCTGTCATTTTGCCACGAGTCCTAGCTTCAGCGTGGTACTTGGATAACTCGTGCTGGTCTGTAGACTGTGCCCCTTTCTGCCCTAGTAAGGTTTTCTGCCTCATGAGTCGCTGCTCGCGGTACGTGGAGAAATGCTTTTGAGAAATCAAATAGCTAGTCTTAAAGGCAAAACTCGGGAAACACTCTGTAAGTCTGGTCTATAGAAGTTTGGGGTACATATTACCTGCATATTTAAAAAGAAATCATTTTGATGCAAGTAATGGTTGGAACTTGCTGAGTTAGGTGATATAACTACTCCTCACGTCCCCATGGATACCCTTAAGACACTAATCTGAAAGGCAAACCTTTTAACCTTAAGTCTCCTTTATGAGAAATCTGCGGGTCATGTTCATAGCTGTGAAAGAAGATGCCACACAAAGGTCAAGTTTATAAATTAATCCTTCAAAGAGTTACATAACAGTACATCAAATAAATGCTGCTCCCATTGACAAAAACCACCTAGTTTAGAAGCAGCAGTGATAATGATAGTGTCACGCAGTTGTGGAACAAAATTACCGAAATGATGGAATCTTTAATAAAGACTAAAATGTGAGACAAAGTATGCTTTTGCATGCATTTAGGTTAAATATACTCCAGCTTTCGATAACAAAATATGAAAATGCAGAATGTAAGTTTACAGCCACATTTCTTACAAAATTTCAGTATAGAAACTCCAAGAACTGGCTCCACACATCAATCTATTATCAAGTGATAGTTATCCTGAACTGAGATTCAATGGCAAAATCTGAAAGTGAGATAGGCGCATTTGTAAGTTTTAGGAGTTTCAATTTAGATGGTACCTGCGCGTTGAAAATAAATAATTAAAAAAAAAATGGCACAGGAATGAAAATTTTTATTCGTTGGATCTGAAAGCTGATAAGGCTCCTCGTTAAATTCATGACTTTTAAAACAAATTGCTATTTCGAGGTAGTGACAGGCAGTGGTGTCCTACGGTGACGTCTCGTGCACGTCGATCGCCGCGTATGCATTTTCAGCAGTGCTGGCGCATGTGCCAGTCATCGATGCTGTCGATTGGAACGCAAGGAAAAGCGGCAAACCCATTTTGAACGCCTGGCGAGATTATGGGGGACGTACTGATCGCTCTTTACAGAATGTGCAATGCTTCAAACACTCTTTAGACGGTCCGCAAAAGTCGGTTTCTCAACTTATTACGCCATGATTTACTAGTACAGAAGTGTAATCTATGGCAGCATTTGCATAAGATGCCATAACGGTGCTCGCTGGCTGTATCTGCCGCCGACAGACGGCGCAAGGTCACACACGTGAGGATGCAGTGCCTCATTGGATAGTCTCCATACAAAAAATGGAGAGCTCTGAGAGATCTAAATATGTTTCTCTTTTGTATTTAGTTCAATAAAAAAATTATTGTGCTTTGAAAATTATACACTACAAGGACACGCGCCGCGCTGAAGGAAGCGTAGTCAAAACTCTACGATGAGCTCGGCGTCGGAGCCTCCTCGGCTCTTTGGACATGTGTTGGCAGCACTTCGCAAACTGCACGTGCCGTCTGCAAATGCCGCCGTAGATTGCCCTAAACAGGTTCTTCTTTTTTCTCGTTTGAACGAGGTAAGTTTATTCGTTGACTTTTTCACCCAAAGCTTCCACCTTCTAGCCACAGGTATGTAGTAAGTCACGGCACGATGCATTGAGAAACCAATTTTTGTGGAGTGTCTAAAGTGCACTGGAAGTGCTAGTGCACGTGGTGTAGTTTTCCCATACCCTGTCACAGGTTCAAAAAAGCAGGATGAGGTCCTCTCGTTGTCTTCTTGCCTCCTCTCCAACATCGACCCTGCTAAAGTGAGGGGAGGGCGGTCCTGGTGGTGTCGCTGCAGCAGTGGTGGATATGGTGAACACCTGTTCTGCTGCAGGTATCTCTCCAGGGGCTCTAAGCTGGACACTCATCTAGAAAGTCGGCGAGATTTCTGACGGTTGTGATTAGCCAGCACCAAGGTCAAGTGCAGCGCTGGCCAATCTTAGCGGTCAGAATTCTTGCCAACATTCTCACAAAACGTCCAGCTTAGGGCCCCAGCTCGACAATCCACGGAAACTTAGGCAGTCGGTAGTTGGGTTGTCGCAGCGACGGCGACACTCTCATACGCTTTTACTTTTTGCCGGAACCTGTACTACCGACCCTGAGGATTGCGATACTCGACATCATGACACTCCGGCTTTTGTGATGTCGTTTGTTACAACTTCGGGACCACTTGTGATGTCTGGGTGGGATAGGTCCCTAAACACACCGGTCGAAGACGTTTTCCGGGCACCGTATTAATGTGACGAAAAGTCTCCAGGCCAGAGGCATCTGTGGTTTGTAACGGAACTTGGTGGACGCTCCGCTTTGGGCACGAGCTTTCTGCCTTTGAAAATGCTTCGTCGCACACGCGGCCAAAGCCTGGCAGAAGGCAACGAGTGCATGCTGGAAGCGATGCTTCTAGTAGGTTCTCAACCCGGTAGTGAGCATAAGTACTGTGGCTTTGGTTAAATCTTAGTGCAACGTTGGCTGCATAGGTTTCCATGTGGTCTTTCTTCAAGAAGTACAGGTCCAGGAATTTAAAGTGCTGATGTAGCCAAGATGTTTTTTTTTTAACTTAATTTATTATGGAGAGGTATTTTTATGGTTGGTGTGTTCAAAGAAGCTGGGTACTCTGAAGGCAATTTAGTGCAATACTTGTTCATCTTTGAAATTTATTACAATGTATTATGGTGTCATCCACTCCATTCGGTGTAATGAATTATAAAATCTGTGCACAGATAGTGTAAAGCAGGAGTTGGGAACCCACAGCCTGCGAGCCGGCACGACACCAGAAGAGGACCCTCCTCTTCCCCTTCCTCACACAGACTCAAAGACCACGCAGCAGTTTTGATTTCAAATGGGGTTAGACAGGAACAAAAAGCACCTCCAATGTGGAGTGCAAGTTCGTCTGCTTCTTGCACGGAGGTTAATTGCGATGATGTCAGAACGCCGAACTCTTATTGGCTGATTGAAAAAATAGTGGGTAGACCTTGAGGCATCTAGCACTGAGGTCTACCTACTATCCTTTCAATCAGTCAGTTAGAACTCAGTGTTGTTCTGACATCACCAGAACTACTGCGCAAGAAGGAGACGACTTGCTCTCCGCATTGGCATTGTCCAGCATCCCCATATTTGGGCAGAGAACATCTTCACTTCCTCTTTGCCTTTTCGTTGTCTGCAATCTCCTCCCTACTTCACGACTTGATGTGATGACCTGGTCCGCGGCTGCAAAAGGTTGCCGACCCCTGGTGTAATAAAACCTTTGTTTGATTGAAGAGTGAATTGTTTTGCACAGGCTTGTCACTGGTGGGTCAATACCAAATGGCCTTTGGGCAGCGTTACAGCTTTTATAAGATAATCACTTTTTGTTGAGAATCATATTTTATTACTCTGTTTGACGTTAACCCCATATCTTTGGTCTTGCCGATGTCATGTATGTAGTCTTCATCTAATGGGATTCACCTAGCAATTAGGCTTATGCATCTGTGTTTGTGTAGCAAAAAGGGATGAAGCTTTTTCTTGGCAAATATCTAGTATAATAGCTTGTTCCTGCCTTACTTTTTCTTTATTGCCACTTTTGTTTTTGCTTGTGTTTTCTGTATTGTGTGCTCTCTAGGAAAGACCCGTGTGATGGTTTTTGAACATATGAAAATAAGGGTTATTATATGTCACATTATAATTTCCTCTTAATTTGCCAGGTGACTTCGGAGGCCCACCCAGCCAACACCACAAGATGCAACCCAACATCCACGGGCGTAAGCACATCTTGAGAATCTTCCTAATCCTCTAGCCATAGACTGGTTTGTAAAATTCCAGAATGCCAGTCAGAGTGTGGAAACCAATGGAACCCCATGCTACTCTGAAGAAATTTTCCGTGGAAAGGGTTGCTGCATTAAGCACAGATTATGAGCTGTACTCTCTCCATCAGAAAGTGAAACAGAAAATATGTAAAAACATGCACGCATATTCTGTAAGCGACACTTGCCTATGAGCAACCTCGGGCATTTATCTTTTATATTCCTGTGTGCCATCATTGTGTGCTTCTGCGTAAGATGGCAATGAACACATATTTTTGTAATTACATTTTTTTTTATGTGAACCGCCGGGGCGTAAGAATTCCTGGAGTATTTTAAATAAAATATAAAATAAAAGCAAACTTGGGCTGTCTACTTGTAGGAACAAACCTGAAATTGTTTAGGAATTTAAGGAAAACATTATGCAAGTTGAGGAAGTCTGTACAAATCTATGAGAGTGAGAGTAAATATGGTTGTTTTATTTGCTAAACAAAGATGGCCATAAAAACGAAAAAAAAAAAAGGAAGGATTCACAAAGTTTCGAAAACAGCTAGCCCAATATTATGCCGCGAGAGTCAGTGGAAGCTTGATATTACTATGGTCCCCATCCCTCCCTGCAACATTATTATAATTATTATTATTATTACCCATGCGTAGACTTACCAATAGGCAGGTGCTTAGGGCAACAAAACCTTTTGGTCGACAAATTGGGGAGATTTGCTAGAATGGCCCACGCCAATCCTTTTCAAGCTAACTGCAGTACAGGCATGCAGGGACGGCACCAAGGGAAGGGGTGGGGGGGGGGGGGGGGTGCAAGCATCGCCCCTAGAATTTTACCTGCCACCTGAAAAGAAATGAGCATTACATAAGCAGAATCAGTTTTAAGGCCCCTTCATACCGGACATTTGTCTTGTAACAGGCTTGAGCTGAGCTAGTTGGTTCATAGTTCACTTAAGGCCACAGACGCTTATCCTCTTAATCGCCACCATCACCTGCCGAGCAAGACTGTTATCAAGGTGTATCAAAAAGAAGATCCTCGTGGATGAGGTACAGCAATGCTTTGGGATATTTGAACCCTCTCAGGGACATGCCCAGCGAGTCTCGAAAATCCTCAGGTCAGAATCGTGGCGCCAAGTACGCTTACTCACAGATTTCCTGCGAGTGAAATGTCTCAGCTATAACATATTCCTCAACCAAATGACGAAGACAAGACCAGCGGTGTGAATGGTCTTTTCTTTATGTGTATGTTTTTGTCTTGTATTTTTTTTATTTTTTACAAAACTTTTGTTGCGAGAAGCAGACGAACGGAACATAGCGGGCGAGGCAGGAATACCCCTTAGTAGCATCCACAAGCACGAAAGTAGAAATAACAAAGAAAACGCAGGTGAGCTGGCGAACTTCCATTATCTTGAACACCTGAGGCTAGGAACAAAAGTGCACAATGCACAGACAGCTTGCCTCTAGACAAGCCAGGCAACACAATAACTGAATTGTCTCCCAAAAGAGCCAAGAATGGGAGGCACATGGCCATAGGAGTGACAATTGTCTCCCCTACAATCTCCTTTCAGTCGACAGGGAAAATAATCGGTCAGCTGGTATTTGTTGGTGCTGGTTGTGGGCGCTTTCATCTTAGAGTGGCGTGTTTTCTCTCTTTCCGAGAAAATATTGTGAATGTTGAAGCGTTAACGTGTGGGTTGAAAGGGCTGGCCATAAAGGCAAGTGGGGAAAGGAGAAAAATCTGAATAGTGAAAGGTGAGCACCGAAGAGGAAGGATAATTTCCCCTTTCTGTGCAAGCCGACCCTAGGGCAGGCCACCATGTCTTTGCATCTGTCTCAGGCCTTTCATTCTTGCTAGGTTTAGCAGACAACCTTCGGAAGTTTTAGCCAGGAAAGGATATATTCTGGGCAGTTCTCTCAAATCAATACTTCGATTCTGTGCGCTCATCTGGAAAGTCGGGAAAGCCCGAAGCATTTGCTCGGGTACACTATGACGTCCGATGCTCCGATTACTGTCTCTTTTTACGGCATAACGAGTCGTTGATCAACATGAGCGTTGAGGAACAATAAAATGGTGAGTTTTTGTGACAGTGATGATGTCAACTTCAAGAACAACAAAACTCATTTCCCAACTTCCTGAAATGATGACACAAATAACACAGCAAACCGTAGCCAAAACAGTTTATGGTTTCCAATGCAGCCCGGTACTACGATCCTTTCCTGAGACCAGATATGGATGCGATCGCAAGACCTTCGAGTCTATCTGGTACGCCAGATGCTTGTGCTTGGAGTTACGGGGTTTGTAGCTTCCAACAAAGATATCGATAGAGTAACCAAAGGGTTATCTCAACAAAGGTGGCAATTTTAAAGGAGACGTCAAGTCTAGTAGTGTGGTTCCCATGTATCTCCGTTGCAATCTAGACTACTATCTTTAGGGCTATGTTACCGCAGGTATGTTCGATAAATACCTCTGTCAGTGCCAATGATATAGCGGAAGAGAAGACACACGTACGAGAGTAAGGACAGAGACTAAGATCATTTATTAAAACACACTTCTAAAAGAACTACAATGTCCACATCCAAAATTCCCCGCGCCGGCAACGTGAGACAAGGCTCCTTACCTGCCAGGTACGGGGTTCCGGAAATCTACGATCTGGGAAACTTAGAAGTCGCCAATTGCATGTGCTATCCCTTTCACGATTGTCACAATAAAAGACGAGGCGAAACCTCCTCACCTTCTGGTCGCAACCGCTCTAGAGCGGGGGAATGGAAGAAGGTCCCCCCCCGGGAGAGAGTGAGAGGAGGGCCCTCCAAGACAGGAGACCCTCCGCTTCACGAACAGGTGGAAGCTCACGGTGAAAAAGGCTGAGCGTTTCGACCCGGGGCCACAATCACGGCCATTGTGGAAGGGAGACCACAGGAATCCCCAAAGAGTAGAGCAATCCTTTAAACTCTGCCTTTTTTTTTTGCTATAATTTGTACCGGTAACATACAAAAAGTGAAACTGCTACATTTGGGACCAAGAATTAAACCAGCTAAAAAAATATTCACAAAATCAGCAGACTGCGACCCCATGACAACAGTGAGGGGCACAATTTGTGAGTTGCATCGTGGGCTTGCTACAAGCAAGCCATATTTGTCAGACGTAAGGCAGAATCGTTATTACATATCTGCAATAATCGTTGTCCGGGCAATTTAGGCATTTTATTCTGACCTGCAAGCGCACCACCAATACTTTTCGACCCGCCCACCAAAAAGCCTCCAACACCTCTCTTCAACCAGGCTTTTTATTGTCTTCCATTTGTCCTCAAACCACTCGCAGCTCTCGGAGCCTGCCTTCGGTGACGCGATGTTGAATCTTAACACGGCGAATAACTTCAATCAATAATCGAACCTGACAAGTCTTGGTAGATAAATAAATGGGAACCCTGAAACGTGGAATATTGAAAAAAAAAAAACTGACAAAGCATCGCAAGTATGTTGTTTCTGAACCAGCTCGCCTGCACTTTCTCGCTTCTAAAATAAAGAAATCTGTGTCCTAATTAGCTAGTTTTTTTACTGCTAGTTGGTGCTGCTGACTCAGTAGCACAGGTTTTTTTAGCCAAAACTTGGTTTTTGTTTGGTAATTTAGGACACTGAAAAGCATGAAAGGACCAAGGTATAACTGAACTTGACATTGCTTGGCCAGGGTCTGTGTATGTGGAACGTAAATTGCCAAAGAAGTGGCAGAGTTAGGCTTCACTGCCCGGTTGTTTAGTTGTCACATGGCTCCTTTGGGCCTCGTTCTTCGAGGAAATGCCTGAATAAGGCCTTACTTTTAGTTGTTCGGTTTTCCCCTAGCAACTTTGGGCCTAAGCTGCCGAACGAGAGCAATAATTAGTCTTCACTGCTGGTTGTTTGGTAGATATGTGCCATTTTTGGCTCATGCTTGGCACTTTGGCAATTATGTGGCAAACCATAGAAAAGCCAAAGAAAAAGAATGATGCCGAAATCGCCACTATCGTTATGCCGATTCTCTATGAAATGCGTTAGCATATAGTGGGGGTGTTTTGACTCCTCTAAGGATAGGAATTCTAACCTGGCAACTGTCCGCACGTGTTGTGTTCAAAGAGCTGGTCTGTTCTCCCGGGTTTCGGTGGTTTCACACAGGCAGCGTCGTCGCTGCGCCTGAGTTTTTGTTGTCTCGTACGTTGTTCATACTGGGGAAGCGAAACTGCGTGCCTACGCCCCAGTGCCATTGTAAAAGGTGTGCGCAACAACAGCGGTGCCAGGGTTGCGAAGCTGTAGCCTTGGCCGTTCTTGCTCCCTGGCGCCGGAGAGGAAGCACCTCCTTTCTTGTTTTTTTTTCCTCTCTAGGATCTAGAGAGAAAAAAAAAAACGAGAGAAGATGTCCAACTGGCAACGTGTCATTGGAAACGTGCGAGAAGGCTCCTTCCCTCTTGCATAAGAGGGAAAGTGAACGTAACGAGCGAACGAATGGAGCGAAAGAGCACGGCGGGAATTGTGCAACGGCCTCACAAATTCGGTTTACCAGTGCAAGCCAAAGGACAACCTCGGGCACTGGGGCCATAAATGCTCACGCATTTAAAAGTACTTTGGTCCTAACTAGCGTCTCGGGGCAAAACCCTATTAAGCCCAAATTAGGCCCCTAGGATGGCCAGACTCGAGACTAGTTGGGCGTCTCTCTGGCACACTGTCTGGGAAAGTGTTCAACCAACGTGCGTCTAATTATCGTCTCGTTCGGCTTTATTGCGAAGGCAATCCTTCTGGCGGACATTCTTCCGGCCCTTCTGGTGAAGCTGTGCGCCCCGTTCTTCAACATCAACACGAGGTGAGACTTTGGACGCACACATCCACGTTTCATCGTGAATATGTATGGGGTTGGCGCCTGAAACACACATTCGACCGGTGTGTTTACATTCGGTACATTTACCGCACAGGTCATGCTGGGGATGGTCAGTGCAATCGTAACAGGGGCAGTGCAAGAGATTCGACATTTTATCTTCAAAGAAATGAGTTGAGAGAAGTATAAACATCAAGTCTGATCTCGGATATATATTCTGAAAGGTGGATGCAGTTTAATGAAAGTAATCCTTTCACTGCATGTGTCTGCTCATGTGTAGTGTTTTTTAACTTTATATTATTATCATTAGATCCTGGTGACCGCAATATGTAATTTAAAAAAATGTGGTAAAACATGTAGGGACAAAGACAGACAGTACAGTTCTTTCAACTACAAAGAGGAATACTACGAACATTTGAAAATGACATTGGCAGGCCTCAAAATATTTCGACGGGGCCACTTTTCAGTAAATATGGCGTACTAAAGGTTAATCAAATTTATTACTTTAAGCTACTGCAAATAGTACACAGTGAAACACTCTTTGAGATTCCTCCAGATGATATAAATAACTATTCTTTATAGGCACAAAATTAGACTGTATCCCAAAATACATACAAATTATGGTAAGCAAACAAAAGAATTACGAGTGGTGGACATCCTTAACAATATTGAAGGTCTAATCGGCTTCAATTGCTCTTTCGTCTAATTTAAAAAGAAACCGAAGGCACTTCTGGTGGGTGGTGACATTGGTTTTTGACATTGGTTTTTTGATTTTCATTTTGGCACGAGTCATGTTTATGCTTGGTATTTATTTGTTTATGTATTAGAAAAGACTATATACTTATATTTTCTTTTTCATTTGACTGTATTAGTAACTATTGTTGAAACCACTGTTAGTTCTTATTTCATATTTAACGTACATATCTATGTAAAATTCTTTCCGAAGTGTAAGATTTCTTTATTTGTTTTGTTGTAAAGTGCCAAGTTGCTAGAACTGCAAAGGTGGCAGAGGCCTTGTCAGGCGTCAAGCCTTTAGTCTCCGCCAACCTACCGGTCAATCTGGGAACAAATAAGAAGAAAAAAAGAAAGACAGAACTAGCAACCAACGTTTAATGATGCCACCCTCAACGAGTCTGCCCTTACCTTCCCCGACTTTCCCTGGCAATAATTGAGTCCTATCGGATGGCCAGTGATGATTTGTACTTTGCATCGCCTTCCTTTAGCTTATCCAAGACTGAAGTTGAATTTCTGAGGCAGGAGTCAAAGTAGTCAGCTCCCTTTTCTTTTCTTTTTTTACAGTGGAGCTGTTAAGGGCTAGTTTCCCCAGTATCATGTCTGTGGGCAAACAAATCTCGACACAATACTCCGGACAGCTACCACCATCTATTAACAACAACGGCAACTAGACAACTGGCTTGCCGGTTGTCTGGTTGCGGCCGTCGCTCATAGATGGCGGCAGCCTTTGCAGCCTTTCCACTGGCTTGCCAACTTGCGGCCGGCCATTACTTCATTCCCACCATAGTACAGCTTCGCTGCAGGTCTTCCTTCTTCACCAGTGTGTAAAAACTAAACTTTTTTTTTTTGTGTTTTTTTTTTTTTTTTTTATTTTCTTTCCTTAACACTTCTTTTACGTTTTCCTTATTTTTCTCTCTTCTTCCTTAACAGACTCTTCATTCTCCCAGGCTTCTTCTTTTTCCCGAGGGTTTTCTTCTTTTTCTGAGGGATTTTGAGGGAAGGGAAGGGCTGGATGCACTGAGGGTGGCATCATCAAATGTCTGTTCCTAGTTGAAAGAACTGTGCTGTCTCTCTTTGTCTCTACATGTTTCAATCTTTCTTGTTTCTCAAATTGTCATGATGTTTAAAACTCGAGATGTGATGAGGGAAGGAATAGGAAACTTTGAACTCCAAGAAAAAGAAAGGTACAGGATAAGACATCTAAAAAACTTTGAAGTCAAAGGAAAAGGTGCAGTAAGAGACGTCTTAATTAAAACGTCTTCTCCTGCACTTTTTTTTTTTGGTTTCAAAGTTGCTTATTTCTTTCCTCTCCACAGTCTTGGTTTTTAAACATCATGATTAACTTTCACCAGCTCGCTTCCACACTCGCTGTATTTTCATTTCAAATCATCTTTACCAACCCGCCCCGAGTTCATTTTCGAAGAATATGTCTTATACTGTGGTTCTCTTGAACAAAATGTCTACCAATGATTTTTCCACATTTTCTTCTCGGCGAATACGCCTTTGAAAGAGGCGTATTCGATTTTGGGATTGTAGGATTGGTTAGATTTATTGTTTCTTTTTTATGGCCCTAAACCTACAAACTGTTAACTATAGTGGGATATGAGGTAAGAATGCAGCAAAAATCGCCACCACGACCACGTACCAGCCACAGCATCGAATCGCTCCACTGGCCAATCAGCGAAAGGCAGCAGCCATGATGAACTATTCCAGCGGTTTTCAAACTTTTGGTCCGAGGCCGCTTGGGGAACCCCAATGCATTCTTCATCGCAGGTCTTGTGCATAGGAGGGCTTTTTTTTTTAGCAGTTCTTTTACTTGGCAGGGACCCCCTTGAACACTCTCAAGGACCCCTGGGGGCCCGTGGACCACAGTTTAAGAACTGCCGAGCTATGCAATGTCAGCGCAATGTACCTCTCAGTAGCGGGCTATTTGCACATCGTGGAGGAAGACTGGCTGGCTCTAATAAGGATGTGGGAGGAGCTTCTTGCGCATTCTTAACTCTTATCAGGTAGACTTTGTCCTCGACGTTGTGGTTTCATAAAACCGACATTTCAGCTTTTCCCCGAAATGAGACAGAAAGCTGCCAAACATTAAAATATCTTTTACTATTCTGTACGTTGCATTCTGCATCTAATGAATATGACTACTTACTTATTTAATTAAAAAGTGCCAATAGTGCACTTCACAAGCAGTCCCAAATTTTCAAATGAGTACCGATGGTCCATTCGTTAATTTCCAGATTTTAATCCCAGGAGTGGGGCTTATTTTCTGTTGGTCGAAAGACTGGAAATGTGAAACCCTCGCTTACATTAGCCGCCTCGGTGTTTCCGCGGCAAAGTGCCGGCTTACAAATCCCCAGCCTAGGGATCCCCGGGTTCGAGTCCCGGCCAAGGTGCCCGCAGTATGACGGAGGCTTATGGCGGAGAAACCGAGATTTTGGTAGCCCGTCAAAAGAAGCCCAGGCGATCCAATTAATTAATCCCGTTTTCCGCTGGGACGTGCTAGATGCCCTTTGTTGGTTTGGCACATAAAACCTGCAAATCTGACTCGCTTACATTGATTTCCAACACCGATATTAGAGTTATATCTTGCACGGGAGATTTCTTACGTGTCTTTGTCCGTGTCACAAATTTCAGCATTCAAGTTGGAGCGGTGGTGCTGCTTTCCTGTTCCAGCTTTCTGATGACTTCCTTCACTGTAGCCACATGGATGTCTTTTATGGGTGAGTGCTCTGTTTGTTGTAGCATAACAGTTGTAGGGATAGCATAGCATTACCAGATGTAACATGCCATTCCCTGCTGCAGCATGCCGGCACCAGTCGTAGCATACCAGTACCAGATGTAACATGCCAGTACCAGTTGTAGCACACTAGTTATACATATCAGTGCTAGTTGTAGCATACCACTAAACTAATAGAATTTGCTTCTTGTAACGTCTAAATACAAATTCATGAACCTTTTGTGGGGTCAAAGCTGAACCTTAGCTAACCTTTTTTAGTAGTTACATAGCAGGAACCAGTTTGAAGCTGACTACTTTGTATTACATTTCATGTTGTGTTAGGAAAAATGTGTAGAGTTCAACATCAGTTTGAACAAGTGATCCCCAGTTTTTATTTTTATTTTTTCTCTGTAGGTGAGATGAGAAACATAGTGTGGGTCCGAAGGTACTTTGGCCATTCGCATTGCACTATAATTTACCACAACGTATTGGACTATGATTTACTGTATAGGTGATGCTTTGTGCATAAAATAATTAAAAAAATAAACTTACTTGAGTGTATCTATGTTTATTATTGCGACATCATTACCAGTTCGATGTTATGTCCCACAGTGTCCAGCGTGTGTCCATTCAGCCCAAAAGCTCCGAACGATGTCCCCGGTGCTCGCGTTGGTAGCGTGAGCACTTCATCGCTTCGTCACGTGGCTATCTTGTATAGCACAATACGATACATCCCCCCCCTGTTTTTCTTTTTTCTTTTTTTTATAAAAATGTTTTGCAATCACAATAGTTAAAAAAAAAAATTAAAAAAAAAGAGAACACATTAAGGCACTTGATTAAAGTTACAGTCATAGTGTAGTCGCATAGGAGGCCTTGTTTGCTGCTGGGATCTTCATGGAGGAGATTGCGAACGCTTGCTTAAAGGCACTAAAGCATGGCCCGGTGATGCCACCGACGGTAAGTCTGTATGAGTTTCCTCGTCCGGGGTGTCATCTTGCAGTGTGTTCGGTCTGAAAGTTTGCTTGTCGGTAGCAGATGTTGCCTGTTCCTCCGAATAACCCTGCTGTCCTCGGTTAAAACTTGGTACGACCTCGGGCGTGTCTTGGCGATGACTTTTGCCTTCTTAGACCACCATCTCTTTCTGACTCTGACGACCTGGCCCTCTTCCAATTGCGGAAGTGTACCTCTGGAATACTCGGTCTGGACGTGCTTCTGCACCTTCAAACCTGGCTGGTCACCGAAGTCCGGAAGACTTGACCTCAACCTTCGTCCTTGCAGCAGCTCCCCTGGCGAACGTCCGTCTTCTAGTGGGGTTGATCTATAACTCAGCAAACCCAGCCAAAAATCTTCTCGGCTTTCTTTTGTCTTCTTGAGGATCCGCTTCACAACCTGCACGCCTTTCTCTGATCAACCGTTTGACCGAGGGAACTCCAGGCTTGACGTTATGTGTCTGAAGTCATACTTGCGAGCAAATAAGGTGAACTCTCGACTTGAGAACTGGGGTCCATTGTCACTGCATACTTCGACTGGGATGCCGTATCTTGCAAATATGGCCGCCATCTTCTCAATGACTGTGCTTGACGACGTGTCGTTTAGTTCCTCCACTTCTGGAAAGTTGGAAAGAGGATCATATACGGATAAGTATGATTTTCCTCCATACTGAAACAGATCAACACCAACTCTGTACCACGGAAATTCCGGTGTCGGGCTCAAGATAAGGGTTTCTCTTGGCTGACTGTATGCGTAGCGTCTGCATATCCCACACTGTTTTATCAGAAATGTAACATCTGCGTTAATACCTGGCCAAAATACGAATGTACATGCTCTCGCTTTGCACTTATTTAGGCCCATGTGACCTTGATGAATTCTCTTCAACATCTCGGGTCGCATGGCCTCGGGTACGACAACTTTTGTGCCTTTCAGCAGAACACCCTTCACCACTGAATGCTCGCCCTCAAAAGGCTTTAGTTCTCCTTCTACTCTCGTGCCGTTGCTGACGCTTCGTATTACGGTACGTAAATACAGGTCCTTAGCGGTTCCCTCGGCAATGCTCTTCATTGTGGTAGCGCTGACAAAGGCTGTTACTACACTCACGGCGTGCACTTCGACCTCGTCCTCGCTTGTTGTGTCATCCCCTGACTTGTCATTCGTGGCCCTCGAGAGCTTGTATAGCGCAATACGATACACTTTAGTTAAAAGTAAGAAAATGAGAATGCGTTCCGTTTACCTTCAACGACTGTCTGCTAATGGCACAGGTTTGATTGGCACAGCAGCCAGCAGGTGGCAGTAGCGGCCCCTTCGCAACCTTTTTAGGCTCTGCTTCATCGAAAGCAAAAAGCAGGCAATCTTTTTGGTAAAACAAAAACGGTGTATGCTCTTTCGGTGCTGTGATCACTTCGAGGTTCTGTCTCTCTTTCTAATGAAACGCACTCACTTAACATGAAACTGATAAAAAAGATCATTTGTCGGGCTGTTTTGGCAATCACTTTCGGCTTTAAGTCGTCCACTTTGCGGTTGTTGATTGTCACCACCTTTTTCTTGCTCTTGTACGTTATATTTCTTCTGGTTTGAACTTTATACCATATTTTCTGGGTCGTAGTCCATGGACTATACATGTTTAAAGTTAAAGTTTTACATAGTGCAGACTACACAGGGATTTTTTTTTTTTTTTTAGATCATTCACCGTGATAAGGTGTGCAGGATTTTACGAATAACAAGGTATATATTAATGTTGATTTATGTGTTAGTACAAGCTTCTTTCTGAGGTAAGAAAGTGGGCATTTTTCAAGGTGTGTTGTGTAGGAGAATTTGTTTGCACGCAGACTATGCACCAGGTGCGCACAGTTTAAGAAAGTACTTTTTTATTCAACCAGAAAGTTTTTCTTCCGGATTATAAACTCAGTGTGGACCACAGTCTTGAGGGTGCATCTCATCGAACATGTGAAGATGATACGCTGGTGCAGGGAAAAGAGAAGCTTGCCAAAGCCTAGAAGAAAGTTTCAGCAGCGACCTCTAAAAAAATCTGCAATTAAAACTAATAACATAAATGTACTGGATTTACTAAAACAGAGAATAAACTCTCCACAGTACAACACGAGATAGACAGAAAGGTGGAACATCCGGTTTCATAGATCATTTCATGATAGTCAATTCATTACATATAACCTCCCAGTCTTACTAAATGATCTAACAGGACATAACATAACACCGGAATTGATTTTCAATAAATCGCTCGTAGCTTCATTTCTTAACTATGGCTTTAGTCTAAATCACATTCTTTTCCTTATCAAATGTCATCATTGTTTATGGATTATGCAAACTCTTACATGTTTTCATTTTTTTCCTATTCTTTTGGTCATTTTTAGGTTTTTTCAGAATCTTCCATGCCATAACATTTAGATCGCTTTAAGGTCTATTCTATGTTTACTTTTTAGTGTTTTTAGCGTGATTTCCAAGCTTACAATATTAGTGCATATTGTATTTCCTGGAATGTATTTTTCTGGTCGGGCAGAGACGGCGAGTCCCTATGGTGACTTTCTTTTTCTTCCTCCTGTCTAAACAAAATAAAGGTTTGCTTTGATTTCATTTCATTTGTAACTCCGATTTCTTTGAAAAGTGACTTTATAGTTCTGGGTAAATTGCACTGTGATCAACCTCCTAAGAATGCTTTCTAAAGGGTCTGTGGCACTTGTCCTTTCGTTCTCGCAACTTTTGACATTGACTGTTTGGTCTCATTCTAGGGGTGGTCTGTGCCGCTATTGGGAGTGGGCTGGGAGAAATCACATTCCTCGCATATTCCGCACACTTTGACAAGTGAGTACTACTAACTCCCAAACAAAGAAGACTCTGCCGCTGCCTGAATTTTAAAACAAACGCAAAACCCCATTTTTATGAGAGAATCCTACGATTGTGAATCGCCGATGAAATCGGGAAGTTGTTTCGCAAGAGAAAATAATTTCTGGCTCTGATCGTAGAATTGTACCAAATGGTGCTCGCCAATTTTCACAAAAAGTTAATGATGTTGTTTTGTCGCACTGTGGAATTTTATTCCTTCCTTTGTTTTGTTTTTCTTGCTCTACAGAGATGTGATATCGACCTGGTCTTCTGGAACAGGTGTGTATGCGGCATTCAGGCTTCCTAATCGCAGCATGACAGTCCTATTTTGTTGGCGCAGCATGGCCCATGTTGCTTTTTGTGCCATATTAAACACCTAATAATCAATCAATCAACAGTGCTATTTTGGTACAGCAGTGACAGGTTTCCTAACCGCAGCATGACAGTGCGATTTCGGTATGGCAGTGACAGGCAGCTCTATATCATTCACCATTTGCCGCGCCGGGCGTATGAGCATCCCCTTTTGGTCAATTTTGCCTTTGCAATGGCAAGACAATTTTTTACAAGAATGTAATCATCCATATTGGAAAGGGGAGGGTTCTTATGCAGAACTCTTGCTTATGGCCTGGCTCATTTATAGCAGTCTCCCTTTGATAGTCGTCCCATTTATAACATCTTAATTATAATAATCTCATATATAACAGTCCCAATTATGAAAATCCCACTTATAGAAGGTCTTATAATAGTTCCACATGTATCAGTCCCAATTATGGCAATCCCACTTATGACAGTCCTGGTCGTGGATGTTCTACTTATAATTTTCCCGCATATAACGAACTGTCCCAATTATGACAATCCCATCTACTATATCAGTCCTGCTTATAATAGTCCCAGACATAGCAATCCCAGTTATGACAAATGACTCATTATAAATAAACATAGAAAAACCATTGAACTTTCTGTAAAACCTTCGTAATCTCTGTAAAAAAAAATTGCTCGCAATAAATATTAAGTTTAAAATTACAGCTACGATACAATCATAATAGCAGAGTGTTCTCTTCGATACACTGCTGCAAACAGATCATAACCGGCCGTAAAATGTTGTTGCAGTCTGCCTCTAACATTGCTTTCTCATTTGCTGACTTCGGTTTTGAAATATGACGTTGGAAGTGACAAAGGCATGGTGTCTTCTGATTTTGTGCTTTCTGTACAGGTGGTGCGGGTGTTCTAGGTGCTCTTTCCTATGCGGCGATGGCCTCTGTGCTGTCACCAGAGAAAACGTTGCTGGTCATGCTCTTTGTGCCAGTCCTGATGGCGATCAGGTATATCGACTTCCCCTTTACCTGTATATAGGTAAAGCAGCGTTCTGTTCATTCACTTCTCGTTCTTGTCCTTTGTCACAGCGTTCTGTTCGTTCGCTTCTCGTTCTTGTCCTTTGTCTTTTTTGCGCTGTTTCCAAGTTTGCATTATGAACCAACTAGCCCAACTTCATGCCTTGTTGCTGTATATAGCTTTTGAATTCCTTTGAAGCACATCTTGCACAGTCATCGGACTCACCTGATCTGTAAAGGATTGTATGGGAAACTGGAATGTTTGCAGTACTAAAGTTGAAGCCATCGAGCGGTCGCAGAGTTCCTTATAAGTATTAAGGCTCGGTCACCAGGTACATTACATCCTCCTGTAACCTCTCGCAATGAGAAAACACACTCACGCCATTTACCGGATAGCCATGAAACATGTGCAATTTCCATATATTTCTCATGTTACAGCCGAGCTGTTAAGGGCTAGTTTTCTCAGTATTGTGTCCGCGGGCAAACGAATGTTGCCACAAAATTCTGGACAGCTACCGCCATCTATAGCTGCGTTTAGATGAATGCGACGTAGTAGTCGCATCGAATCCAGTTGTCGCATTCAATGCGGTCATGTAAACGGCATAACGCGCTAGGGAAGCGCATCGCATTCAAGTCGCTCAACAAAGGTCGATCGGAACAGCGAATATGCATTCATTCAACCCATGTGAACGGAGGTCGCATCGTATTTTGGAACGGGGAGGATTATGGGAGGGCGCTCACTGCAGGAGGGAGTGAACAGCTGAGAACATGGCGGCGGCCAATCTTGTCGGCAACGGCGGGGAGCGGTTCCGTGTGGTCAACCGCAGTTTTCTCCTGAGAAGAAACGCAAGCTTTTATTGCCATCATAGGGCGGCCCCCGTCCAAGCCTTGCGAAATACGACTTGCGCGTTCGAGGGAGTGCCTAGAGGCTTCGGTGCAAGCACGAACAACGCCGAGAGCTCCGAGAATTGCATGGTAGTGCAGAATGAGCAGCTCCTACCTCGGTGCCGTTCCTGGCTGCGCCGGAGCCTTTCGGCCTCGGAGTTTGGTTGCGGTTGGCAAGGTTTGGCGAGGCGAAGCGCGGCGCAGTGGTGTCATCCTCAGAGCAGTTGGAAACAATCTCGCTCGCCGGGCTGTGCGCACGCATGTCGCCTCTGATCCAGAGTGGCCCAGTGGACCGACCCGGAGCCCAAAACATTTGGGTTTGATGTTTCCTCCGTCTCGTAGCTCCTTCCACAGCATCGAAGACAGCGAGCACGATCTTTACGCTTGCCGAAAGTGTCGAAAGGCCTTCACGTGCGATGCACCGGAAAATATGGTCACGTGGTGCGGCCGGTGCCGGAAACGCAGCTTTACCTTTGAGCTTTGACACGGCGTGGCGCCACCTTCGCGTAGGGCTTGGTGCAGATTCATGTAAACGTTGCTGTGTCGTCTTCCTTCGAAGGACGATTGGAGTCGATGCACTGAAGTCGTTTGTGTAAACGTGGCTTATGAGCGACGTCAGCAACCTTTCCAGCCTTTCCACTCTGGTTTTCACCAGAGTGGAAAAGCTGAATTTCTCTGGGCGTCGTTTTAGAAGTCGTCCTCGAGGTAGTCCTAGAAATTGTCCTTGAGGTCGTCATAGACGTCGTCCTTGAGGTTGTCCTAGACGTCGTCCTTGAGGTTGTTCTTCAGTTCATCCAAGAGGTTCTCCTCGAGCTCGTCCTAGAAGTCATTCTTGAGGTTGTTCTAGATGTCATCCTCGAGGCCGTCCTGGAGGTCGTCCTTGAAGTCATCCTAGACGTTGTCCTCGAGGTCGTTCTAGAAGTCGTCCTTGAGGTCGTCCTCAAAGTCATCCTTGAGGTCGTCCTCGAAGTCATCCTTGAGGTCATCCTAGACGTCATCCTCTGGGCGTCATCCTTGAGGTCGTCGAAGAAGTCGTCCTTGAGGTCGTTCTAGACATCGTCTTCTAGGCATCGTCCTAGACGGCGTAAAGATAACAGCTTTGCTGGTCTTCCTTCTTCACCAGAGTGGAAAGGTGGAAAGTTTTTTTTCGTGCATAATTTTTCACTGTTGGCTGGAAAACCTTTTCACAATGTTATGAACGACCACTTCTTGCAGATACTAGTGCATACATTTTATCTCGCAGATACTGCAAAACCTTTACTCTAGAGGAATGCAGTTGCAAGGCCACCTTACAGTGGCACCGGTGGGCCACTGTATCCTCGTCGTGAAGTATCGCGACAGGTCCTAATGCAATCAGTTGTAAGCAGTCGCATGTGCACGAACCAGCCCTTAGAGTTCAGCATTTTGAAAGTTCATTTTTTTGAGCGAGATCGGAGAATGTTTTGTGGAATTATTGTTTTATTATATATTTATTCATTTACACTCGATCCTGCTGTATCCCTCGGGGTATTATAGCGGGGAGAGGGTTACATGAAGAGTTGAAGAATGAACATGGCTAATATTGTCGCGGATGGAAAAGGCTTGACATGCACCATGCTTGAACGAAACTTCAGCTGAACTCGTGAAGGTTGTTCTGAACTTTTCAATTGTCCACTTATAAGCTCGGTTATAATAATACAACTACTATATGAACTGTGTCAGCTAATCGACAGATTTGTCATAGTTATCCTAATCGAGGAAATTTATAAATCTGCTTGGTATATGCCAATGTTCTCTCTTCTATTCCAAATTCGACAAAATAAAAAAAAGACAAGACATCGCTGCCTAGCATTCTGGCATAATCGTGGCGGGTTACTTACGTTGAGTGCACTTCTCACTGAGCACGGGTGCACTGCGGGGAAGCAATAGGGAGTTTTAGAATAGTGCACGCTAAAGCTTTGTGTACGCAAAGAATAGCGTCGTCACCACTGCTCATCTGCCGAACGCTTGCCACGTTTTGCGCTTTGCGTGCAATATTTTAGCGTATGCTATTTTTCGGAAATTGTGCGCATACGCAAAATCTTTGCACTCCTCTAAGGAGGCCTTGTGATGAAAAGTTGGCTAAAGCCAAGACGAGCATAGTTAAAAATGGCAGCTCCCAGGACCACAGGACCATATCCGCGGCCGCTTTGGCAATGTTGTCAGCGCGACGTCGGCAGCATCTTCGCGACTGCGTTTTGAATACGAGACGACATTGCACTCGGTTTGACAACGATTACCGGCAACTTGATGCTCGCAACGAGCGAACATTTATTGGCGAAGGTACAATATGTGCAAAGGTCACTACACGAGGCCTCCCTTACCGAGGCGATGCAAGCGGACACAACCAGTCGAATGCTCCTGTCGCGTTCTAACGTTTAAACAAATCTAAAATGTTACTCTGGATCAAAAACTTGTTTTTTCTCAAGTTACAGCATTTCGTGTGTGAAATAAAAATTGTGACCGTACCTCGGTGGCGTTGCAAGCGCGAGATGCTTGAGCTTTCGCATTGTGGCGTAGAAGTCATTCTAAAGTTTTCTCGCTTAGCGTGCGCTAACGCGAGCGCTAAATTTAGCGCTAGCATTGCGTACGTTATTCTAAAACTCCCTAATACCCGTGGAACCTGCAAGCTCCTGGGGTATTGCTTCCCCGCAGTGCACCAGTGCTCAGTAAGAAGCGCACTCAACAAGGCTGAGCATTTAGAATCATCAACATTCAACATTTAGAAAAGTATGAATATCCCAGTTCACCTCAAAAACTTGAATATTTGTACAACACTAGTACGTATCATTGGCATACGAGTATCGAGAGAGGTCTCTGCATCTCACCACCGCATCATGCGTCATTGAAGTTGGATCACTCCAATAATGTGGAAGAATATCATTATCGTACAGACTGCTTTTCTTTTTTTTTTTGCTTTTTGTTAAAACTATTTGCGATTGGAATGTATATTGCTCGAAGAAGTTGTTTATGTTGCCGATGGTGGTCGCTTTTATGATATATTACAGAAATTCCTTATATGATAAACCACATTGTTTTTGTTTCGCTTGTGTTTACGACGTTTTACGCGCATATCCCCCCGCATAATGTTTAACATCGCAGCTGGTGTACGCGTATATAAGTAAATAAATAATGAGCCAAACTGACGGGGTTTCCCGTGCCAACCGGCCGGTTTCGTTTTTGCAGCTTTTGGGGGGTCTTGGTCCACCCCAAGCTTCGCAGGGACGAAAAAACTGCCAACGAAGCAATACCGGACGAAGAGCCGCTACTACCGTGCAGCGGCTGTACAGGGTACCCGAAGGTGACGCTCACATTTGGAGATAAGCTCAGGCTCATTAAGGTAAGTGTGCACCCTCAAAGATTTCTTTATTGCACAGTGCGTTGCATACTCTGCGTGCTGCGACGACACACGTTTGGCGCTGGTCCATTGCCTCCGTCGTATTGTAGCATTGGCTCCGGTCGGACTTAATTAAAGTGAAACGGAGTACAGCCCAAGTTCCAAGACTGAATTTCTAGCAACACTTCGTTTGAGCTCGAGTTCAGGCGCAGCCGATGACGCAGGCCGACGGGACTGGTCGGACGGCGTCAGAAGTGCACCGTCACTGTGTTCGTGACGTTTCTGTACATGTTCCGTCGTTGCTGAACCGATCGCAGACAGAAAATATCTAGAGACTCGCGCTTTTGACGCCACTCATTCGTTCCCATTGGCTCGTGGCATCGGTTGAGCTTGGACTTAACCCGAAGCAAACTATGGGGGTTCCACGAAGTACCCTCGAGGGTTTCCCAAACTCCCCAAATTTCCCCGAGCGTCCCTGCCACAAAGTGAAGCGTCTGCCCATTTTGAGCGCCATTTTACCAGATCTGAGCCACCCGCTGATGCGTAACCGTGTTCCAAGTTGTCCTTATTGCGTACTGTACCGTTTGCGAAGTTTGTGGAATTCTGCAGTGGTCAGTTGAAAGACATGAAGGCTTCTCGGAATACAAAAGTTGGAGAAACCGCGCGATGGCGGTACTGATTTTCTCCTTTTGAGCGTTGTGCTATGAAAAAGCTCTACATATAAATCACTGTTTCACGGGCAATGTTTCCTTTCCGAATTTAGCGGGAAAACATTGTGCATTGCTCAGTCCTTATGTGTGTGTCTGTATGTGCAAACACCCTAAGCCAGATCTAACAAACGTGCACGCATACCCACGTATATACGGGGTGTTTCTCGGAACGCAAGCCATATCGCTCCTGCAGTGAGTATGCATTGCATGGGAAAAAGGTGGATGTGCCATTGGTTTCTGCCAAAGGGCCCATTTAGGAAAATTAATACCATTCAATATAGCGAGGTTCTTAATCACTTTTGAGTAATTCACTTTTTAAGTACAGCGAAACCTCAATTACCATACTTTAGAGTGCAGCTCTTAGGCGCCCGTTTCCATGTTTTGTGGCATTGGCGTAACTGCACTAATTTTAGCATTAAAATTAGCGTCACGTGACCTCAACACCAATTCAATTCCCCGCTAAATTTAGCGAGGAAACTGAATTTGTTCACAGGTGATGTGACACCAAATCATGTGACGTCATTTTTCCTGCAAAATTTAGCAGGGAATTGAATTGGTGTTGAGGTCACGTGACCCCAATTTTAGTGCTAAATTTAGCGGGGAAACTGTGGGAGGAGAGGAAGGTATGGAGGAAGAGGTGGGGAGGGTATGAAGGGAGGGGGGAGAGGAGGAGGGGCATACCCACCCCTTTGTACCTTCCCCTCCTCCTCAAGAGCTGCGCTCTAATTTCGCATTACAGAGATTTGTAAACTTCTTTCCCTTTTTTCTGTGTATAAATAGCAGTTTTTTTACAAAACTTCCTTCAGTGCATTTTATATGATAATGCGATTTATAGTATGTGTTTTTTTTCTTCAAGTATCAACCTTTTTAACTTCGAAAATTTGTCGTACAGGTTATGTTTCTGGTTCGATTTGTTTACAAGAATGTTGCAACTGACTCCTGCTTGTGTATCTGTTGCAATGACATACACAACTGCAAACTTATCAATGCAGTTTCGCCGCACTGACCACAGAAATATTTATGAGCGAGTAATATACCAACTTTTTTTTTGTGGAAATACCCATTTATAGTGGGATGCAACTTATACAACAGCGTGGCTGATAGACCAGAAAATATGGTACGCGACTTTCCGGGGACTGCACAAAAACCTTGTATATTCCACAAGTCGCATAACCAGAAAAACAATGATTATGGCTTTGATGCTTGGACTTGTGGAATAAAGATATGCAGAACTTCTAAAATGACCTCTAAGCTAATAATCTGCTGGGCAAGAAAAAGGATAAAGCCCTCGGATAAATACAAGCGAATATCACTGTGGTGCGGTAAAGGCGGTGATAACATTTTGTTTTCACCTTGCCTCATTCCCAGAAAAGTGAACTTCCTTCCGAGGGCCGTTGCGGCCCTCGAAAGAAATTTTTGACGCAGGATTCATATTCATGCGTCACTAAATTCAAACTTCTAGTACATAGTCTTTATGGGAGCATCTCGGTTTAAAACAGCGCGACAAGACAAGGACAAAGTAAAGACGAGACAGACGACAAAAGCAGCTGACTATCAACTGATAGTCAGCACTGTCGTCTGTCTCGTCTTTACTCTGTCCTTGTCTTGTCGTGCTGTTTTAAACCGAGATGCTCATCGACCAACTAGCCCAAACATACCTTTTAGCAAGCTCTATGGGAAGTTCGCCAGCCTGCACCAAACTGTCGTAAAATGCGGGAAGTTGCATAAGCTGGGGACATGCAATCGGGATTCCACTGTTGTAAATTTGAAGGCATGCTTTCAATGAGAAACTTTCTAGGCAGTGTCAAAAACTACTGAATCGGTGCACTTTTCAAGAATATATGGCACGGGGACCATTGTATGGCATTCCAAAAGAAATGAAAAGCGTCTACGAATTTCTGTAATGCAAAATTAGAGCGTAGCTTTTGAGGCATTTTGATGTTGCAATTTTTCATGCTGAAGAATTTGAGAGAGAAATATATATGTGTACAAATATAGACTTCACTTGATTACGTAAGGTCACATGATCACGTAACCTTAAGTGATCATATAACTTCACCTGATCATGTAACCTTCTTTCTGCAAGTAACCTTACATGGTTATAATCACGTCACCTTCTTTTTGCACGCTCCTCCTCTTCCCTATCCTCCTCTCCTCCTCTTCTGTACCCTCCCCTCATTCATACCCTATCCTCTTCCTCCTGTGTACCCTCCCCTCCCCCTCCTGCATACCCTCCTCCTCCTCTCTACCCTCCCCTCCTCCTCCTCTGTACCCTCCGCTGCTCCTCCTCAGTACCCTCCCCTGTACCCTCCCCTCCTTCATACCTTCCTCTTCCACACCCTCTCCTCCTCCATACCCTCTGCTCCTCCTTCTGCATACCCCCCTTGCCACCCCCTACGTACCCTCCCCTCTTTCTTCGTACCCTCCCCTTGCTCTCCAGTTACGCCGATGGCAATGCCGACGCTGCAAAACACGGGAACGAGCACCTAAGAGTTGCGCTATAAAACACTTAATTTAAAAGCATTTCGATTTTTCTTTTATCAAAACGGGTTTCTTTATTGGCAGTCCCGCTTTCCCCATGGCCAGACTGCAACTAACCCGCAGCGCATTCTTCGCACGACAAGGGTGAAGTCAAGAGTTGATGTTCATTCTCATACATTCTTTGGAACGGCACTGCCTTTCATTTTGCCGGCTTACATTGCAATTCCTTCGCTCCTTCAAGGGAGGCAGTAGTTGCGCGCTTTGGCCACGGGGAGCGGGACTGCCGGCGCAGAGATGCCCTCGGGTAGAAAACCAAAACCTAGGAATGCGTCCAATTACGTCCGACACGACATCGTCGGGCGTAAATCGACGGGCCACAAACGAAGGTGCAGTAGGCGCATTGGTCGGAGACACTTTTCGGGCATCATGTTGTTGGTTGGGAAGCTCGGCCGAGCCCCGTGGCAGAACTGTCGAAAGAGAAATCGGTGCCTCATTTTCTTCACTTTCAGTCCTTACTCAAGTTCATGATTCCACTGGGGCTCGTATACTTGGCCGAATACTTCATCAACCAAGGCCTGGTACGTGGAACTCCATTGATGACGCTCAAAGTGCGACAAACTTGAATTTGGATTTGCTTCAATAAGGCTCCTTGAGCTACTCGCAACGGCTCACGACTTCTTGCGATCTCTTACGATGAGAGAACACGCTGGCGTCATGTGTTGGGTAGCCGTGGTACAATTATCCGTATATTGTGAAACGCCTTTAAAATGAAGTCCGTGGGACCAGCGAAATTTTTCGTAATACGTGTAACTTCGTCGTAGTAGTTGAATGCAAAAAACTCGATCGCGCGAGACCAAACTTGTGCTGTCGCGCGTTGAAGTAACTGCCCGACTTTAGAGGTGTTTGAGCAAGAAGTATAGCATCAAATATAGTATGAGCGATGACAAAAACAGGGTTTTGTACATCTATGATACCGCGTGCCCAGGCTTCGTAGCCACTGGCGCACTCCCTTTCCCCTTACTCTTTAAAAGTGGTTTATTAACATTTTAACTACCTACTATGTCTACGATTGACTCGTCGGAAAGTTGAATGGCCGAGTCTGCTGGCGCGTCGCGGCTTGAAGCACGTGGGGTGAAAGCTCGCGCCGCAGATTTCAAGCATCTTAAGCTCGATTACACTTTTTTTTTTCTTTTTTTCTAAATAAAAATTGTTTTGGTGTGTGTTTCTATACTTACTGCCGCTTGATGTGGTTTAAAGACTCCTGGCTAGTGGTCGTACCACCACTGGCAAAGTTGGTCATCTGCGGCCGAGACACCGGGTGCTCCTTGCTGCGGACTAATTTCCTGCTGTCCAAACTTTCGGGCAACAAACTTAACCGGCTTACCAAAATATGAATTGCTACAATTGCTAAACCGCTGACACCGACCCCGAATCGCGCAGCGAAGGCATTTGCCGGCTGGGTAACCTGAGCCTTCCCTAAATCGGGCGGTAGCCCAATTCAGGAAAGGTCAAACTTACACAGTCAACGAAAGCCTTTGCTGCGCGTGACCATACAGTTGAAAAGAAAGGACAAAAAAATTTGTGTCTGTGTTTTTTTTTTTTGTTTAATTCTAACGAAAATAGATGCACAAGTTTAGTTTTGTGAAGAGCTTTGATTACGTATGGGTACCTAGTTATAGTACAGTAAAAGCATGTGCTCTTTCGTACCATGTGCTTTCAAAGGATGTTCTCACTGCCAATCCTTTTAATGTTTGGATAAAGAAAATTACGTAAACACGTTGTTTCGTCTTGCTTTTGTATCCCTTAGTGCATCTTTTACAGGAAAAAAAGCGCTTTTCTAAAAATGTTTGGAAAAATATGCTAGCTTCCTGAGCTTCTCTTGCTCAAAGACACACTCACGTAAGATGTCCGAACTGGTCTTCACATTTATTTTAAAATCACTCACTCGCCCCCTTTGGGTACAGGACATCCTGTTAAGCGGCCAGGTTTTTTACTGTTCTTTTCCGTTTTCAGCTGGAACTCATTGTGTTTAGGAACACCAAACTTTCTCACAAGGAACAGTACAGATGGTAAGCCACTCGGTCCTGGATTTTTCTGGTCATTTGGTAAAACAACGAGGCAGGCAAACAATTTAGGATGTTCAGATCTGCCCCTATACTCCTATTTCTTCCGCCCGTGGTTTTGGCAGCACTGCATGCAACAGGTATAGTATAGGGCTCTGCACGCAGCAGTCGAAATATGGGCACGTGTCTCTCTCCGGTGTGCCGATTGGCTCACCAGGGCCGTAGCCTTCGCCCTTGGCCAAGTTACGACGAGACTGATTGGAGGCCTTGTGTGCCCTAATTATTTCCTCTCGGGATGTAGTTGCAGTTCTGTTCACCGTATTTATTTAAAAAATAGGTCGACCTTTTTATGAATGGACCTTGTGCCTGCTTTCTTGCAGAACCCACGAAGTCCAATCAATAAGAATTAAAAAGCCATCGAATGGCAAAGTGCAGATAACGTTTGGAATGAAAAAAAAAAAAAAAAATGCAATCCACATGGGACTTGTTTTTGTGCCCCGACGTTATCGGTGCCCCGTTTGCTGGGCGTCTTTCGTAAATCACCACGATTGGCTCTTCTGGAGCATGGCAGCATAGAAATACACGCGCAGACATTGTTCGTAAAGTGGTCGACCTACTTTAAAATAAATTAAGTAGGTGTCTATCTACTTGTAAGATGCCGAGTCAAGATGTTGTAGAAAATCTTTCGTCTCAACTCCGATACAGTTTTGGGGTCGAGGTTTTAATTTTGACCAAAACGATGGGTGTTTTCGGATCATTCTTGACGTGGAAGACAGTGCAACTGGCAAGCTTGGCGGATTTCTTGTTTTTACCTTCTTGACCATTGAAGTGGCCAGGGCAAAAACTGGTGTTTCTCTCACCTGTTTGAAACCTCACTATTTTGTCACTTCTCAAACCATTGCACTGGGACGCTTCTGTGGTACTCCTGAAAGATATTGCATTATTCCTAATAAATATAAAAAGTTCTTATATTCTAGTTACCTACCGTAATATCCCGAGTCATCGCCCATCCCCGAGCCATCGCCCACCCCATTTTTTGGGCCAATATCGATTTCCGAAAAAACACCGAGTCATCGCCCACCCCTTCAAATACCCCAGCGCGGACTCTGCGATCCGCGAACACTCATCCTACCCGAATGACGCGGCCGCGGACCTTACAGTTGGAGGACGTCCGTGACGAAGTAAAACGAAGGAGGGAAAGACACTTCTTTTTGTTTGCGCATTTCCTCCGTGAGCGACCCCAAAGTGGTCGTGTATCCGTGCGAAAAGAAAACGATGGAGATAACAAAATAAGAGTTTGTTAAAGGAGCTGTGCAACAATTTCAGGGCTTTGCTTAAATAATTGTGGAAGTTGATGCCTGACACTTCTGCAGTGAACTACAGAAAACAGATTTTGCCTGGATACCCTAGTTTTTACTTAAAAGAATGAAAAAGATCCAGGTTTTCGCCGCCTCTCAACTCGTGCATCGTCTTCCGGGTCACGTGCACAGTGACGTCACTAGAGTAGGCGCGGAGTTCCGGAAAAGTTCTCTCTTTAGAGCCATCAGCGAGCAGCGAGAACTCATCCGCTGCCGACCGCGTGACCACCCGTCCTTGCCCGTCCGGTGCTGTCCCCCTCCCCCTCCGGCTTCTGGCGGCTGTTTGCGGTTTTGTGGACCTAGGATAGATGGCGCCACTAAAACTCCGTATAATAAAAGTTTTGTGGATGATACCAGGGTGTTGACGCATTTATATATATGTTGGAACGACAAGATTTGTAAAAAGAGTTACCTTTTATCGAGCAGGTATTCGCACAACTTGCTATCTTTCTTACAACGACCCAAGTGACGTCACGCCGCTTGTTTCTCATGGCCGCCGCTCGTGGCTGCAGGTCGGGAAATATTCCAAGTTTTGCCTCGCTATTACGCGGCGGAATCGCAACATTGCGATGAAAGGAGGTGTGTTTTCTGCCATTTGTGACACAGTGAACAATATCAAAAGCAGAAAATGCCAATTCTTTCAACGTTAAAATCGTTGCACAGCTCCTTTAACGTAACCGTGGAGTGTTAGGTCAAAGTCTGTCTCCGCCGAAGTAAGGTCACCGCGAACCCACTCTTTCTTCCCGCCCGTCGCGACCACGGTTGTGCAATATTTTAGGCAAAGCCAAAGCGTAAATAAAGCTTTGCTGGAACGTCCTACACAGACGTTTGCAGAGCGTCCCAACCGTGCATTGATAGCCCGCCTTGCACGGACGCACGTATGTACGCACCAAACAAGTTGTGCAAGAGCTTGCAATTGACAAGGCGCCCGACTTGGCCCGACGCCAAAGTATTTGCCAACGCGACCGCCGGCTTTCCCGCTTTCCCAGCATTGCTCTTGGTCGCTTCTTTGGTCCGCTCGCTCGCTCGCTCGTTGCGCCTGGTCGGTTTTTCTATTTTCTTGTAGACTTTCTTTTTTTTTTTTTACTAACTAGGAGAACATAATGGTGACATTCTTTCACGGAACAAACGTTCGCGCTATATGCAGATCGGCGGTGTTTCTAGCGCGTATGCAAGCAACGGACTTCGCTATAGTAAAATATTCTTTCGTGAGCATTTTTTTCAATAAAACAATGAAACTAAATCGAGTTTTGAGTTTGATGTATCTCTTGTGCATCAGCGCTAAATACGCAGAGAAAAATAGGCGGTTTTTTCCGCTTTTTTTCAAGTGCTTGTGCTCACCCACCGAGACATGGCCCACCCCACTTTTTTAACGAATTTCAGGCGGTAGGGGGGTGGGCGATGACTCGGGATATTACGGTATATTCTAAAATCCCTTTTTTTTTTTAAATGTCAATTGTGTTTCTGATGATTTTTGGCAAGTTTTAGCTGTGACCGATATTTAAGATATTTAAAATAAACCTGATATCATCAGAAGGCTCAAACTTTGCTTTTTTTTTATTCAATACAAATTCAGTATTATATAAATACTAGATAAAATCCATTATGTGCATCTTGAATGAACAAATGTTTTCAAAATCTACCTAGTTCAAAATATATTTTCTTAAAACTTTGATTTTTTATTTCTTTCATTTTTATTAGTTGCAAGCTATGATAGTGGTTTATCAGAAAATATAAATAGAAGATGTAGTATTTTGTTTGTAAGGCCGCAATTAAAGCTTGAATCTTGTCAGATGTATGTTGTGAAGGCATCCTCACACAGATGCTATTATGGCCAATATTGTAGTGTGCATATGGTTAATTACCTAGATTAACACTTACATTCAAATTTATTCTTAAATAAGATTAAAAAATATGCACCGTAATTTCGCGCGTGTAAGCCACATCCAAATTTGTTTAAAATTAAAGGCAAAGTAGGGGTGCGGGTGACGCGCGAATTTCAGCGGGCAGTGCAGCTTCACGGCAATGCGCGCGGTCGTAGGGATAGATTCCCAGAGTCCCTCTTCTCCAGTCTCTCCTAGGGATTCCCTTTTCCCCATTTTTTTCTTCTTTCTCCTCCTTTTTTCGGGCAGCCATGTTTGAGTTGTTTTTGCGGGCTGAGTAGTTGAGCTGAGCCGCTGTCGATTCGACGGCACTGCGCGGAAGAAGAAACACCTCGCATATCCAAAATATGCGAAGTGTTTTTTGTTTTTTTCAGAGAGTAGTAAGTTGGCGATTGAAGTTACTATATGCAGGGGCAGGTAATATGCGCAAAAATATTGTATTGCATAAAAATACATCTTTTCAGTACAGGAGAGTCGCACATTTTGTAAGAACACGAAAAATCTAGCTCATAAAGTGTTTGACAAATAAAGGGGCACAATTAGACATAATCCAGCAGGAATCAATGACAATAAAATATGTACATATACAAAAATATAAACGGGGTAACCACTGACACTGTTCTGGCTTCTGCACCAGGCTAGTGCAATGTAAGCCTAAGAATGAGGGATGTGCAAACACTGGATTTTGAGTTTGAAGCAAATTCAAAGTGCATAATGGTTTTGGTAGAATATATTTTATTAGAGTATGGCAGGGGTTCTCAAACTTTTTGGTCTCACGAAACCCCAGGAAGCCTCAAAAACTGCCGCAGAACACTCCCCCTCCCCCCCCCTCCATATTTACCGACCGAGAAGCAACAGATGCACAATTGTAGGCAATTTTGCTTGTGTTGCTTCCCATATATCCCCACCATATCAATCGCGACGTTAGTACAAAGTGAGATGAAGGCGCTTTGCATGGTCCTGCCGCGCAGCCTGCGGCGTTGGGGGGGGGGGGGGGGGGGGGAGGGGGAGGAGGGGGGGAGGGGGGAGGGAGGGAGGGAGGGAGGGAGGGAGGGAGGGAGGGAGGGAGGGAGGGGAGGGGGGGGGAGGCGAGGGGCGTTGCAATATGGGTGTTCGCGGAACCCATGACACCAGCTCAAGAACCCCCGTGTTCCCCGAAACCCAGTTTGAGAACCCCTGAAGTATGGAATAGTTTTTTCGAGCCTTTCACTACCATGCACCATGCTTAAACAAAAATTCAGCTGAACTTTCAAAGGTTGTGCCCAACCTTCTCCTTCCTGACACGAGAATATAAGGAAATGCTCTTACATCGTCGCATTTCATGAAATAACAATTATTTACACGTCGCAGATCCGACCTCGTACTGCTGTTTTATGGATCATTCAGACGGCAGCCATTTTGATAGAAACTAGCACCCCTCTTATAGGCTGTGAAAGTGTCAAATGCTTTTACATAATCGCAGGGAGTAACCTCAACGAGTGCGTTTCTCACCGAACACCTGTGCACTGCAGGGAAGCAATGCACGCGGAGCCTGTGACCTCCGTGGGTATTGCTTCCCCGCAGTGCTCGGATGCTGGTGAGAAGCACACCCTCCACAACCAACACTTTGAAAAGTATGAATATTGCAGTTCATCTCAAAGCAAATATTGGCTAACGTATTATTCGAAACTAGTATTCGAGTATTCGCGCAACGTTATTAAAAAAGGCTGTACGCCCATTTAGTTTCGGGCAAAAACAGCTAGTGTGATTTGCTTTTGACCAAAAACGGCTGGTATTTTTTTGTGCAAGCGCAGCAGATGAGAAAGGTTATTTCTTATAACCTGTCGCCAACTGTAGCAACGTTGTGCTGGGTGCTGACTTTTTCTGATTTTCCCGATTTCGAATTCGGAATGCATCCAGGTTTCTGAACTGTATTGAAATGGTGAGCATGTTGGAAGGCTTTGATGGTATAAGCGCTTTTGCTTCCAGGCTACAAGTGATGTATCAAGTTGGGGTTCTCATCTCCCGGTCTTCCGTCAACTTTATCCAAATACGCAAGCTCTGGATTTTGCCCATCTTGCAGGTAAGTTCTGTTCCGCCGGCTCAAGCCACAGTACCGCCGCTCGTACATGGTGCAAAAGACACCGGTGTTCGCTGCACACATAATGGTATCTGCGGTCACGCCTCGAGCATATTCGAAGGCTTCGCACGTATGTGTGCTTCTAACATGTCTGTTGTTGATGCTGCAGTGTCAACAACTATCAGAGAGTGTCTACACACTGTCTTTTGTAGGATGTAGTATTAGCAATGCCACTGAGGCTTTAAGGCTTGCGACTGCTTGCAGATGAGTGCAATACACCTTGCGATCTCTTTTGACGAGAGCATACACTGGCGCCTCTCACCATGGGCCATAAAACGCTTGTCATTTTTGTATATTTCAAATTTTTTACGCGCTTCATTCTTTCACTACAGTCGCTGACCGATTTTTTAAACTTTGCAAGAACCACAAAATTGTCCAAATAATAGAGCAGTCTGAAAAATCGGCAGATGAAGAAACTCGCCTTTATTACGTCTTAGCAGGCTTAAAAAAGCCGTAACTAGTGCCTTGCTTCGGGTTACGGCCACGCACCTTGTTTCAGCTTACGCTGAAACAAGGTGTTCGGCAACTTTCTATTAGCTTGAGAATCACCACCTTCTTTTCTAGCATTATGGTTGAGTACTTCCATGCTTCTTAGCGACACATCGCGGCAGCGGAAGAACAGATGGGGCAATGACGTCCAAGCCAGCGTAGTCCGAAAACACGATTCACCGAGACAAGATCCAGATGAGAAGCATAAGTCAACGACTGCAATGGCCAATGAACAAAGCAAAATGGTAACAACAGCACTGATGATAATGACGCGCAGCTAAAGAAAAAAAAGCCGTACAGTGTCACCTAGCGGTAGCACTCAGGAGTACCCAGGTAGCGCTGCAAAACTAAGCCAATCCATGTGCACCCAACGTAGAATCCAAAATGGCCGTTCTCGGTGGTATTTCTCACTGATCGCTCGCTACGATTTTGTCCCAAAAATCGAACTTTTGGACTTCAAGCTGTCCGAAACATTGGTCGTGAATATGCACTGTTCTCTATTGTGTAGGCCAAAGCTCCTCCTTTAGGTCCGAAATCCACATTATCGGTGTCTGAAAAATCGGCCGGTGACTGTATTGGCTTCTGACAATGTTATCAACTACAATTTCTTATAGAGGGTATGTGCATTTGATCTATCGAATAGTGCAAAACCTTCGCTCTAATGAAATGTGGTTCCAGGGCCACATCATAGATGGCACCAGTGTTTCTCATCGTATCGCAAGAGCTCATAATGGTCTCAGTCGTAAGCAGTCGCGAGTGCGCGTACCAGCCTTTAGCCGCAGCAAGAATATTTTGTGTTTGCAGCTTGGATTGCCGAGGACCATTTGGCTTATGTATGCCCAGAGCCATTTTGTTACCTCGACTTAGTTCCATACCATTAGCGAAACACTGAATAAGCAACAAGAACCCAACCACTCATCGCGTAATTTATGTCCCTTTTAAGTCGGGCTAGATATTTTGCTGCTTCGTTTTCTCCCAACGACCCACCGGCTGTGTGAACGATGCGTTGGTTAGCGTCGGTATAATCTGAGAACTTGAGACTCTACCGACGATTTTAATGTGGGAAAGAGAGTGCATCGGCCTTGTTTGCTTGACCAACTAGTTGGTCGAGCAAGATCAATCCAGTAAAAATCTTTTACTCGCAAATGTTTCTACAGGGAGCTCGGTCTACTAAAGCGGTTTCTGAGATCGTCTATTTATGGTCATTACTCCACCTTCGGCCTCCAAGCGTTCTAAACACAAAAGATTATATTGATATTCGTTTCGATTTTGTTATTCAAAACAGAATCCACGATCGCAACACGCCCAGTTTTCTGTGATTCGGCCAGAAACCTAATGGCACTGTCGGAGATGCGACAGCCAATCGCAATCGTTCGCTTCCGGCAAGGCAAGGGGTCCGACCAATGGCAAACTTCGATCGAGTATACACGAAAAAAAAAAATCTGCCGTTTACAGCTGTGCTACGTGTGCGCACTTGTCACAGCCGATTGTGGGAAGAGCAATTGGGGAAAAAGGGTCGGAAGAAAAAGATTTAACGGCAGACTAATCGTCCAATGTGTGCAATTCGCACATGGGAAGCAATCACTCATGATTTGGCTGTTGCATATGTCTAGTGGTGCCTTTTTGGTTTCTGCACTGAATCACAGAAAAACTGGTCTGTAGTAGTCTTGGGTCCCGTTTTAGGGAAAGGAGACACATGACAATCTAAATTTTTTTAAAGCGATAGCTTTATGGGTGACACTTTGTGAAGATTTTGTACCCGTCACCCATTGTCATCGTCGTCACTGCACATGTGAAAAATGGAAAAACCTTTTTTTCCTCCCCTCCTTCCGCGAGGAGATAAAAGCCGAAACTCCGTCCGCCATGGCGCAAGAAGCGACAGAAGGCAAGCAAAGAGGACAGCCCTGGCGTCCCGCCAAGAATCGTGCAACGAAGGCATATGCGCTCGAATCATTGTGTCGTCTGCTTTAAGCAGATGGCACAATGATTTGTGACGAAAAGATGAATTGTGCCGTCTGCTTGAATGACCTGTTTTCAAAGATTACTCGCATGCAAAATCACACTTTGGCAGTATCCAGTTACCATGCGTAATGTTGGGTGGTTTTAGGCTTCCGCCTCCACTTACTTTATGGATTACTGGTGGCAGTCCCCAGTGGCATCCAAGACGGCAAACATGACTGCTACGAGAATTAACTACTTCGTGCCTCCGTCCTCAGATATGCGACGGCACCATTTCGCCCCGATAATTTCACATTTTTTTGTCCTGCACCGAAAATTGACTTCCGAGAAACAGAATCTGTGAAAAAAATTAGCCTAAACAAACAGCACTCCCGAATTCCAAGAAAGATATACCAGAACACACGGAACTCTAGTCATGACATCCCACAGATGTCAAGGGAGATCTGTAGTCAGCTATGCACCCTTGAACCCTAATGTCCCATTGGTGGACCATAGGGGGATCATGACATCACATATGTTTTAGGGACCTTTAAAGACTATTGAATCATAACATTCTACAGATCTCCTAGGGGCATCTATAAACCATTGAACATTAAGATCCCACAGATGTCCCAGGGACATCTGTGGTCGGTTGAACTATAACACTCCACAGATCCCAGGTCTATGGACCGTTGGGCCATAGGTGTCATCTGGGCTTGGTTCTGTGGCATTAACGTTTGCTCCATATGCTCAAAGTTGCGGTGCTTGAATGCGCTCGGAGACTGATTGATCACTTGGTGTTTTTTTACTGAAGCTTTGCCTTGTGCTGTGGAACCCCGTGAACTCCACCTTTCCTCTGCCTCGCAGTTCATCAACGTGGCCTTCATCTTCTCCGAGGCATACTTGCTTTTTCTGCCGAGCTTCTGGATTGTGGTGGTGGTGGTGCTCTACGAGGGCCTCCTGGGAGGCTCTGCCTACGTCAACACTTTCTACCGCATCTCGCAGGACGTGAGTGTGCAACGTCGTCTACTCAACACGCAAAACACCTACTATTTCTAGACTGTCCCAGAAAAGTGCAGTCACTTAAAGGGAACACTGGTCCTCAAGCTTTTTTTCTTAGCATTTTGGCTCGGCCCAATGAAACAGCACAGGCTTGTTAAAAATTTTCTGCTGATTTCAAATATGTTTTTTTTTTTTTTTCAAATTGGTAGGTTTGTTTCCAGGATAATTATAAGTAACCAGAATTTGTTTCCAAAAACAATAGTCAGAAATCATTTAAAAAAAGAAGGCTTTAACATATGGTCACATACTACAAATTACGAAGAATACAATGTTGGAAGCATTTTTTAGATTTAACCATTATCAGTGACTTTACAACAGATTCAAGTTCAGTGCTCGATCTGTGGCTACGAAGCAATAAAACAAGTTCCAGTAAAAATTTTCCTACACTTACGGTATAATGAAACGTCTGCTTCCAACATTGCATGCGTTGCACATTTAAAGGAGCTGTGCAACAATTTTTGTACTGTGCACAAATACCGCTTAAAACGGATTCCTAACGTTAATGACCTATGAAACACGCGTTCGTTTTTCACCCCACGCAATAGAAGTCCCAGAAAAAAATTTAAGAAAAACGAGCAGCGTTCACCCCCTCAACTCGCAGCCAGAACAAGCGGCCACGTGATCTGGAGCCGATTATATGCCGCCAGTGTTGATCATAGCCACGCGCTGGGGTTGGCAAAGCGCAGGACATGCGCCGAGTTCCAGACATTGTTATGGCTCGGCTGTTGTCGTCATTGGAGCGATTGGACACGGGTCACAACCCGAATGCTTCTCGAGCTAGCAATTCTCACGAGCCCAAGTCGAGTGCCCACGCAATGCTCGGGTCCAATCCATGAACCGCATTCAAATATCGTCACTTGGGTGCTCTGCGATCCCCGAGTTACGTCATCAAATTTTGCAAAGGAGAGATTGAATGAAAATGATCGCTTTTGTCCTTGAAATTACACCGCAACAAAGGAGTTTCTTGGCCAATGGCGTTGCGTGTGAGTATCCTTGAGTCCCACTAGTGCCAGTAAGCTCGTGTAGAGAGAAAAACATTCCAATTGAATATCGTTGCACAGCTCCTTTAACTACATCTTGCTAAAAAAAGTTATATTTCTGTTTCTGTCTCCCTAGATGCTCAGATATCCCTCCTGAAATTTCGTAAGGAGTTCAAAATTTGTGTTTCGAGAAAGTGTTGTTTTAACATCAGCTTCAGTGCAATTTCAGCCCACATAGATATTATAAAGTGATATTATGGCTGAAATATTAACCTTCAAAATAAGAAACTTGGCAAAGAAAAAAAATTGCTTTCTTCCAAAAAAAACAGTTTTTTAGTGATTTTTTGGTTCCAAAAACTCATGTCTCCGCTTAAGTAGGAAGGAAAGGGAGCGGGTCAAACATGCGATTCCTGAAAGGCAAGAAATGAGTCGGTTTCCACCTCTGCCGCTTCAATAATCCACAAATTAAAAACTAGGAATTGTTCAAACCTACCGTTTGTGCCCTCTTTTGTTGGAGGAATGCCCCCCAAAACATTCTTTTCGTGAAAATGAAAACTTTGACCCTTTTTGCCTGCATGACTTGAGACGAAATCATCGAACTGCATTTTTTTAATGCACTGGCTTTACTCTCCCCGGCATGTTATTTAGCATCTTTAATTTCATAGTAGCTATGGAGAAAACAGCAAATGAAGGCGATTTCAAATTGCCTTTCAAATTTTCCCGTGCTTAGCATTAGAGTTCTGCACAGATAAGTTTGATCATCCACATCCAATCCACATTCTGCAGACTTTGTATCTGTACCTGAACCGCATCCACAATGTTCTTAAATTATTGTATCCGCATCCGAACCACATCTGCAAAATTCGGAACTAAATCCAACCACCAATTCACAGATTCATGTTACATCATGATATCATGCGTGAATGAAGAATACAAAAGCATCTGGATGATATCTTGTAAATTATAAGCCGTTACCTTATCTTTGTACAGTGAAACCCGTTTAGAACGAACCCACGTACAGCGAATTATTGTCGATATCGAATTCACGGAAAATTTTAATAAAAATGCATGTGAAAAAGTAATTTTTATAACGAACCACATATTGGCTATATCAAACTTTTTCTCACCGGGAAGGCTTCCAAGAACGTGCCAATAATCGTCTTCTAGCCTCTCCCTTCTCCCACAAAAAAAAAAAAAAAAAATCTAGGAAAGAAAGGAAATTCCAAAAGCTCAAGCCGCAAACAAAATTGAGAAAGAGAAGTGATTAAGAAAATGACAAAGCTGAAAAAAAAACACTAAACGCTCACACAATTTTTTTTTCAGCGGAAAGCGGTTGTCTTTGAAGAGAACTGATTCAGAGGGGGAGATAAGCTAAAAAAAAAAACTCTGCACTCATATGCAAAATAGAAAAAAAAAATTTCCAGCGCTTTGTTACAGGGTGGAAGCGGGATGAGAAAGAGAAGCTCTTGCTTACAACGAACGCATCGTGGAAGTTCGTTGTAAATGGTTTTTGCTATATCGAACTACTTGCTATATAGAACTGATCGTTGCGTTTCCTTCTGTTCGTTATAAACGGGTTTGACTGTACAAAGAACTCAGAGTCTGAATACGGCGAAAGTAATTTTATCGTATTCTGTTTTATCATATTTATATTATAAGCGATCATCCCTCCAGAGGCACTTCTCGTCGCTGGAAAGGTGATCACAGTGATGCGATCATCCTGAAAGTCTGCGACACCCTGCCCAGAAGATGAGATCAAAAGGACATTTTAAGATTTTATTTTAGCTGCATAACATTCATTTCGAGCAGATGCCTATTTTCTAAATATGAAAATTAATAAAGGACACACTAATAACATTGTGCAATTTTATTTAGGTGAAACGAATAAAAAGTAGGAAAAAAAGGCGTTCACTCTCTGGAGTGAAGTAGTCATTTCTATACGTGGCAAGACGCGAGTTCACCACTGGGAAAATATCACAATATGCCATGATGGCAACACCTCTAATCGGTCTAACTTTTAAACCAGACCTGTATCTGGATACTTTGCCAGCTGTTGAGAGAAAACAAATATGCACACACACGCCATGTTTCACTTGTCGAGGAGGCTTCTGCTTTCTTGTGGCTTGTACGTTTTGGGTTTCCTTTGCCCGAAGAATGTTTTTTGTTCTTTCCCTGCCAAACAACAACCTGCTTTCCTGGGAAGATTGATGCCTCTGCATCCTTTAGTTTCTCTAGGAACAGCATTTTTGGCTAGATAGAACGCTCTAAAGCAATCTCCAGTGAGAATCGGGTCTTTCTTGGTGTAAAGAACTATTGTATCTCCGATTGGCACCTTTTCTCTAAGAGAGTAATTGCTCCCACAAAACGTTGAACGATTCACTTCATGGTATCACTCGCTTATTCACTCCGCACTCTGCGGTCGCACACGTTTATGGGGCACTTCGTCAAAAATGTAGATCCGAACCCGTGGATATCCGCAGCCCCCGGCATCCGTAACTGATCCACAATCCACCAAATCTGATTCATTTTTCTTTTGGGCTTCTAAGCAAATGCTGAAGTGAGCTTCCATAGCATTCAAATCACATCGTCGTACTTTTTGTGATCACTTAACTAGTTCAGCTGCCCAGACAGTCGACCTGTGCCATCCCCTGGCGTCTCGTTTTTAGTGCTGCTCGTACGGGTGAAAACACTTTGTCAATAGTAAAAGAGTAATTATTGAATATGCAATGGCGTTCTGTAGGTTTGCCTGGCCGCAGAAGCAAGCAGTCTTTGCTTTTTTGGGCCAGAATGGTTTTGTATAAATTTTCGTGAATAAAATTGCCATTACTAATATAATTATTACTTTGAAAAAACGGTGAAGGCCAAAACCTAGGAATCTCATAACTTTGACAAAAAAGTTATTTTGACGTTATTGGTAGGGTATTTAAGTTATCAGTTCATCCATATTTATTATTGCTGCATTGAGCCAATTTTGAGGCACATCATTGATCCCGAAAAAAAATGTCGGAGTACCGCTTTATGAGCGGCGCATTTGCACTTTTTAAATCATGTCAACTACGCCTTTTGACTCGTTCTTAATTAACCAGACTGTTATTTGGCAACCTTTGCCAGTAACTTTTTCTACCTACCTCCATTCCCCCTACCTCCATTTCTCGTATAATGCACTTCATTGATGTGCATTTCATGAAGGAAAGAGTTAAAAATGTACTGCTCGAACTACTACTAAATCATCTTGTGTCCCTATAAATTTATGCCACCTCACTAAACAAAACTGCCATATTTAACATTGTATAAAAGTATGTGTCATCTGCACGATCGATGTATTTTTTTTTAATTAATATTATTTCTCGTAGCGTTGCATTGCCATTGTTTGCCTCGTAGGGGTACTGAGGGCTCGTCAAGCTGCATAAAAGCGGCTTTTATTCTTCGGTATCCCCCATCACTAGGGGTGGAAACAAACGAGGTTTTAATCGAGTACCTTGGAGGATTATTAAAATGAATTGAACAATGTCTCGCAGGTTCCGATTCAGCATCGAGAGTTCTCTCTGCGGATAGCCTCCCTGGCGGACAGCGCGGGCATCGCCATCGCCGGCGCCATGGCACTTCCGACGCACGACGCCATGTGCCGCCTCAAGTACTGACCGGTTGCGTCGCGGCTTCTGAGGCAAGTTACGCGACCCATCTTCCAGCCCTCTCCATACTCCGCCCAAGTCAAAGGCCGTTCCAGTGACCAAAAAGTACTAACCGTATCGTACAAGGGGATCCTAGTGAAGGGGAGCTCCAGCAGTTTTTCGGGCTACCCAAACTAAACGGGTTTCCTGAATACTCAGGCTCGACTCTTTTCCGGCAAGCTATTTATAACCTCCGAATTCGAGGTAGCTATTGGGAAAACGGCAGAGAAAGGTGATGCCTAGACCAACGTTCAAAGTTTCCTACGCGCTTCAGTGGGGCAACATCGCACGTCGTATAACATAGAAGTCAAGCAGGCAGGTAGTCTAAAAACTTTTAACAGCGAAGCTGTTTAATTTAATACTGGTATGTACTTTTGTACATTCAGCAGGAAAATGAGACAGAAAACCGTAGGACCAAACATAAAAACTTGCCCTCAGTTTTTTACAATGGCCGGAAAGAAAAGAATCAGTTCCTTTCTTTCCGGCACACCATAGAGCGGCTAGAAATGTTACGTGGAATTCTTCTGAAGACTGTGGTAATGTGTACTAAATAGATGTCCTTCTCTGCTATTTTATGCACTAGAGGATTTCATAGTTTAAACATTGGGCCATTTCAGTTTCATAATAATGTTTCCAAAATTTCTTCCTTCCACGTTTGGCTGAGCTGTGGAACAGCTTTGACGGACCTTTGTGCAGTCTTGCAGAGAATGATGTTATTTCAGCAATTATGCGTCTTTTTTTGTCTTAATGTGGTTGTTTTGAATCACTATTTTCTAGGGCGTTTTATTTTTTGTTGTTGCTTACTTTGTTCACCATTACTGCAAGCTGTTGCCTCCGTACTCCTGCGGTGACCTCAAATGAGGTTGTAGCATGTGCAAGTAAATAAAAAAGTAAATAAAGAGGAGACAAACAGGCTCATGATTTTTAATTTCAGCATAAAACAGCACATGCAGATACCATTAACAATTTAAACAGATTTCTTTTTTTTTTAATTGGGATGCGGGGATTGTATTTTTTATATCGGGAGCGTAGGAAGGCCTTTCCCATCGTACGGGGCATCTAAAAACTCGTCAACTTGATCGTTTTCGTTGCGTTTTCTGCCCTGTTTGAGCGTAAAAAGTGGGGATGCGGCTGACAATGTTGTTTTGTTTTTTTCAGGTGGGTTGGTACTTTCCCAGTCTTCCCAACACCTGCGCAACCGGCACCACGCGAGCGGCCAAAAGTCCTAGAAAGGGCAAACTCGCCAAGTTTCCACAAGAGAGCGGTTCCCATTCCAGACCGCAGACCACCAAGTCCATCCATTTTTCCACGTTTTGTATTGGCCGGGCCGACAGCTTCGCACATTTTGTCGGGCGGCCGAGGCCGGCGTTCCATTTTATGGCGGGGTGAGATGCGCGGGGCGATTCATCTCGATCGTACGTTAATTTACCGTACTGCTCGTCCCTTCAAGTGCCAGATTTTCTGCCAAACCCCCCTCCCCCAAGGCAGGCCTTTTTTCTCCGCACATCAAACGCAAATTTCGGTCCCAGTAACGGCGTAGCATGCTTTATAAATAGGGTCCTTCAGTTTTTAGTTTTATCTTTTAAAAAATTTGGGGGGGCGGGGGGGGGGGGGGGGGGGGGGGTAAAAAATTGGCCGCTTCGATCCAAGATGGTAACTAGAAGAAATCATGTTTTTTTTTTAATTATTATGAAATTCTGGCTTTTCAGATTATATTTAGAAAGATAAGAGTATAATTAACAATTGACCAGTTTGAATACGAAGATTGTTTTTTAATAAAATACCGCGCACAGGATGGCATTGAGACACGATAAAGAGCTCACAAAAGGGCTTTTAAATTTTTTATAAATCATTGTTGCTGACATAATGTCCTGCATACACAGCATATCTCTGTCTCCATCCTAGACCTGTCCAGTTTTCAGACATAATATCTGCATTTAGAGAATGTTCTCAGCATTACAGCTTACCTATGTGCATTTGCAATGCGTAATTTCTCGCCATTCTCAGGGGTGGAACGGCTGCGCCATTTGCGCCATTTTGCGCCAGACGCATATATCTGCGCCATTCTGCGCCATGTTGCAGAAACTGCGCCACAACCAATACCACAACCAATGCGCCAGTATGCGCTAAATCGCAAAACGTGCCCCCAAAAAATTTTATTTTTTGTCCTGGTTTTGGTTTTTATCGACTCGATTGGCAACAATGAGCACGTTTAGCTTGGTCGGCCTTGTAATCCTTTGTTCTGTTTATTCTCCCTGTGTATCCCGAGTTGGAAGCGCGTGAAAGAACTCGGATTTTAAGCGCCACACGACCTGCGACTGGATTGTTATTCTTCAACCATAGGCGGTCGGCCTAGGTGAGGTCGAGTCGTTCAGCGTCAGATTGCCTGAAGCTCTGTGGCCCGGGATCCAAACGTTAGCCTTCATCGTTGTTGGAACCGCATTCTCTCAAGACAAATTTTGATTTGATAGAGCTGCACGCGGTCTGATCCGAAACCTTGCTGGCCAGCAGCCCTCACGCGAGCGCTTCAGATACGATAACTCCGTTAATCATAGTCTGCTGCTTCGATATTGAGTTGCACAACTCGAAATTTGTTTCCCTGTTCCTCCGCGCTACTGCACGCCCGTCGCTTACGCACGCCACGTGGTTCGCAGATATAATTACTATGTTGAGCACGTGTGGGTTGTGCGATAAGCAGTGCTGGTTTGCATTTTGAGCAGCTGAAAGCCACTCGGAAATATCAAGGACGCTATCTTCAGAAACATATGGTACTTGCTTTTTGGTTCTCATTAAGGCTCACAAAGTTTCAAGTTTTCGCATCTGTTACACTGTTATCCCATCTACCTAGGTCCCTAACCACTCATGTTCATCCATGCTGCTTAGCACAATTGAAATTGCTCCCGTGCTTGTCTAAGGCACAAGCTGAAGTGCAATGAAAACTGAACTGAGCTGCTCCTAGCCTGCTCCAGAACGCAGTTTTAGCTGCTCCCAACCTGCTCCTAAACAGCTGTTTCAGCTGCTCCCGTGGCTGCTCCCAAGCGCAGTTCATGAGTTCCACCCCTGCATTCTTTTCTCGCTTTTTTTTTTTTTTTGCGCTAGTTGAAACGGGGAAAAGAAGGGGAAAGGGTACTTCGGAATGGACATAAAGGCGGCATTTTAGGGCTCAATCTATGTTACTGCAGTTCACCGAATCCAAGAGAATCTAGGACTGTTTCCGAGGTCTGGAACCGGCGCGTCTGTCTCGACCAACTCTGTTTCCTAGAATATATTTTCGGAGCGAAGTGATATGGAAAATGGTGAAACTCCGTTTCCGAATTCGGGTGAAAATTGGGTTTGGCCCGGTTTTCAAGAAACATGTCCGGGGCGTAAATGTCGGAAAACATTGGGTTTTACCCGGAAACGAAGGACCCTATTTACGAATCATGTTTCACGCTTTCAGTGAATATTGATCAACTTTTAGAAAATCAACCCTCGAGACGGTTATATCGAAATCGGGGAATACCAAACAAACCTTGAATTTAGAGCTGCACTCGAATGAGAAGACCAAAGTTTCTTGGAGAGAAATCTTAAATCTTCACTCGACCAGAGTGGTTTCGACGACTGCCTTTCGCTTCTTAAGACACAAATGGAATAAAACTGCAGCAATTGCACGTTTGCACCGTGTCGTGCTCTGTGCACTGTTTGTTGGGAAGAATTGTTTCCGTCTTGATGTATTCGATGGTGCTCGAAGCTTCCACCATTTCTCGAAAATGTGGCCTTTTCTGAATTTTGGGGGAAAATCTAAGAAGAGGTACTTTTCTTAAATATCTAAAGATTTATTTATTAGTCCAGAATGAATGGTACGAATGGTATGGTATGAATACTCCGGAATGGTATGGTATGAATGGTCGGTATGAGGGGGGGGGGGAGGGGGTATGAATAGTCCGGAATGAATGGTATACATTCAACTGGGGCAATTGTGCGTGTTGAAATTTTGAGTGTATGCCTCCTGGTGCCTTATTATGTCCATGAATATTGCGGCATGCACACTATAGGCACTTTGAAAATCCGGGGCATGGCAAGTACCGACCATCTTTTTATCGCTCTACAGCCAATTAAATTGGAGCCTACAAGAATGCCGAAGAGCAAACCATCAAGATGAGAAGTCCTGCCCTGCATTTCTTAAACGGCAGCTCCAATCAATATGTTTTTAATTTAGGATTACGACTGTTTTCAGCTCAGTCAGTGTCCCTGAATTATGAGGTACAATTTTTTTCCGATATTGCATGTAGTTTTAGAAATATTGCGACTAAAAGTTTGGTTTCGGACGTCTACGACTAAACCAAAACTATCTGCTAAAGGGACGGCAACACCAATCATCAGCCATACGGTTGTGACACAATGTCCGAAGGGTGCTGTGATAAGCGGTACAACGTGTGGAATCAACCGCAGCTCTGCCGCGACGCGACATCACTGGGATGCGACGCGACATCACTGAAATCTGAATCAGGCCCGCCATATTTCCAGTCTGGTGTCCATACAGAAATGTGGGAACTGTGTTTTAGAGTGAAATAGATGTACATAGGGCGACTCCTCGAGACTTTCTTAGGGTCTCCAAGTTTTGTATTTTAATACGTTGTTATTATATTGTTGAATAAAAGTATGTTTACGACGGCAATGTGTGCAAAACGCTTTGTTCTTGATGCTCAACCCCTGTGAAGGGGTGCAAAAGTGCACATTCATGGGTTTGATAGGCGCTGAAGATGTGCAAGAGCGGGGATTCCGAAAACACCTTTGGAGACGTCGCACTCTGGGATAGAGGGACTTCAACGGTATTTTGAAAATGATTTTCTGCAACCTTCGTGCACCAAATGAAAAAAATATATATATGTTTTTGATATTCGAGATTTTGGAGGTCAAATGAAGACCATTTAAGTGCGTTTCCTCAAATACAAAACCGCTTCAGCTTCCCTTTAACTTTCGTGAGGACGACATAATGCTAGCGAAAATTGGTCTCTCGAATATATTTCCCCGAGGTAACGAATGTGTTGCATATTGCTCCAAATCACAAAATTTTGCATTTGCGAAATATTCCCGTCAACCTCTCAGAAATTCACGGTTCACCCACCAAAATGGTGGTTTACAGTAGGTTTTACCACTTCAGCTTCGTTTGCTGTAAACTTTTCTTAGATCTACGAAGCATTGGGGTGAAACTCAATATATTAACATGCGGCTCTTAACTTCTTGCCACAATGCTAACTCTACCTGTAAAACAAACAGTCTCGGTAAATTTGCACACATGAAATTTGTCGACTGCGACTCGACATTAACTTGCTTCTAGGCGTGTGCAAATATTAATTTTTTCGAATACGATTTGAATACGAATAGTTTAGCTTTGAATACTCGATAGTCAAAACCATTTGCAACTATTTTATTTTCAAATTAAAATGCCAGACCTTTCCTGCGAGAATAAAAAGGTATTTAGAGCTTACATCCTCTTTTCCAACAGAGGCTCGATAGGGTACACAAAGTCCGTCAGTCTTGGTTCAAAGGGTTCTCAAACCGGGCTCCACGAGCTGGTCTCGTGGGTTCCGCAAACACCCGAATAGCAGTGCCCCTACCCCCTAGTTGAAGCTTCCACAGACTGAGCCACGGATCAATTTGGTGTTGTGGGCAAAGCAACCTCACCCTTTGCACGAATATGTATATATATTTTTCATTGTGCCCCTGGTCAACAGCTTTGCCTTCTTATTCTGCCTGTATTACTCTATTTTGTCTTATACTGTCAGCGTAATAAGCCCTTGTTCACTACCTCAATGCTATTGCCCAGTATTATCGGTGGGAAGCAAGGGAGGGAGGGGGTTGAGGGGGTTGCTTTAGACTTTTTTATGCTTGCCGGGGTTCGCTACTAAAAAGTTTGAGAACCCCTGTGTTAGTTTGTTTCCTGGCATACCCAGCGATCTCTCTATGCTCCTTTCAACGCTAATAATAATTGGGTTGTGGGGATATTTGTACAGCGTGTAGTTGGTCTGCCATTAAAGTTGCGACGAGTCACACGCTGTAGGTGAGCAATTTAGCCAGTGCAGTACAACCGCTACCCTGGGGTCTTTAACGTGCACCACGCAGTAGTGATACACGACCGCACGCCGGTACGATGCTCATCCAGATCGAAACGGGCAGGGGTGGGGCTCAAACCCTGGATACCTGGGTTCTGCAGCGCGAGCTTTCGCTCCACGTGCGTCGAGCTGGGTGTGCGCTTCAGCCCACTCGGTCACCGATCCCCCCTTTCAACGCTGGATCTAGTTTAAGATGGTCGACGAGGGCTGTTGTGGTACCTCTTGCTGTCCGAAGTGTTGAATCGTGCCACGAATGCCGTCTCCCTTGCAAAACATTCCTAAATGGTGCTCCTCCCTCTTTCTTTTTGCGCCGTTGCCCCTTCATTCCTTTCCAGATGAATCCCCGCAGTTGTTTTCGTCCGCCATAATACGGGCGAGCAAGGCAACCCGACACCGGACGTGCAATTGTATAGCGGTAAAATCGGTTCAATCACGGCTTAAGGAGTCTGGATGAACTCTAGGGCCGTATATTGCCGCCATGCACGAATCCCAGACCGTCCAATCAGCGGTGCAATAGCGGTTTCGACGAGCTCTACTCGTCGAAACCAGAAGCGGAACTCGTAGGCGACAGATGAAAAGGTTCCGGGAAGCTCCTTGCTCCACTTTAGCAGAGCAAATGCTGGAGAGGAGGATGAGAATTTCAACTGAACAAAAAACGTTGTAATGCTCCCCAGGAATATTTTACGACAGTCATAAAATATCAATAAGCAGTAATTCAACTCTTGGACACCTATAGTTTTTGTTCCACGGCTCTACACATTTTTTTCTTTTTTTGCGTTGAATCCTGTCAATTTGTGATTTTCTTGAAAAACACAAATAAAAAAAAACAGCATCCTGAGAGATGCCCCAGCCCCAAAGATAACCTACACCTATTTTCAGCATAATTTGATTTTCTTTTTCAAAAACAGAGAAATAGTTTTCTTTTTTTAATAATTGTACAGTCCTGGCCATTGGTGACCTTGGCAGAAATGGTGTTACTTAGCCACGGCGGGCGATAAGTCAACATTGATGACCGGGACAGACAGTGGTCGGATTCACCGCCCCTCTCTGCAATTTCAAAATCTAAAACTAGCATCTTTTCATCTTTATTTCTCACACACTGAAAGTTGGCCCATTTCTTATTTTCACCCGATTTGCTTTTGGTTATAGGTGGGTTATCTCTCAGGATATTACAGTAATTGCCTATAGGTATCGTAGAACACAAATCGATTCAGATTTTAATTTTTTTTTTTTAAACATATTTTATTTTATGCAACGTCCCAGAAAGTTGGCCATGTCCCTCCCTGTTTTGCCGAAATAGGCTTTCCCCATTTTATCGAAATTTTGCAACTTTCTTAGTTTGGCCAAAACTCCCCAATTCTTTTCTGACTTCCATATTTGACCACCACTCTAGAGGTGTGTGAATATTGCTTTGAATCGAATTGAAAATTGAATCACACCGTCGTCCCTAGCTTCAACTCTAAAGAAATGATTATAATGCAATTAAATGCAAAGGTGCAAGCGAGCTGGACAAGACTGACGAAAATGATCCCTGAAGAGGGGGAACAAGAGGGACAAAGGACAAACACAAATCTCCAAACACAGCGAGGTGACTGGTGCGCGACCGAAAAAATCCGCCTGGTCCGGGTATCGAACCCGGGACCTCTCCATTACAGGTGGAGCGCTCTACCAACTGAGCTAACCAAGGGTTAGACGTCAGTAGAGCAAACGGGTTTTATCAACCGCCACCAGTCTAAACCAACAAGGGTGAAGCTTGCAATTTAATGTTATGATTATAATGCAATTAAATGCAAAGGTGCAAGCAAGCTGGACAAGACTGACGAAAATGATCCCTGAAGAGGGGGAACAAGAGGGACAAAGGACAAACACAAATCTCCAAACACAGCGAGGTGACTGGTGCGCGACCGAAAAAATCCGCCTGGTCCGGGTATCGAACCCGGGACCTCTCCATTACAGGTGGAGCGCTCTACCAACTGAGCTAACCAAGGGTTAGACGTCAGTAGAGCAAACGGGTTTTATCAACCGCCACCAGTCTAAACCAACAAGGGTGAAGTTTGCAATTTAAGGTTATGTGTTTGGAGATTTGTGTTTGTCCTTTGTCCCTCTTGTTCCCCCTCTCCAGGGATCATTTTCGTCATTCTAGTCCAGCTTGCTTGCACCTTTGCATTTAATTGCATTATAATCATAACATTAAATTGCAAGCTTCACCCTTGTTGGTTTAGACTGGTGGCGGTTGATAAAACCCGTTTGCTCTACTGATGTCTAACCCTTGGTTAGCTCAGTTGGTAGAGCGCTCCACCTGTAATGGAGAGGTCCCGGGTTCGATACCCGGACCAGGCGGATTTTTTCGGTCGCGCACCAGTCACCTCGCTGTGTTTGGAGATTTGTGTTTGTCCTTTGTCCCTCTTGTTCCCCCTCTCCAGGGATCATTTTCGTCTAAAGAAAATCAGTGTACTGTGGCTTTCCTTCGCAATTTGAAGGCTATGAGTGATACGGTGCCATTCAATTGTAACCACGATTTGTGCACCCCTACCAAATTCCTCAACTTTTCCATGTTTTCCTTATATTTTTTTACAAACTTTTGGAGTTTTCCCTATTTTACCAAAATCTTTTAAACTTTGCAGGCTTTCCTATCTTACTGAAATATGTACCTCGACTAATTGGAAAACCTATCACGTGCGCTTTGCAGCGACCTCACCGCCTGCTGCGCAAACCTGCAGCAGCATACATTTTGCACCTCACCTCCGAATTTTTTATTTTTTTGGCAGAGCAAGTGAAAACGACTGCCAGCACAGTGCAACAACGTTGCATGCAAGTCACGTATTGGCAGACACTGAAGCACGAATCTTGCGGCACCCCGCTAAATACAAAAGTAAAATCGAGCGTTTATTCTTAGTTTTGTGCGCATCAATCGACGCCAATCTTGTAACAGCCACACGTCCGACGGCGTCATGGCGTCTATGGCATCAAAAGATTGCGAGCTGCCTGTGGTTAAGGTATAAATAGACGATGCAAGGGACGTCCCACGCCACGGGCGGAACGTTTCGCCGGATCACTGTGACTTGGGTTTGGGCGTGTTGTCGATCGCCTTGAACATCATCCACGAAGAAAGGTTCCAGGCCCACTGCGGAGTGTGTTCGTACATCCAGTACTGTGGAAAGGAGGAAGAGAGGCAAGATGTAGTCCGGTCTTCCAACGTCCAAGAATGATCATTTTAGCACCGCGTCGATGTTTGGCCCTATGGTAACTGAGGAGTGTGTTCGCTTCACAATAATTGACACCGAAAGAATAAAACGTCTGTTTGGGACGGGCGATCAATCTTTCAAATGCAAGATTGATCGTCCGTTTCAAACGTGCGTTCGATTCTTTCGGCGTCAGTACGATATCTCAATGGCGACGCGAGCATTACTCTCTCCAAGTACAATTTCGTAAGCAAAAATAACGACTCCAACGCGGAAAGGCAAATTCGACTGAATTAGTTCGGTCTATTTATTTCCAAGTCGCACCTCACGTCGGCTGAAACGGATCAACTTTTGAGCCTGCTCGTACGTCCCGCACATCGCTTTTAGCGAAAGCACAACTAGGTTTTAATGCTATTTGCGAGCGTAACTCGGATGTTTTTATCCGCCGTCGGGATTTCGTTTAACACTTGCGCAAATGACTGTTTTCCTTGGGAGCATGAGAATGCGTCACATCCCCTCGGTTATCTACTTCTCGTGTTTCTTGTTTTAGACATATTAATAACCTGTATACTGTTGTACTTTTATATGTATAATATTCCGCTTATGTTCCGCGCACCACTCGGTGTCTGTGAGGTTGTTTGTGACCCCAGGAAAATAAAGATGATGATTAATATTATCATTCTTATGATGATGCTGTGGCGGCCACTCGCCTGTATCCCGTGGGTCCAGAAGCCCGTGGTGCGCTTGGAGACGCCGATGGTCTGGAGGGAGCTGCGCACGAAGGTCTGGGCGTCCGGCACCACCAGGCTGGGCGTGCTGAGGAAGTTGCTGAAGCGCACCAGCTTGGTCGAGATGTACGAGGGGATCAGGCTCTGCACTATGATGCCCTTGCTCTTGTACTCGTAGTCCAGGGCCATGGAGAACCAGTCCACAAACACCTGCACGATGACGCATTTATTAAGGGCAAAACCTTGCATGTCCCACCGTTCAGTCGACTTTCAAAGTCCTCTGGGAAAAGGTACCAAAATGTTTACGCGACCACTCAGTGGATGACTATGCGAACTAACAAGATGATTTAGCACATTGAAAAGGATGACTCAGCACATTAAGAGGGATGGCTCAGCGAAAAAATCATGTGTCTGTTTTTGATGCATCCATGCCTGGGCTTTTGCCTTCAAGATGTCCTAGGGATAACATAAGGAGACTGTGTGAATTTTTTTTATTTTTCCCCGAGGCCCAAAGGCATTACGGAGAGGAGTGGGGCAATGTAGAATAAAAATTGAAAGTAAGAAGATTGGCAGCAACCTTCATCTCCAAAGTCCTATGATGTGTGAAATGCAGTATTTAAGATGCGGTCATTTAAAATTATTTAGAAGGCGCTAAACCGTCATTTGGGGAATTAAAAACCCTCATTTTTAGTGGCAAAACTAAATGCCGCGTAGGTCTCGCGACGTCGGGTCACGGGACACGAAATTTCCCGTTCAATCTAGCAGGGAAACTGAATTGGTATATAGATTGTGCGATGTATACCTGCATATGACATACAATCGGCGTACAGAACATGTGACCTTATGTCACGTGTCCTACGGGCTAATTCAGTTTCCCCGCTAAATTTGGTGGGAAATGCACGAACGGAGGGACGGCCAAAATTTTGGGATTGGAGGGGGGTTCTGTTAAAAAGCACTTAGGCCTCAAAACGCCGAAAAGGCAAGAATAGAAGATTACAACGAAACTCATCGTTTAACAAGTTAGTAATCACAATGCTAAAATTAGCCACGTAGGTGATTGTAACCACAACTGCAAAAATACGGTTCCAACCAATGGAGGTCTGGGGCAAGAAAAAGGCATTAAAAACAGATGCCCCAAAAAGGGGGATCCTTGAGCTCGGTCGACGATCGGTGCGCGTTGGCACGTAAAGCGGTTCCGAAAACGGCGCTCGTCGACGTGTTGGGTTAGAGCGACAATCTCGTGAAACGGGCACTCACGGCGGAAGTCGGGGAGCATACGCTCGAGACATTGGAAGGACATTGTTCCCACCGAGCGAGGCAAAGCTCAAACTTTTCTACCGGAAGAACGCCCATCTCTCTCGATCGATGGCAGAGGAACCCGTCCCAAACTCGGCAGTGCAGAAGCGTACGAACCTCGGAAACAATAATGCACGCAGCGAGAAGCATTTAGCTCGTAACTATCCGTCGGTGGGTGGCTTAGATCTACTAAACCAACCTCGAACTGGAGAAACACTTTAATTTGAGGCAGGTCGCTAGGAACCCAGTTTGGAAACACACGCGTTGAGGGACAAAGCCGTCCGGTCCGAGGGGACGAAATGGAGCATTCGGGAAAGGGAATGGAACCTCATAGATGCACTAACTACATCAGTCACAGGAGGTTCGGCGAATGTTTGCTTTATAAACGAAGGATAAAAGAGGATGGGACGAGGCATGGATAAGAACGTTTTCCTTCGTGCTTTGTCATTTCCGCCTTTATTCCATCAAAATTTAACTCCGCCATTTCACAGGCCGAACTGCGACGCGGGAACGCACCTTGGAGGCGGAGTAGACGGCCATGAGGGGCAGGGGGTAGAAGGAAGAGATGGACGAGATGTTCACGATGACCCCCTTTTTCCTGCGACAGAAAAGAAAGGACACGCTGCAGACAAATCTCTCCCGAAGGCCAAAGACACAGAAAACCGTTCGCCATATTTTAAGGTCTTAGTAATAAACGAAATGTGTGCATCTAGTCGTCCCTGCAGTATGCAAGGAGTACTGTATTTCACGCAATACAGTCCGCATTCGCTGTATATTCTGCAGAAGCTTGGTTGAAAAAAGCTTCTCTTCAGGCCTCCACTTGGTGCTCACACCGCACCTGGTGCCTATACTCGGCGTCGACTAATTTATGTTACGTTGGGAGGCTAGCGTGGCTTCTGCAGTGCTTCAACTCTGTGAAAGTGCGCGAGCAAGACACAAAACGAAGCCACATACTCAGCAGTGTGGGGCTGCAGCACTGTGCAGGCTAGACTAGCCTTGAAAATGTAGCAGCAAATAGTTGACGTCAAGTATAGTCGGCAATTAAGAAATTTCAATGCGCGGCACATTTAGACCAACGCCTCCTTTATTAGCTTGCAAAGAAGCTTGTATCACGCATAAATCATCAACATACTGTCGTTCACAAAAACCATCACTCCTCGTACAATCTCAACAAAAAAAATAATAATCTTTGCTTAGTCCGGACCACCTACAATATCCACTTTTCAGGGTGTATAGTTCGTCAGACAATAGTTTAAAAGATACGGCACATCGGTGCAGCCTCTGAATGGACACCAACGACTGACGAGATATATTTAATATCCAGAGCAGGACATGAAATGGCCGGTGCTGGGACCCGATTGGTTTCTGGGTGGATTGCATCTTTGCTCCTTTTCGTATAGTGCAATGACTGGCTCTCTATGCAGTGGGTGAAGCATAAGAAAGCACAACCTGAATTGGAACAGCGAACATTAAGGCTCCATAGGGTCACTGTCTTGCCGCTGATTTTATGTTGCAGCTGACTCCAAGGGCCCTAATCTACACGGCGGGACCGGGGGCACTGGGACATTACCGATTGCTGGTCGGCGGTCAAAAGTTGGCAAATCCGAGCAGGCAACGATATCCCGGTCGCGCTTGGTCCCGCCATGTAGATTAAGGACCCAGATCTCAGTCGCGCAAGCTTTGTCCCCCCGAAACATTTCCAAGCGTGACCTTTGGCCAATCTATGAAATATTGAGCCCGCACATGGGCTGCCGTGTATGCTATGTTCGGCATTACCCGCAAACAAAACCATTTCAACAACCAGTAGAGCCGCAACAATGTTCTTAGATCTATCAGCTGACAAGCTCCGTGGAAGAATGCCATTCAAAAACGGTTCTTCTCCATAGCACGCATACAAGCAGGTATGGGCAGATAGCGATCCTAGCGCCACCGCTTCCATGGACGATGGAAAAGGACCGTTTCTGAATGACATTTTTCTTGCACAATTCTTATGTTCACCGTAAAAACTGCAATAAGATCACTTTCTGCCACAGGCAATGTGCATAGGCCACAGCGATAGCGTAGCGAGCGCTGCAGAGCAGATGCGCCACAAAAAGGCACCAGGCAGTCTAGGAAGCTGGTCAACCGACTTTGATCTAGAAACGCTAGAACTGCGGCGCACCTTCTGCGCACTCCTTTTGACAAAGGCTTAGCAGCGCGGTATGCACCAGCTCAAGTTTACAAAGAAACCGGAGTGCCCCTAGCAGCACGCCGCCGGCATTGCCCATGCGCGATGGGGTGTGGGCAAGGGGCACCGCATACCGCATCAACGAACCATTAGAATCTCATGTTGTCGGCGTCGGTGTGAGTTGCCATGGTCTTTTTCGCGTTGGAATTGTTGACTCTACACCATTCTAGCAATGTCTTACTGCTTCAGGGGCCCGAGCAAAATTACCAAGGCTCGTTACACAGCAAAACTTTGTGTAACTGATGTAACGTACGGCGATTCATTCCGCTTAACGCCGCGGAATGGACAATGAAGCCCGATTCCCACGACGAGATTCTACTCGCTATTTCCAGTCCCCAAGTCACTCAGACTGCAAAAGCGTGGACGGTAGCTGCGATGCTCGACAATCATACTGAAAATTGCAAGCAGAATTGGACCGGGTGAATCGGGCATAACGAGTCGGCGATGGCCACTGGCAACCATGATCAACATTTCCTTGTATCTACTGTTTACACCGGGCCTACTTAACCCGAACAACCTTCAAACTTAAAAGTCTCTTGAGGCCTGCACTTACGGTACTTTTTATTGCAACGTTTGATCTACTGGCTGACGTCGTTCGAACGAGCGGGCGGCCGTTTGAACACGAAGACGCACTGAACGTGGTCCGTGGCTGGTCTGGACAACTTGACGGTTTTCCCGCGTTCATGTTGGAACAAAACAAATACACCTGACGAACAGAGGTGTCCGTGAATTCAACCCAGAGTGCTTCCCGCTATAAGCAATCGTGATCCTAGTGTCTGGTTTTCCCTTTCCACAGCACCTATCCACGTTCTCGTAAAAACCGAGCAGGCAGAAAACGCACGAAAACCAATCTTCACACCTTTCCGAGCTCTTCTCACACAGCCCCGATCACGGCATCTTGATGGGAAGGCAGGTTTTAGTCTGGTTTCTTCCAAAACAACGCAGGAATACCCGTCCCGCATGACGACTTCAATCGACACCCCTAAACCGAAAGTGCGCTCGTAGCACCACCACCCCGACATGACGTAACAGTTGACTTGGTGTATAGGGACACTGCCCCGTATCTAAGATTTCGCTCGCGCCCGATTGTTGGTACTTTGCTCGACGTGGCAGATGCCCTCTGTTGCTTTGGCTGGTAAGCCCCCAAGATTTAGTTTATTGGTGCTACTCATTAACCAAACATCAGACAGAATGACACTGTGAGGTATCTGATGAATGACCCTTGTGGATGGCAAGGAGGCAGACGCAGGCGTTACGGTGCGACCCACTTACAATGATACCACGTATAACGATGTAGCACTTATAACGATCAGTTTCTAGAGTTTCTAGACTGGAAATGATCAGCTTCTAGTCCAGATACAACGATAATCGGTTACAACGATTAAAATTTCCGGTTTTCTCATTATCGTTATAAGTGGGTTGCACCGTGTGTTGTGTGCGATAGCTTGAGCGATCAAACCACTTGACAAAACTACAATGCGCTCATTCCTACCCCTCACCAATGTTACGCCGAAGGCAGTTTTTTTTTTTTTTTTTATACGTTAGAAATTAGGTTGATTGATTTTAATTCGTTCAATGTTTTTTTTTTTGGAAAGATGGGACAATAGTCTGGTTCTCTTTTTTAGCGGAAGTCGGACATTTATAATAAAATTAATAGGACGAACTCGAGCCTATAAATTTCCGGTTCCTTTTCTCGGAAGTCGAGACCAAAATCCAGTTTCCCATTTTCTAAATCGGGGGTTCAGATTCTCCGCGACCTGGCAAAACCCCCGAATAGGTTAGTGCTTGTGTTATCTTTCAGACTTTCTTTTTGTGCAAACAAACTTCTTTGTCAGCAAAACAAAGTTTCATTTTGTTATCTCCATCGTTGAACCTTTTGCATGCACGTTCTTCCATTTTGGGGCCACAGAAATTGGGGAGGAAATAAGTAAACAAAGCGAAGAGCCTTTCCTTCCTTCGTTTTAGTTTGTCACGGACGTCCTCCAACCGTAAGGTCAGTGGCCGCATAATTCAAGTAGGATGAATGTTCATGGATCGCAGAGGTAATTGCAGGGGTAGGTGATCACTCACTTTTTTTTTTTTTTTTTAATCGATATTTTTTTGAAAAGTGGAGTGGGCAATGACTCGGAATATTACGGTAGTACTCAAAATGAGTTTAGCAAATTAATACTGAATACAATAATTTGAGGGGTAAAGTGCTTTTGTGACTGGCGCGCTCCATCCAGGCACTTTATTGCTCACTTTGCTGCTCATTTATGCTAAATCAAAAGCACAGTGAGGCACCTTATTTTTCATTCCTTTCCTCGCCTCACCCAATTATATCCAGACACTTTGGAAAAATTTCTTTCTTAGTTCAGCATTCCTTACACATGGCCAATCCACATACCGTAAAATACCAAGAAAGCACCCACCCCACTTTCACTGATAACTGAATTAATCTAGACATGGACACTTGTCCGCTTAAATCGGGTGCTTAACATATAATTTGCACAATTACCAAGTTTTGGAAACATTAATCGTCAGCTCTTGAGCAAAGTTGGCGCTTCCGCAGTATTTTACGGCAAGTTATTCTATGCACAGATCTCCCCCAGCGAAACCCTGCGTGGAACGCCAACGGGTGTTTGCCGGATCGTCACTCAAAAGCTGCTCTCACTTCACCGACCGGCAGAAGTATCTGGTACGGGCAGCTCACCTTTCAACCATCTGTGGAAGCACCAGGTAGGTCATCATCATGACGGCCATCATGTTGATGTTCACACTCTCCACCAGTTTCTGGGAAGGAAAGCAAGTGCACGAATGGCGCACACCAATTTTTCCAAATTTCTACAATAGTGGGCGAAATTAACCGTAGAGACATTCGGGACTTATTCGGCCAAAAGCACCGATGGCAATTTATAAGTCAAATTAAGTCAAATGTGGGGGTTTTACGTGCCAAACCTACGACGAGCATCTGGCACGCCCCAGCGGAAGACTGAGGATTAATTTCGACCACCTGGGGATCTTTTGACGTGCAACCGAAAGCTCGGTTACACGGCGCCTTCTCCGCAATAAGCCTCCGTCATATTGCAGGCACCTCGGTCGGGATTCGAACCCGCCACCTGGGGATTTAATGGAAATTTATAAATGGTTTTACAAGCACTGCATAGGTGTGCCATGCTGGGATGTCCACCATGCTTATCGGCTCGACACGTGGGTCTGGGTAAAGCAAACAAGCAGAAACATGATGGTGCAGAGTTACGCCTCTTCTTATGTGGAATTCCCTCGGTGGATTTGGATCCGTCCAGAAGTACTCCATGTTTGCACCTTTAGTGGGGTAGATTCAAACGTGTGCTGCCTGCCCAAGAAGAAATCAACAAAAAAGTGCTCCAAAACTGCTCCAAGCCCGCCAAGGAAACTCCCCATTAGTTGCAGAAACCCTACAACCTGTACTAAGGCTGCAGCATAGAATAAAAGAAACAAAATCAACTAAATTTGATTTTTGGAAAAACCCTACCATACAGCTGTCACACACGGCACATACAGTAAACTTTCGTTAATTCAACCTCGGCGGAACCTTGAAATTCGGTTGAATTATCCGAATGATAGAATTAAAAAAAGGACAGAAAAACAGTTAATATTAAACTTCCTTTTATAGTCCAAGCTACTCACGGATGGTCTGTTGTCGTCTGCGCTTTAAACGCATGTCCAAAAGCATGCTCCAGAGAGCAGCGTAACTAAACGTCACGTCCCCAAACAATCGCGCACTACCAAAAAAAAAAAAAAAAAAAAAAAAAAAAACTTTTACGAGCCAACTTTGGCGTTGGGCAGCCAGACCGTCGGCAGCAGAAAAAAATATCCAAAAAAAGAAAAGGAGAATACGCGTTTTTCGGCGCGCAAGATGGACCGCACACAATGCTGCAGAAAAGTGCTTTGAGAGCGCATGCTGAGAAAGCTTTACAAGCCAACTGCAATACCCTGCAAACAACCAAACCGTCGACAAAAAAAAAAAATTGTGTTTTTTGGCACGCAAATGGACCACACACGATGCTACAGAGGGCTTTGAAAGCATGCGCCGCACTGTCTCCGCGCCTGACCACGTGCTATGTTCTCCGCGCTACTCCATGCCAGATTGGTTGCGCTGGCTCGTGTCACTCGCTACGGTCCATCTCAACGGCGTAGAGGAGCAGGCGCATATTTGCGCACGTTCGGCTTTGCAGCAAAGGGCCCGTGTTTCGCCGTACGTTTGCAGTTTTTCTGCCGTGGTGCCGTGCAATGAGAGCCCGCGCGCATTCGCTCGGGACGAATTTTCCGATGCGGAGTCTTCCAGAGTTTGAACTATTGAACGTTTCCTCCCATAGAAATGTATAGCCGCTCGCCCGGACTAATGAACACGACTGAATTAAGCGAAAAGTCTAATTAACTGAAGTCGAACTAACAAAAGTTTACTGTACCTAGGTTGTTGCAGGTCGAGTTCTGAAGTGGGCAGTTTTTAGGGTCTGTGTGCAACCATGCCTTAATAAATATTTTCACAAAAAAAAATTAGAAAAAAGGAGTTTTCACTAAAAATTATAATTTGTTTATTTACATGGATGAAAAGGAACAACTCCTTGCTCCTTGTGTTGAGCACACCTTCCTCGGAAAGGAAAGCATGCTTTCAAAGCACAATGTACTCAGTGTCAAAGTCATCATTGTCACTTCACCCAAACAAAGCTTTCCACCCCTTCCGAGCATCCATGATGCATAACAAGAACAGATACAGTCGAATCTCGTTAATTCAAACTCGAGGGGAACCGAAAATTTGTTTGAATAAAGCAAAGTTTGAATTACCGGGAGTTTCCTCCCATAGAGATGCATAGGATGGGGCCTGCATGTTAGTTTGAATTATCCAGAAGTTTGAATTAAGAGGGTTTGAATTAACGAGCTTCGACTATAGTTCCCACCTAAACAATTAAATTATGTCAGCAATCAGCAAATGAATCTAGACACGTTTATAACTGCGTTCGATAACTGGCAGCACCTATAACTGATAAAAATTTGCACGCGTTTAAAGGCGAGCTTTTTCTGCCTGAGAGTCCAGATTGAGGCACGTCCAAAGGTGCGCTCCACAGTTAAAGAGTTAAGAAAAGTGAGACAAGCCTCTCCACAAAGCTCTCCGCTTGCCATTATTGCCAAGTTCCTCCTCCCCAGCATCTCCTCTGCTAAAGTGGAAAGGTCTTCGTGAAAGAGCTTGTCCCACGATTCTCAACCTGTAACACACTACGTATTGGCAAGGAGATTTGAGTTACAGGGGGCGATTGGTCCAACTTGTTTTTCAGAGCTCTGTGTTTACCCAACACAAGACATATGGTTCTTTATGTCATCTTCCTCAATCGAGCGTGGGGCACAGACTGTGCTGCGTCATGAACTCGTGTTCAATTGGTGGTACTGATTGAACACAAGCACCAGTAGAACACTGACGTGGTGTTTGGCTACGTCAGCCCAGCGCTGCACCAGAAACACAGCTGCTATTAGCACGACGGTTCGACCTCCTCTCCAATTAATAACAGCTGCAGGAAAGCCTTTGTCTGTTAATGCCTGAAACCATGATGAAACCAGAAGAGTTTTAGGGGATCGTTTCTGGCCAACCCTTAGGCCCACTACTGTAATAAACTCCGAGGTTACTTTGGCTACCTGCAATATGTAGAAGATATGTTTCTTCCAATTATATTCCTCCCAATTTCACTATGTTAAATTTTTGCGTCGATCAGTGGCTCACAAAAACCCTGGAAAAAATCCCTCAAAGAAAAATTACTTCACACTAGTGGATTAAGATATGGTGTAAATTAGGTATTACTGCGTGTGGCGTTATTGACTACACAAACCGCTAAGAGATGGTGCCACCTCGCCATCGCATTGTGCTGCACACAGGCTTGGGCGTGGCTGTCAAGCAATGGTGACGTTGCATCATCTCCTGGCGGCTTGTGTAGTTAATACGCTACACTGCGTCTATGAATAAACTATAAGAATAAATAGCTCTAGCGATGCTCGTACCTAAGACTTTTTTAGAAATGCCACGAACCTTCTCCGGGACGTTCAGGAAGAGGCTGGGAGAGTCGTACATGACGCCTGCATTGTTGACTGCAAGACAGAGGTGACACAACTGCTGTCTTACTTAAAACCTTGAATTGAGCAAGTTTGTTTGCATAAAAAAGTGAAAGAAATACAGGGACAAAGAAAAGACCCCAATAACGCGGGAGGAAGTCGTCTAAAAAGATCACCGTCATGTGGTTTGTCTCCATCCCTGTATTTTTGGCACCTCTCAATGCCTGTGCTGTCTCACCAACAGCACACAGTTTGCAATCACTCGAATCGAAATCACCGCCAAAAATAAAAGCGCTAGAGAACAGAAAGAGAAAGGAGACACACCAAGCGCTACTTACTTAACTTCAATGCAAAAAGAAAGAAATATATCCTCATAATCACAGTAATGATGCAACGTATTCGAATTCTTTGCATGATAAGTGCAATGATGACACACCGATACCTTTTGTTTCACCGTCAAGCCCGATGCTAAAAGCCTCAAAAATCTTTCAGTTTTGTTTTTCACCATCAGGTCATTTGGCAGTAAACTCCAAGGTTTTATGTAAGCAGAAAAAAAAAAAAAACTGTAGGGATATTTTTAGGTTAGCAAAATAAAATGTATCAGTGCACCATCATTATGCTAATCACACAAAGAATTTAAATACATTGTGTCTTGCATCCTAACTCTGATTACAGGGTACAAATACCATATTTTCCGGACTAAGCATGTTTACAAGTTGAAATTGTAGGCTGTGCAGACCATTTACAGGTGCGGACCATGCAAGAATTTATTTCTTCGAGATCCTTATGAGACATGAAAAATTTTGTGAATGACAGATGTTAACAATGATTTCTGATGACAAGCTTTTTTTTGTGCATTAATTAAGCAGGCATCTTTCAAGGCGTGCTATGTATAACAATTTTTTATGCTCAGACTGTGCACTTAGTGAAGACTATCTAAGGAAAACCTTCATTTTTCAGCCAAAATTTGCCACTGCAAATTTTACAAAGGGTGTAAACTACAGTGCAGAGAATAAGGTATTTTCATTTTCCGCACAGTGCTCACCAACACTCTAGAGTGTCGTGTGACTTCGGTCCGCGTAAACACGGGCCTTCGACAGATGCGACTTATTGGTGCAGAGAGCTCATAGCTCTGATTTCGCCTCCAGTTGGATGAAAGAGCCACCAGAATGTAAAAACGGGCTCCGCCTTTCGGTATAGTCTCTGAAAAGCAATAATGTAATCTACGTCTGACCATTCTGCCCACCAATAAGTGCCAGTGTTCAAGACTGGCCTTTTCCACGGTTTCCTACGTGCAAGCATAGGTGTAGCAGATGCGACCGTCCGCCCATTCTGGTGGCGCCACCGTAAAGCTATTCGGGATCAGTAGCAGCGTGGCGCGGAGGGGAGCCCAGCGTTTCACCTGCAACGTTCCGTAACGGACCTTTTTCGACTAGCGAGCGCCATCTGAGGGGGGGGGGGGGGGGGGGGGGGGTTTCTGTGAACTACGAATGAAGGGCAGCCCAACGTCCCACCGACTTTCTTCCATCTTTCGGAAAACACTGCCATCATACTATTGTACCGGCTTCTGCTGCTTTTATGCCACATACATATTACTGACGCTGAAAAAAGAGTCACCAAAAAAGGCGAAACACACACGGAGATAAGTGCCGAATATGTCTGCCATGCGGGACGGTGCCATCAGAAAATGGCGGCAGCGGGAAGCCGAGGTCGGGAGAGAAAGTGAACGCATACACGGAGGCTAACTGCAAAAAGATTTGTTCTGTTCAACCTTCGTTCGCAACGACGACGCGGGCGTAATAGCTGGTTAAAGTCTTTTAGACGGACATCAAAAACTGTTCCCAGTTTGCAGATAGAGGGCGTTGAACCGCAGAAAATGCACGCTGAGCACCGGCCGCCGCTTTGTGCCGTTGAAGGGCGGTCCAGTTTGCACACCCGACGACGGCGCGAGTTACCAACTCAAAGTCCGACCCAAGCGGTAAGCGCAACTTTTATGAGCAAAAAACACTGGGCAATGGTTCACTATGTCCTATTCACCCTTGAGCCGATGGTGCAGTGGAAGCTATGTGCTCTTTAAACCAATCGTACGTCGACCGTTAGCCGTACTATCATGCTTTTGCCCATACCCACGTCCAGAGGAACAAAAGGGGGCAGACAGTTAGGCCGGCAAGCGCTTAGCTTTCATTACACTTTCTGTTTAGGGCTGGAGGGAGCGTACCTAGTACAGAAATTATGGCAAGACTTCACACGAAACTACCCAAAAAAATCAAGTATAAAAAAAAAAAAATTGTATAAATAAATTAATGAATTGAGTGCAATAAAACTTTTCCCCAAGGCGTCTTTAGGCGGCGCATTCATCGTACCCAAACATTACAAGTGTGCACGGAAAAAAATGTTAAGAACTGCCTGGCGGACGCTCCTACTCACAGATGGGACAACACAAAGCAAAAACTACAAAGCTTCTTTGAGATGAATACCCAAAAGCAGGTGCAGCAGATCCGAGTGTGTGTTGTGCCATTCGTGAATGGCAATGTCAACTCGACAGTTTCTGTCATTTCACTCCCCATGGATGGGAAAAAAACAAGCTTTTTTAAGCTCGGATTTTTCTCTGAAACCTATACTAATCAAATTTTAATAATATGATAAATGCACCACCTAGGACACCTTTACGAAAAGGTTTAATGTGCCTCATTCTTTGGATTATTCATAAAAAAAAAAAAGTTTACACCCAAATAGTTTTTAGAAACCCCGTAGCAAAAATGTTACGAGGGCAGAGGTCGGCCGAGTTTCTGAGCAAGAGGAATCGACATGAGAGGCGTTCTGCGAGCAAGTCCTTTGGCTATTGGAGAGCAGTCCCCCCCTCCCCAGATGTCAAGGTCTCTCACTCAGGATGCCGATCTCCTTGCCCTCGAGCTGCCTGCCAATCTCCGGATAGATGTGGCGCCCCTCGCTCAGGTCAGCCTGGATCACGTGGGTCCTCACCCTGAAGTCCACCTCTGCAGGGAGAGAGCCAAACTCGGGAGTTCCAGGTCGCACCAAACGTGCCACGGAAACATGCCCAAATGTACCGTCTGAAATCTGCTTTAGCATAAAGAAAGCCAAAACACGCGACCTCCATCTAAGGACCCAGTCAGGACACCGTCGTCGTTTCACTCCATCATCACACTGCCAGTGCCGTGTCAATGAAAATTAGAAGGTAGCGAATTCACTCTTAATATTTTACTCTTTACTCAGGTAAGCTCATTCTTTGAACTTTTGATACATAAAAATGCAGCACCTTCGGCCACCTCCGTACAAAATCTTTGCTCTGTACATACTTATGTGGGTTCCTTAAAGAGCCAACAATCCATTTGACTTGCGCTGCATAGCAACTATGGGGAGCTACACAACTGGATGAACCGTTTGCAGAAATATTGCTTCGAGAGTAAATTGATGTGGTACTTTCTATTTCTTCCTGGCCCAGCAGAGAGGGAAGATGGTTTCTTCGTATCAACTTCGGAACTGAAGACAACCCGCATGAGGACAAAAACAAAGTTTGGGGGAGCTGTTTCTAGGTCACAGCGGCTCAATGGGCAAACAGGAAGTAGCTGAGGTTTTGAGTGTCAAACAAGTGGGAGAGGCCTTCTGCATGCATTGTTTTCTAGGCACTTCTCAAACCCAGTTGCGTGCCTAGGTGGCAGCACATTTCTGGAAAAGGAAGAATTGATCTAACAACACTGTTGTTTTTAGACTATGATCATCTGATCACATGAAAAGTTAAAAGGGTACTCTGTCGGTTCTTATAGTGGTCCCCGATTTACTTTAAAATTATCTAAACACACCTACAAACATTGTTGAACTAGAAACCCAAATGTTAGGCCAAAATAACTTTTCTTCGCTAAGTTGTAAAATTTTCAAACATTACGCCAGCAGCAGGCAGTGCCGAAGAATTTGTTCCCAACTGATTACAAGAAGTCCGAAGGTGTCAAATTATTCCTTTGAAAGTTTGCGTCAGCTTTCACTCAACAGCACGAAACAAATAGAAGGCATACTCGTGTTTCTAGACTGGCGGCTCGACCCGCAAGCTTGCCTCGCCAGTGACGTCGCAGCACTGAAAAGCGCAGTACATTTGAAGAATAACTTCCCCAAATTCAGAGATACTAAATATCATTTTGAAAAGGGTAAATGGCGGGTATTCGGAACAAGTAGTTAGTTCAGACAGCTCAAGAAATCACCGGTGTCGTCATAATCTAATCCCCCCCGAACGGATCACTTGCCCAACTCCTGTGCAGTCGCCCGCAGCTTGTCCATGTTGCGGCTGATGAGGATGATGTTGAGCCCCCGCTTCGCAAGTTCCCTGGCATACTGCCGCCCAATGCCATCCGTGCCTCCCGTCACAACTGGCGGTACAAAAAAAAAAAAAAAAAGGAAAAAGGGCTCGTGTGACGATGTGACGGGATCGGCACGACTCGGTCACAGCAAAAGTCACTTCCAATCGCGATGCCTGGAGCGTACATCCCGCCGGTGTGTTTACCGCATCCAAAAAAGTGCTCCCTTCAATTCCACCCGATGACGTCGTAGAAGCGCCACGTTGTCGCCAGCCATAATCCTGGCGGTGTCGCAGCGGCAGATGTGGCAGGCACCCGTTCCGTTGCGGGTCGTCCTCCGGCTTGACTGTCCGCGGAACCTTCGGCGGCCTGGAGTTGGTACTCCGTGATGACGACGACGGTCGTATGAGCTCTCACTTTCAGCGGGACTTCTGGCGCCACCCGACGGCACGCCACGGTAGCTTTTGCGACGTCGTTCGTTGCCGTTCTGGGACTGCGTTTGATGCGCAGGCGGGCTGAAACGCACCGGCCGAAGCCACGTTCCAGGCACCGTACTTCCAACAGGTGTGCATCGTTTTTCAGCAAAATGCTGCGTAAACCATATGCGCAGCTCCGTAACTATTCTTAGTTTCATTTCAAGCCAGAGTGCAGCCGACAGCCAATGGGAGCAACCAAGCAGCATCAAGATGGCAAAGTTTGGCGATGAAACCGGCACTGGACTTTTTGCAGCAGGTTTTCTAGCGGGCAAAATGTCGGTATAGAGCAGCCACTGACCCTTTTGGGAGCAAAGACCAACATGTGTTAGCGCATCATTGAAAACGAAACAATGATTGCAGCACTAACAGCCTCTGATAATGATTAAGGTCTATGATATTGAAGCATATTACATACAGTCAAACCTCGATATATCGAACACGGATATATAGAATTATTGCCTATATCGAACGCTTTCTATATCATGCAGAAAATCGCATGCATTTTTTATTTTTTATTTCGAACGGGGTCAGGCATAAAATGGATATATCGAACTCCGCCACCCCAAACAGCCCGTGCTCTTTTGACAAGCGGCGAGCTTTCCCGCAACACCCTCGAAGATAGCGGTGGCGCAATGGGCGTTTCCGACTGCCTACACACACGCCGAGGGCGCCATTTGAACGTAGCAAAGCACGCACGCCGCTGCCTGGATAGTTCGTTGCAACGTCAACGACGCACTGCATTTGCCGCACCGACCCCTCCTCCTCGGTAATATCGGTAGTGCTACATGTATGATTGTAGTTCTTTGGTGTGTCGTGTTGCCTTGCGTGAGTGATGGCTCCAAACGCTAAAAAACGGACGTCCCTGACATTTGCTGCAAAACTGGAAGCTATCCAGCGGGTTGAGAATGGAGAAAAAAAAGTTGAGCGTCGCCGAAGCTTTAGGCCTACCAAGAAGCACTTTGAGTACTGAGGCTGTAACTGCTTTGGCCCTTCTACGCCGCTACTGCGGCGCAATAGAAGGCACGGGCCTATCGCTTGTTGATCGTTTAGACTATGTTGAGGACGCCTTAGTTAAACATGCCTTTGCCAACAAGAAGCAGGCTACCCTGCAGCACTACTTTCAGCCAAAATAAATACTTTGTTTGAAGCTTCAAGTCAGTATTTACTGCACCACGGTTCGTTCATGGATTGATTTGTACAGTGGGGTATTCTTTTTTTTCCTTATTTTAATTCAGCCTTCGAGTGCGAGATTTCCCAGCTCCCGCAAGCTGAGCGGCACGGCGGCGTGCCGTAGCAGACGACACGCGGCTGCTCCCGCCTCTGCGGTCGGTCGGCGAGCATGTGCCGCCTGTCAGCGCTTCGCGGAGCGCGACGGCCAAGCGCTTTTAACAAGTTTTTGACGCGTTTTTAATGTGGTTTAATATATTGAATTCTGGCCATATCGAACTATTTCGCCATCACCGCACAGTTCGATATATCGAGGTTCGACTGTATTGCCTTTTGTAACAATAATACATACAAGGAGTCATGAAAAGTACAAACTGCATGGACACCCAGCTTTCTTTTCTAGAAACAAGGCTCAGGCTAGAGTAGGCTTCATTTACAATGGGGATTAAGAAACAAACAGAAACGACTGAAAAACAAATCATAGCAAGGCACTCCAGTTGAGGTAGAGTGCATCTCCCACTCACTTGGTTTATGCAGTCTGTCAATATCATTCACGTAAAATTCCGGTAAAAAGATAGCACGTCCGCCAGAACATTTCCTCGGGCCCCAAAACGAAACACGTATCAAGAAGGGGGGGGGGGGGGGGGGGGGGTTATTGCATTGCGAGTCTTGAAAAGTTTAAATTTCGGTAAAAAATCACACCTTTTTATTAATTGGCATACACCGTGCGCATTTCTTTTTCTCGCAATTTGCACACTGTTTGGCTTGCACATATTCAATACATTTGGTTGGAATATTGCATTAGTATTAATGTATTTATTTGCACATACTATGTCCACAGTAGTGTTCACATATCGTATTCAAATTAACCTTCAGCATCTTCTCTGCCGAGCATATCTTGTTCCTTGATGAGAGAAAGCACCCTCTCACCGGCCTTTCATTTGACCGCATCTTTTACGCAATTCGGGGGAGCCGAAGCGGGACAAAACACTGTCCCACAAGCACCCTGGAGGGACATCGGGACCACGGCCGGAAAAGAGGGACCTGTCCTGCCTAAACCAGGGCGTCTGGTCACTTTAGGCATTGGAGCATAAGTTGAGTCAGAGTTTGGTGTCCTGTTTATCGGCTGGTGCACAGAAGCTACCTCGACTACCATATTTATTCATAGGTCTTTGTTTTTTGTTTCTTTTTCGTTTTTTGCGGGTGCTCTTTAACCTTCTGGGGTTACGTGACTTTTTGCCTTGGGCCGGAGTTATTTTGCACGAAAAACAATGCAATCACTTAGTGGGCGTTAAATGGAATTCTATCTTGGACTGTACGAGAAGAAGCTTCAAAATGTTGATCTTCTACGCCAGAATTCCCTTCACCGTTACTTGAATCACTAACATCCTACAAGGTGACTGTCATGACGCAAGGGTTGGAATACCCCGTCTTCAACTTCGCTCATTTAACGATGATGTTTATACACGGAATAAAGTGAATTGCGCGGCTAATTTCCCAACAAGTATGCCTTAGTCTAGAAGTTTTTGCGCGACATAAGGGACAATCCCAAGGGAGTATTTCACGAGATCAGGATCTTGGGTACAAGCAAAGATACTACAGCCAGAGAACTGATGGAAGCGTTTTATTTAAAGAAGAAACATGCCTGTGTAAGCGATACCTCGGTTTCTTTGTTTAAAAGTGAAGTCCAGTTCTTATCTGGGTTGCTAGTGTGATAACGACTATCGGGGAATGTGTTGTGATGTGTGACTTTTCTATCTTTTTTTTTTTCTTTTTTTGTTTCGTTCTTTTGCTTCTGTGTAGCGTGCTGTGCATGCTCTTTCTGGATGTTTGTGGTTGATTAGGCACGAATAAACTAGTTGAAAGTTGCGCTTGTCCATGTCTACTCCCTTGTGGTTGTCCCTTGTGTCGCGCAAAAACTTCTAGACTGCGTCATGAACCAACTAGGCCAACAAAAGTATGCCTTGGCTGGTGTGTCACTGTTCTCGAATTGATAACACACCGTCATCTTATATATCATGTGTAGTAGCTCCATTACACGAATGCGTAACATGGCCCCGAGCCGCGTTGCATAAGAGTAAAGCCCTGCATATCACCGGATTATCCACGGATATCTGCAGCAAACTGGTGGATGCTGATAAAAATTAGACGGATTTTGCCAGATTGCAGATCAGATGTGGATGTCAGGGGCTGTGGATGCGGATATCCACGGATCCGGATCTAAATTTTTGCCAGGTGGCATTCAGTCCGTCGACTGACGTTTCATCTACAGATTGTTTCGTCGATATGTGACGTTTCATCGAAAGGCTTCCCGTGTTCGTTCCATCGAAAAACCTGAGACGTTTCGTTGCACACAATCCTGCTATTTTTGTAACAAGCTATTTGCGTCTCGCCTGGATTACAGGGGGGAGGGGGACATGGTTTGGTTAAGCACGCCTTAGTGAATCGTGCGCTAGCTTTTAGCAGCTTAGTGAAGAAATACGTTGTCGACAAAACGTTGCAGGGGCATTTGCCCACAAAACGTACAGCTTCGACGAACCGTGTGTCCTTGAAATGTATGTCCGTGAAAAGTTGTCCACGAAACGAATTTCCACAAAACGCATTTCGAAGAAACGATAGGGATAATAAGAAATAACTGATTCTTACTGAAGATCGCTTCAGTTAGTGCATTTCACTTCGTCAAAAATGCTATGTATAGAAAAAGTAAAAGTAAAGAATGCAGGGCATCAATCGTGCCGAGAAAGCTAGTTCCTTGTCACGGAAAGAGCGAAAAACTTTCTCGGGCAAAGAAAACCTCAAACGGACAAGTCACAAGAAAGTAGAAGAAACTTCCCCCCCTCCGCAGAGAGTGGTGTGGTCATGATACCAAAACAAAAGAATGCTTGGACAGCGAGCACAACCCCGCAAAGGCTTGCGAAGTTTTGGAATCAGCAGCGCACGCCCATAGGCAGCCGTTAAATTGCGTTTCTTTTTTGTATGCTTAGAGTTCTAGCCAAGAAAGTTTGGTAGTTCATATTCGTCCGGTTATGACAACAGAGCGCCAGCAATGCCAGCGGCTGCCGCGCGCAACCTACGTAGCCGCCCCAAGCAACAGGCGCCTGAAGGCCGCGATCTTTCTCGAACAACACATTAGTCGATCCGATCGGGCCTTGGACTCTGACTTGGCGGCGCATCTGCCCGCTGGCTGACATGAAACACCGTGAGACTCGAGGCGGCCGCATACGCTCGGTAACATCACAGAAAGGATTTTGTCTTCCTACCACTGCTTCTCCTCCTCTTTATTTATTTATTTATTTATTTATACATACTGCAGCCCCACTGGGGCTATGGCAGGAGTGGGAGGTAAACACAGACGGTCCGGACATCACTGTGGACCACTGTCAACGGCACACAGAAATTCATCTGGTTGTTGTGATCGGATGTTTCCTGGTAATAAATTCCAGCGTTCAATGGTGTGAGGAAAAAAACTGTATTTAAACATATCAGTACGAGGATGAAAAGGTAAAATGTTTAATTCATGGTGGCTCCTAGTTGCAGTTGGCTCGAGAAACTTTATGTAGTTATGTAACGAGTCAAAACGTGATGAGTTAACCATGAAATACAGAGACTTTAGGCGCTCGATACCACGACGCTCAGAAAGAAGTCTTAGACCTAACACGGAAAGATTAGAAGAAGGAGAAAAGTTTCTGTCATACCGACGACAAATAAAACGTACCGATTTCTTTTGTACTGATTCGACCTTTTTTATATCGGACTCTTTGTAGGGAAACCAAATAATAGAACCATATTCGAGGATTGGGCGAATCAAAGTTTTATAAGTTAAAAGCTTAGTATCTTGTGGTGCCACACGTAAGGTACGCCGCAGGTATCCAAGTCTTTTAAGAGATTTGTTACATGTCGTATCAATGTGCTTAGACCAAGATAAATCAGGCGTAAAAAGGAGGCCAAGATATTTATATTCAAAAACTCTTTCTAGGCATAACCCGTCAAATGAATAATTAAACACAGAAGGTGATGAACGCCTAGAAAAGGTCATAAAAACCGTTTTACTAAAATTCAGGTTCATTTGCCAGGTTTTACACCACGTACAAAAATTCACGAAAGAATTGTTAAGAGTTATATGGTCATCTGAGGAGTTTATCACATGATATAGTACGCAGTCGTCAGCGTAAAGTCGGACCTTAGTGGAAATACAGCGTGGCAAATCATTGATATATAACAAGAAAAGTAGCGGTCCAAGAACTGACCCTTGTGGAACACCTGATGATACGTCAACTGTACTAGACTTGGATGAGTTAAAGTAGACAAACTGGGACCGTTGGGAAAGAAAACTGGATATCCAGTTCACAAGGTGATGATTATTTAGAATTAGGTTAAGCTTGTGTAGGAGTTTAGAATGAGGAACGGTGTCGAAAGCCTTTGACAAATCTATAAATATCGCATCAACTTGGTTACCGATGTCAAGAGACAGACCGATATCATGAACAAACTCTGTTAGTTGTGTCATAGTACTATAACCGCGTCGAAAACCATGTTGGAAATCGCATAAAATATTGTTAGTATCGAGAAACTCTATTACATGCCTGTAGACTATATGTTCCAATAATTTGCATGAATGTGACGTTATAGAAATTGGTCTATAGTTTGACAGTGATTGTGAGTTGCCAGATTTGTATACGGGAATAATTTTTGCGAGTTTCCATGATGAAGGAACTGTGGCCGTTGACAGTGATTTCTGAAAAATAACCGTGAGATACCGACTGCACCATTGGGAGTACCTGACAATAAATGAATTAGGAATGTCATCAGGACCAGGACTTTTTTTAGTGTCTAACTTCAAAATCAGGTTTAGTACGCCCCGAACGTTCACATCTATGTCGTCAACCGCAGACTGCGAAACATGAGTAAAAGGAGGAACTTCGAAATTATCAACTGTAAATACTGACTGAAAGTATGTATTAAACGCTGTAGCGATTGTCAGCGCGTCCATAGTAGTTACGTCGTTAATTATAAACGAGTTTGAAATTGTGCTGCCTGGTAAAATAGATTTCCAGAATTTTCGAGGGTTGCATTTTATTAAGTTTTGTAAGGTAACACGGAAATAGAAGTCCTTCGCGGAATTAGTTTTTAGTCGGAGTTCCTCCTTAGCTTGAATAAACTGAGCAGACTTTACTGGGTCAGCGCAACGTTTTCCACTCCGCAGTCTGCCGACCCGTCGCGATAAATGTAATAATTCTCTTGTTATCCAAGGTTTGACAATGTTACTTTTTTTAGTTTTGAGTGGCACAAATCGCTGGATACACGATTTAACCAAGTCTTCAAAAAATGTAATGAGTACATTCACGTCACTGGAGATACTAAGTTGTTCAAACACTTCAAAGGAATAGCTTAATGAGTCAATTATGGACACATCATCGGCACGGTTAAAATCAGGAAAAGTGTGGTAAACAAAACATGTTTTAGGGACAGGATAAGCAACAGAAACAAAGACTGCCCTGTGATCTGATATACCGTCAACGACTTCACATTCAAAATGGTTTTCTAGAAGAGGTATACTAAGAAATACCAAATCTAAAACTGACGACTCTCTCGTGCTCTCCTGAACAATCTGTTTTAGACCAAATGACAAAGAAAAGTTCACTAACTCTCTAGATATTTGAACGTCAGGACCAGATAGCGACAAAGACGACCACTGGATGCCAGGTAAATTGAAATCACCCATTAATATTAAATTGGAAGAAGACAGGTTATGCTCGTACATAAAGTCACATAAAGCATGTAACTGATCAATGGGAGAGCCGGGAGGGCGGTAGACAACGCCAACAACTAAAGATATATTATCCACATTAAGTTTGCACCACACTGATTCAATCTGGGGAGGACCCTGTATAACTGAAAATTTAATATTGGACTTTAAAAAGAGTGCGACGCCACCGCCACGCCCGTACTTTCTATCACCTCTAACCACGCAGAAACCAGAGGGTGTAATTTCGGTGTCGTATATGCCATCATGTAACCATGTTTCAGTGAAACATGGTTTCCATGTTTCTTTCCAAACTTTTTTTTTTTTATTATCTCTTTTTTCTTAGGCGTTCAGACTTCAGGGGAGAGTTAAGGGGCCACAGGTGAAAGTTTCCGATTCTGCGTGCGGTGAGGAAGAACGCGGTCGGAGTGATTTCCGCTGATTTTGCTAGTCTAAATGTAACCGTAACCTCAAGTGGTTAGCAAGAACATTGACATGGCTCCACATTTTGCGGATGCGGTTCGGATGCGGATACAAAGTCTGCGGATGCGGATCGGATACTCAAACTGGTATCCGCACAGAGCTCTACATAAGAGTAGGTTGAGCTAGTTGGGTCTGCACACAGGTATGAAAAAAGTACATAAAGAGGGACTCAAAAAAAAAAAAAAAAAAAAAAGACATGCTGTTGGAGTCTTTTCTTCGTCCCTGTCTCTTCTGCGCTTTTGAATACCTGTGAAACGCCGTTGCATACTTTGTTATAATTTGGACAATAATTAACAAATCACAAGACAGCATAGAAAAAAATTTTTGTCGTTCTTTTTGTCAACGTTTGAGTTTATAATTATAATGCAATTAAATTAGCTGTGTTTGGAGATTTATGTTTGTCCTTTGTCCCTCTTGTTCCCCTTCTCCAGGGGTTATTTTCGTCAATGTTTGAGTGACACTACGGAATGTCAAACGTTAAAGCATCGTATAAACAATTCTTTTTTTTTTTTTTTACATTTAACGAGTTTTTTGTGTCAGCACGAAATTTCGCGATACCACAAAGCCTCGAGATATCGTCCACAAATGTCATTCGATGCCTGCATGAAAACGCATGCACGCCACTTTTCCTCGCATTGTCTTAACCCCCGAAGAAAAAAAAAACACTCATTTCTCGCCGCGCTAAGCAAACGAGGAAGGAAGAGATAATTCCACGAAGCAAAAAAAATCGACAAAAAGTAAATCGGGGGCAACCAGGGAGGAGAGAGAACCTTGAAGTCGGTCAAGTTCGCGCGGCAGAACGACTCACCCGCCCATTCTCCGTAGCGCGTCAAGTCGTGCCAGCGGAACTGGGAAAGGATGTGGACCCTGAAGCCCTCGAGCAGCCGCACGGTCACCGCCGACGCTGTCTTGCCGACGTAGAAGAGCCCGACGATTGCGAGGATGCTCTCGACGCGTCTTAAGCGCTCCAAAAGGTCTTGAATCAGAAACAAACCTTGGTCCACGGCCGCCATCTTCAATTTGTCGTATGTCGATGGCGATGTCATCTTGCGGGAAGGTTTGAGCTCCGGTTTGTGCAAACTCACTTGTGATGTTGTTGTTTTTTGCGGCACGGTAAGTTGAATGAACCTATGAGTGATCTAAGTGGAAACAAAATGCGCTTTGGAAAGCGCCGCGACCGCGGAACTTTAGGTTTTGACTTTACGATAAGACGCGCTCGTCTGCTCCGAATGCTTCGTCTGCTCTTCTGAGCGTGCGCCCTACGACTGGCGGCGTACAGACGAAGCTCTTCTTACCGCCGCCGCACTCTCTTTCCTTCCTCAAAATCTACTGAAAACTTTTCTTTCTTTTCCCGCGAACGTATTTGAAGGAAACGAGGGGTGATTTTCTTTCTGTTTGTTCTTCTGTGTGGTCTGCTTTACATACCATTCTTTTGTTCAAAGGGGTGCCTGGAAAGCTTTTCTTCTCAAGGACTTCCTCGACACTTTTGTTTGCGGCAGAGCTTCACGGAGTGCGGTCTGCTTCATTGTTCAAGCGTTTAGAATATACTGAAATAGGGATCCCTCCTTCGTTGAGGTGCATAATTATAAAGTTAATAATACGTTTGAATTTTCTCTTTCATTGCGGGAGCGGGTAGCACTGCTTCCGCTGCACGAGCGTTCGAGCAGACAAAGCGCGGCCAACGCCAAACATTGATATAAATTAGGGTGGTGGCTGCCTCCTTCGTGATAGGTCTGTGGTCCTGTCTTCCGTACATCACCGTTGTAAGCAGTAGAGTACGTGTAAGGTTTCTGGGGTTTCTCTAACGTTGGGTTTTAAAAATGGCACTCTTCGAATTGCTTCAAATATCAATTGCACGTGACACGTGACTACCACTATTTTAACTAAACAGAAAATAACTGCCCGGTCACGTGCTCAGCGGAAGATCGTCTGCTTCTTGCACAGGGATTGCGATGGCCAAAACGCCAAACTCGAGTTTAACAAAAAAAAAAAAAATAATAATAATTATAATGGGCAGGCTTTGAAGCATCTGGCATTTAGGTCTACCCACTATCCTTTCAATATAAGCCAATCAGACCTCGGTGTCGTTCTGACGTCATGCAACTCTTGTGCGCGAAAGATAGACTTCCCTCTCTGCCAGTGTATAATTTAATTAAAAATTCCCTCAAGGTGGCGCGGGGCGCTCTAATTTTACTTCTTAATTAATTGTTATCGCATCATGTCAGGGCTCAAGTTGATGTAAACCAATCAAATCTAAATATGCCACTGACAAAACTGCGAGCTTATTCATATATTTATTTATTTGAAATACTATTGGTCCTACAACGACCAAGATAGGAGTGAATTTTGCACAACACAAAAAACAAAAAAATACACGCGCTCAAAATGCAGAAATTAATAAAAACACGTATTCAACACAACGATGAAATGACAACTCTAGGTACTGCTGTCAGAAATCTCTGAAACAAGGAAACTAAACTCTTCTCGAGATTCAGCGGTCACGACTTGCGCCGGTAGCTTAATTGTTCCATTCTCGCGCTGTTTGCAAAAAGAACGAATACCTAAAACAGTCCCGGGAAAACTTCTGCTCTTCCACATACCGAGCATGCTTGTTGCGGGTTATACATAACATGCTCTCCTTAATATACTGTTACTTGTTTACTAGAACCAAGTTATTCATTATGTTATAAGAAAGGTTAAGCCGCTTCTGCTTCCTCCGCACTTGAAGGAGGGGTACATTTGCCCTTTTATAAAGAGGTGACACAGACTAGTCCAGCCTTCTATAGCAAGAAAAAACAAAACGTAACGCACACCGTTGAACTTGCTCCAGGTTTGATATAAGATATTTAACATGCGGGTCCCAGACTTCACATGTGTATTCTAATAAAGGCCTTATTAGCATCTTGTATGCTGCGAGTTTTGTTTCTGAGGAAGCGAGTTTAAGAGAGCGCCTGATGTATCCTAGTCTTTTTATTAGCTTTTCTGATTATATTGCTAATGTGCGGTGTCCAACTTAGGTTTGAGGCTATTGTAATACCAAGGTACCTAAACTCTGACACTCGGCTTAATGCTTTTCCGTGCAGCATATACAGATATTCTAACAGCTGTCATTTATGAGTGATCGTCATACATACTGTCTTGTCTAAGTTTATCGAACATTTGCCACTTAACACACCATTCATTGATCTGAGACAAATATTCGTTTAGCATAATTTGATCATTAACCGACTTTACTTCAGTATAAAAATTAATAACACAATCGTCGGCAAATAATCTGGCTTTTACAGGTGAATCTTCAATAAGGTCATTAACAAAAACCAAAAACAGCAGGGGACCCAGGACAGAATCCTGTGGGGCACCCGAGTTCAGATCACATTCGTCCGAGCTAACCCCTTCAATACTTAAAAACTGCCGGTGATCATTTAGAAAGGCCTCAATCCACCGAACAATCTTATTATCTCCCAAGATGGAAATCAATTTAATTAAGAGTTTTCTATGATTCACTTTGTCGAATGCCGGCCTTCTTGAAGTCTAAAACTATGATGTCTGTTTGTCCCTTACGATCCGATACCTCACAAAAATAATGCATGATTTCTACTAGTTGCTGACCGTTGACAGCCCCTTACGGAAGCCGTGCTGGTACTGGCTGAGAACGTTATTCGATAAAAGAAATTGCCAGATATGTTTAGAAACATTATGCTCAAGAAATTTGCACGATGTAGATGTTAGCGCGATGGGCCTATAAATGCATACTGACTTAGCATTTCCACTTTTCAGAATTGGAATTATCTCACTGAGCTTCCAGTCATAGGGTACAGTGCTAGTCAAAATCAACTTTTTAAAAATTAAGTGTAGACACATTGCCGTCCATTCTGCATAGGAAAAGCGTAGAGCACAAAGTCTCTGCAGTATATTATTTTTTTTTTAAATTAAATTTAGCAAGTGAGATATGCTTCTCCCCAGAAGATCCAGCCACGTACCATCTGGACGATGGATCCACCTGGCACGCTTCCAAATTAACGTACACGACGCTTCAACCTTCATCAACCAGAGCATCCTGGCTTCGGGAGGACCTGTTGTCTCCCCACCCCCTCCCTTTCCTCTGCAGATATATGCCTTCAGTGGAAGCAAAATTCTCTAAACAAATATAGCCAAACTTACTTCAATCCCTTTGAGCACATCTTCTGGGCAGGGTGTCGCAGACTCGCAGGAGATCTCATAACTGCAATCATCTTTCCAGCAACACTAAGTGTCTCTAGAAGGATGATCGCAATACAACATTTTTAAATACAATAAAACAGAATACGGTCAAAAAATAAGACTTCTACCATATTGTCATCAAGAAATAAAATATTATCTTTCTTGATGACAAGTATTTAATTCCACTGATATTAATCCCACAAGCAATGTTTTGACAATGTTAGGCCTACAATAAGTAGACAGTGGCTCGCAGAGAAATTTTGTTTTTCTCAGTTATCTTTCAATCCAGGTAATGTTATGTTCTCAAACTTTCATGTTATATCGCAATCTCTAGCTTCACATTCTCACGGAGTTTGAGCTTTCTAGGATGCATAGTTTATTTATCTGCGGGTCGAATAACACGGTTCCCTTTTCACGGGAACTCCATGTACTGTTATTTCAAGTACATTGTGCCCGGTGTACTCACCACTTTACTTAAAGTACATCACCTCTCATTTACTTTGTAGTTCAAGTATTTTTTAGACATACTTTACCAACACCGATCCCATTCATAGCAAGTAATTATAAATGAGCCCATGCTCTTTTAATACGAGTCAGTATCCTATTAAAAGCAGTTGCCACTTAGATCATTGATTTCCCTTATAGATTTTTTTTTTGGAGGCATGCAGTTTAGAGAAGCTCGTTTTAGCGAACGCCGTTTTACCGACCTCGGTTTATTAAATGCCTTTATAGAGAACCCAGTTTAGAGAAAATGGCGATGAGCCTCCTTTTAGCGAATTCGGTTGCTGCGAAGCGGGGTGTACGGGTAAATCAGGTGACTTAACATTTATGTAATGAGCCGTCGCAGACTGCCGCCACGAAGCGGTGGGAGCACAGCGGGGCACTGCGCACGAGTGATACACGCAAGAAGTAGGAAAGCATTTTTTTAAAAAGCGTCCCCTTTTCGATAAACGGCAATTCTCTAAACTGAGGCTCTGCTCCCTAGACCGTGCTTCGATAAAACCTGCCCATTCTCTAAAACGTGCTTCCATGAAATGGCATATTCTATCAACCGTAGTAAACCCTTTATTTTTTACTTGTCAGTTCAAAGTTTGCACAATGCGGAGAGCAAGTCGTCTGCTTTTTGCGCAGGAGTTGAGGTGACATCAGAACGACGACGAGCTCCGATTGGCTTTGATTGATAGTGGGCAGACCTCAATGCTTGATGACTTGAGGTCTACCCACTATTCCTTTCAATCAACCAATAAGAGGTTGGCGTTCTGACTTCATCGCAACCCCTGTGCAAGAAGCAGACGAACTTGCGCCCCACATAGATTGAATGTGCACGTGAGCGAGAGCTTCCTACCCTGCAGTTACCTACAGTGCACAAGGGTCTAGGGGAGAGAACTTTCCGAAATTGAGACGTTTTCCTATCTCAGTCTAGGGTTTATCATCACGTTCCAGGCAGCCTTTCAGTGGTTTAAATGATCTAACTTGTGGACAACCTGGGGATCCAAAGCATTGGCCCAGCTTACCTGCCTGCCAAATCGTCGATAGTCATTTTTGCCGCAAAGGGGGCCCTTGGCCCCCTTTGCGGTAAAAATGGTAAAAAAATGGTAATTTGCCAAGCGAGCAGCACTTCGTCGCGGATAAAAGGCCGTCACGGCGTATGCACGATGGCCTTTGGGGATTGCAGTGCGGGTGGCAACGAAATAAATGACTGTCTGTTGTTGAACCAGTGCGCTGCATCATTCTCCGAGACGGGTAGCAGCAAGGGAATTCCCACAAACTCTTCAAATTTGCTGGGTTCTTCAGAAAGAAAATAAGCCAGTATGTAACTCATTTTGCCCTACTTTGAGAGTTTTGTACTAACAAACAAGAGAACTGTAAGGAAAAAAGTGAAGAAATTGGAATCCACTTTGTTATTTTTATGCCTCATCATGCACTGCAAACTTCTTATCCCATCACTTCAGCATAGACAAACTGGCAACATGAGTGTTTGTGGCAATAGAGGCTCACTTCATTCAATTCTGTGTATCTACAATCATTTGCAAGTTTAGTAAGAAGCTGAAACACTAGTTAATTTTCAGTCATTTCCAAAAGGCTTTCTGCACGCCTTTGTTGGGAAAGCCCTTATGAAATGTTCAAGCAAAGATAACTTGGTCTACTTTATTATCACACTACTTCTTACAGTGACGAGACAAAAATACTCTCGGAAGCGTAAATTTTCAGTGCCGCGATAAATAGGACGAGAACCTCCATCTAGCAGGAAAAGTCGAGTAATGAACACAAACAAAAAATCCTGCTGGAATCTGTCCGTGGGAAGTAAACTATCTGTAAAGTCAACCAGGCCAGTACGACAGGTTATTGCCATAAATACAGATGAAGAAGAGCTACGAAGCTGCATACATCACAGAAAAAATAAGAGACCATCAACCCGTCTGACCCACAACGCACAAAAAGTTATGTGCGCTGAAACCCTTCTATTCAAAACCAAAAGAAAATGTTTTCAAACAAGAATCTTGTATCAACGACATCAATCCTCTTTATCCAACACTTGCAGCAAACTTTCCGACTAGACTCGGTATCTCACTCATATTAACCACTTCGGCGATCTTCAATACAGTTCTCTTAAAGACTAATTTGTCTTGAAGTGGTGTCCGACTCTACACCATTCCAGGCCAAACCACAAACCGAGGCAGCAATAACATTGCTGTCATCTTACATCAGCAAGCTAGCTGAACAGTCAGAAGCCCCAACTGCTCACAGTCATTGTCTTTCACTCACTAGAGACGGCTTTCAGCGGCTAACGTTGGCCAAACATGAAGATTCCACAGATGCCTGTGGAAGGGAACAGACTGCAAACAGTTTTTACGCCGAGTCAGTTGATCAGCATTACGATGACTCAAACCAAAGTTTGTGAGAAGCCGAAGATAGCCTTTTCCGACACACTGCCCATACTAAACGCTGCTCTCTTCCCTCGAAAAGTTCTGCAAGCAAATAAAGTCACTTTTTTCTATGCTCGGTGAACAGAACAGCCTTCATGCATGTTCTTTTCCTCTCGAGTCATTTGGTGGTACCTCGATCCAAAACGTAGGAAGGGCCTCAACCATTTTGAAGGACGGACAATTTAGAGATTCAGTGCTGCGTCCACTGTATCGACTTGAGGTCGATGCCTTCCTGAACCATCTCCCATAGCGGACTCATTTCCCGCAACTTCTTGACTTCGTCAATGCACTTCTTGGCGGTGTAGACGACCTCCTCCTCTGAAGTGAACCTCCCGATCCCAAACCGGATCGAAGAGTGGGCGAGATCTTCGTCTGCTCCGATGGCCCTCAGTACGTAAGAGGGCTCCAGGGAAGCGGATGTGCAGGCTGAGCCGGAGGACAGCGCCACGTCCTTCATTGCCATCAGCAAGCTCTCGCCCTCAACCGCCGAAAAGGACAGGTTGACACAACCGGGGTAAGTCCTCTGCGGATCTCCGTTGCGGACCACGTGGGTCAGTTCGCTGGTAATCAGCGAAACGAGGATGTCTGACAGCCTGGACACATGGCGGTGGTCGTACTCCATTTCCTTCGCCGCCACTTCGCACGCGGCTCCTAGGCCTACCGCCAGAGGCGTTGGGACAGTGCCGCTGCGAATCCCGCGCTCTTGCCCGCCTCCGCTCTGAATGGCTTCCACCCGAACGCGCGGCCTCCGCCTCAGGTAGAGGGCGCCCACCCCCTTGGGACCATAGATCTTGTGCCCGCTGATGGACATCAGATCAACCATCATCTCGTTGACGTCCACGGGGATCTTGCCGACCGCCTGGGCGGCGTCCGTGTGGAGAAACACCTTCTTCTTCCGGCAGGTGGCGCCGATCTCGGCGATCGGCTGCACCACGCCGATTTCGTTGTTCACCGTCATGACGGACACCAGAGAGGTGTCAGGTCTTATGGCGGCTTCGAGTTGGCCGAGGTCCACCAGGCCGTTGCGTTGGACCGGCAAGTAGGTGATGTCAAAGCCTTCGGCTTCCAACGCGCGGCACGAGTCCAAGACGCACTTGTGCTCCGTCTGCGTCGTGATGATGTGCTTCTTTTTCTCCGCGTAGAAGCGGCCCACCCCTTTCACCGAGATGTTATTGGACTCGGTGGCGCCGCTCGTGAAGATGATCTCCTTGGGCTGCGCGCCGATGATGTCCGCGACCTGGCGACGGGCCTTCTCGACCGCCGCTTCGCTCTCCCAGCCGTACGCGTGGGTCCGCGAGTGCGGGTTGCCGTAGTTATTGATGAGGTAGGGCAGCATCGCGTCGAGAACGCGCGGATCCATCGGCGTCGTCGCCTGCGCGTCCATGTAGAGCGGCCGCAAGAGGTTGTGGTCAGGCTCGTCAACGGGCTCTTCGAGACCGCCGAGGAGCTTGGACGGGATGGAACAGAGGAGCTTGCACTCGAGGCTTACTCTTTGCGGTTGTTGACGCCACCACGGGTGACGCAGGCTTCGGAAGAGGACCGACATGTTGCCCCGGCCGGTTTTGCGTCGTTGGTGATTACGGGCAGATCAACAAACTCGGCAGGACACCGAATCTGGCAGCGGCCATTGAAGCTGGCGACTGGAAGTGGAAGTCACGTACCGCAGCGTTGCCTCCGGTTGCCTCGTAAACAAGAAATTGTTAATATATAACCAAAGAACAGTATATTTAAATAAAAAACATTATAAGAAACTACGTGTGAAACAATTATGCTAAAAGGCTACTAAAAACATAATATACGTTGATTTGTTTTCTCAGTTTCGTTTTCGTAAAATTTGGCTTTTTAATTTGCTAAAAGATACAAACGTTCTCTTCCATAAAATGTATTCAATATTTTTTGTGACTAATTATATAAAATACATTTTATTTACACACAAAACATAATAAACAAAAACAACAATGCTGGAATATGTGTTTCCTAAAACCCACCCCTATTCTGAGTTCAAAGCAGGAGCAAACCCAGTCGTCACGTTAGAGGTTAGAAGCACCGGTAGGCTCTAGGCACCGCAGCTTGACCAGCCGGATCGCAGACGTGGGTCTTCTGCTCCTGGCAGCTCTTTGCTCCGTCTGCTCCGTTCACAACCGAAACCGTTGTGAAAGGAACAGTTGGCGGCAACGGCTGTGCGAGGTCTACATCTACACCGTCGGCACCAAGTTTAAAAAAAGACCGAAGATGGATGACGCGCACAGCAAGTACTCGTCCAGCTCTGCTACGTGGAAGACCCCCGACGCGGCCAGCTGGCGGCTTCGTCCCGATGTCTGAGGAGTCGGGGCCAGCATTTCGGACCTTAAACGGTGACTGTTCATCATGGTCGCGGCGCCCAGCACCAGTTCGGGAGAGATCTTCCGCGTCGTTCTGCTCTGCGTCCTGTGGTACGGCATCAGTTCGGGCAACAACGTGGTGGGAAAGGTGGTGCTCACCCACTTCCCTTTCCCGCTCACCGTCACCATGGTGCAGCTGTTCTCCATCACCGTGCTTTCGGGACCGGCGTTCGCGATCTGGGGCATCAGGCCTTACCTGGACCTTCCGTGGACTAAGTACATGACGTCCATCGTGCCGCTAGCCTGCGGCAAGTTTGTGAGTTCGCTCATGTCCCACGTCAGTCTCTGGAAGGTGCCCGTCTCGTATGCGCACACCGGTACGTACGATCACTTTCACTTATAAATTCGATTGTGGCAAACGTTGTGCATTACATCTGCCATGACAGTAACTTGTGAACTGGCACTCTTTTGCGTACGTTGTCTTCGACTGCTGTCTTCTTGTGACTTGTCATAACAGCACTTCTAGGGGGCAACTTCTGTCGTATATTGACGCTTTTGATTAAGGGATTGGGGAGCTCTTGTCATTTTGCAAGCGTAGTACAGTTGTGAACTTGTGCCATCTGCACCTGTAGCGCAGAAATTTTGACGGCTTTCTGAATTGTGACTTGTCATAAGAGCGCTACTGTCACCATGGCTAAGTGTTGGTAAATTTGGTTATAAGATATCGGGAACTCGCTTGTCCTTTTGCAAGTGTGGTACTTTGTGGACTGTTGGCACCTGCACACATAGTGCAGAAATTTTGACAGCTTTCAACTTGCAACTTGTCATAACCGGTCACCAGAGGAGAATTGGCGACCCCCTCGCCTGGGGAAGAGGCCACGGGAGTGATGTTTTTTTTAGGTTTTTTTTGCCCGATCCCCCAAAAGTCATCCTGGTGCACTATCCAACACTGCCTGGTGATAGTTAGGGGGAGAAAATTTGCTTAGAAGGTTGGGAGGAATCATACATTTTTCCTTTCAGCCTTAGGCTAGGTGGCGCAAGCTGCTGCCCGTTTCAAAGGGTATAGCCATTAACATCCATCCATCCATCCAGGTTTCACTTCTGGGAAGATAGCTTCTGGATCATATGCATACTTTGCACTGCTGTCACATCATCCATTTCGCACCACCACAGAAGAGAGTGAGGGGGCAGCTGCTTTTGTGCGAATTTTCAGTGGAGGGTTAATCTTCTATTCGCAACTTTCAGCGATGGTGGTATCGAGGTGTGAGAATCACGCTCCCTAGCTCCTGGATGATTCGCTTCACAATAAAGGTGCTTGCCTACACCTTCCTGACGTGAAAAAATAAAGTAAGGCTCTATTACTGCTCTTATTGAGTAAAACAAGAATAACTTACGCGTCGCAGACCCCGCCTTGTACTGCTGTCCTACGACGATCATCTAGATGACAGCCATTTTGATGAAAGCGAGCGCGCCCCCATAGGTCGTGAAAGTTGCGAATATTTTTCTAGAGGTGAGAATAGCTATGTTTGGGCATGTCGGGGACAAACAAAAGAGAGTCTTGGTGAGAGGGGAGTTGCCCCTTACCCTTGTCTCTGATGGTGGCTGCAGAGCTGACGAGATGAGGTTAGGTGTGAGAGTGAGGTTGCTGTTTGTGATGTCGAGGAGGAATGTCCTTTATCTAGGATCGCTCCAAATCTGTCGTTATTGCATTACTTAAAAAAAAAAAAAATCAATAAATTGTTTACTTTTTTTTTATGCTGTCATCTTGTATGTTTCTGCCAAAAACTATCAAATCTGACAATTGTTGGTATTTGTTTAAAGGGACACCGACATGGTATTTATGCTCGCCAAGGTTTTTATTTGTGCATGCCGTACGAGAGCCCAACTACCCAGAACAAAATTTGCGACTCGAAATTCGTTTTCTTTCTGCCCGAAAACTGCCCATCGAGAACTGGCCGTTTTGAGTCGCGCTCACTCTCTTCTCCGTGGTCGCGAGCCGTTTTCTATGGTTTAGACGCAACCACCAGAGATAATCTAAGTTGTGGGTCAGTGAAGGCACAAACTCAACACTAAAAATAGACTGAAAATAAGACCCATTTTTTGTGGCTTCTAAAAAGTTTCAAATACGTTGATTGAAAAAAAAAAAAAATAAATAAAAGAAAGCTGCACATCCACATTATTTTTAGTAACTTTCTCCTTCTCTATATTTCTTCCCCCTCCCCAGTTCGGTTTCGGGCAGTTGCGTTTTTTTACTTTATTAAAAATTTTAATACACGTGACGCTGTACCAAAATATTGACTGGGTAGTCTTCTGGCACCATAATGAATGACCTGGTAAAGAAAGGAATAACAATGTTTGGCGGGGTGTCAGTGTCCCTTTAATTGTCAGCCGCTGACAGCAAGGTCGACCTTATAGAGACGCATATACTTTAGGTGCATTTGTGTGCGGGTTGTAAGGGTGGGTGTTTCGAGGTCGTGTCGGCAATTGAGACCGCATTAATTCTGCTCCGATTCAGGCGGGCAAGAATGAATGTGCCACTCTTAGCAACGGGAGACTGAGAGAAGGTTTTCCTATGGGAAAAGTTTAGCTAGTTCTTTGTGACTAAAAAAGGGGAGGGAAGGACATTTTTCTTCTATCAATACGAGAAAAACTTGCGACATTTTCCGGAGCCCTCTGAAGGAAGAAATTCCCGCAGTGAAACACTGAAGCCACATACTAATTACTAAAATGAATCATTCTGCTTTTTCTTTTTTTGAACCGCTGTGCAATCTCACCGTAGATCAAGTGAAAAAAAAAATGGTCCAAATCGGTGTTTTCATGTTGGCTCAGTTGCAAAACGCGGATTCAGATAAGGGTTCCCTTTGCATATTGCTTCCAAAAGAGCAGATGTGTTGCAGAAAGATACCTCTGGATAGTGGTTTGGACAGTAACAGATAACTTTTAAAATCTTTTTTTTCACTGTTGGTGATATACATATATATACTACATATTTTAATTCCTTCCTTGCGTTGTGAGTAAATTATCACGCTGTGGTGCAGGTGAGTGCACTCAAAAGCATCTTACAAGTACACATACAATGCATTTATGTGTTCATAGATTTTTATGCAAGTAGTACATACGGACATATCAATCCAAAAAAAAAAATATACATATCCAACTCAAATTTTTTTTTTTTTTTTTACGTGAAAGCAGCGTAGTTAAGTGTCTGTTGTTTAACACTTCCCTCTCCTTCTTTTCTTCGCTAACGTGCAATGATGACGTAAAACTTAGTGGAGAAGTGACAAGGTGTGCACCCGCATCTTCATTATTAAAGAAAATAGAGCTTCTGAAACATAATCTTTTTGCCTATACAAACACATTGAAAATTCATTGTCTGAAGAAACTTGGAACGCATCGTCGCAGACACTGAGGCAATCCCAGGCACTCTTGACAACTTTCAGAGTCTGACGGCACAGTCCTCATCATTGCTAGTCCTCTGTTTTCGGTTTTACTTTGTAGATTTTGTTACAAAACTGTCCTGTCCAAATACTTAAAAAAAAAAAAAAACCTTTTTAAGGTTCACATTGTAGTTTATAAAATTTTCTTCTTCGTGTACCTTTGTGTCAAGAATTGTTTCCCACACTTGCGACTGCTTACGGCCAAGTGCATTATTACCCTTTGTTCAGGGGTGGATTCATCGGTCAGGCTTTCGGGGAAGGCAGTAGGCATTTATTTGTCTGGCAGGGGGGTTGGGGTCTGCCGAGAGGTGATGTCACAGGCAAAACTTTCTCCGGATCTATTTTATTGACCTATTATTCGCTAACTCACTGAAACAATATTAAAAAAAAAATTGGCAGCGACCTTTACTTTTGAAGTCTTATAATACCTGAAATGCATTATAGGAAATTGGTGTCTCACGTGACACATGTTTTCCCGCTAAATTTGGCGGGGAAACTGAATGGTTGCATAGTTTACATGACGTCGATTTCTCCCGCTAAATGTAGCGGGGAAACTGAATTGATGTTTTGGCCGCAAGACGTGAATTTTTCCGCTAAATTTGCTGGGTTGACGTATACGTCATGTGATGCCACTTCCCGCGCTAAATTTAACAGAAAATGCACGGATGAATGGACAAAATCTTGGGATTGGAGGTGGCGTTAAAAAGCATTTCATGTCTTTAAAGTTGACCTTGAGTGGCGGGAGGGGGAGGGGAGGAGGGGGCAGGCACCCACCCCACCTCCCCCTTAAATTCACACATGCTTGTGATATCTTGCGACAAGAGAACGTACTGGCATGCTGGAGCCATTCATGAGGAGGCCCTGGAACTGCATTTCACGAGAGCGAAGGTTTTGCAGTATTTGCGAGATGGAATGTACCGTAAAATACTGGGCAAACGCCCACTAAAACTTGAGAAATAATCGTGGAAAAATGGGGGATGGGCGCTTGTCTGGTCGTCAGTTTTACACTATGCATAAGTTCTCAGATCTTACAAATTAGGGAATGGGCGCGTAGTGATGCGCGTTGTTCTACGATACATACAGGGCATTTTTTTTTTTTTAATACAAATTTGTTTAAAAAAAGCTGTGAAAACTACACTTGTGCAGGTCATAGTATAGAGGGCTAATCGGGGACATAGTACAGAGGACTAATCGTAACAATTAGTCGGCTAATTGAGTAAAATTTGTTCATTAACTTTTTAATTAGTGCAAATGGACATATGGTTCCAATCAGAAACTTGCTGAGAGTCATCGAAAACCACTAAATGAATTATTTTTAGAAGGATATAACGCAGGGGCAGCATTTTACGACGTTCTGTAGAAACACTTCATTTGGACGCGTTTCGGTTTCTTATTGAAGCCCATCTCTGCGCCCGCAGTCCTGCTCACCAGTGGCTTTGACGCACAACACTCATACGCCCTACTTCCCTCCATCGTTCGAGGGAGGCGAGGGGGTAGCTTCGCGCCGCGACCACCAAGAGCAGAATTGCGGGCGCAAAGATGCGCCTTAATAAGAAACCGAAAACTAGAAACGCGTCCAAATTGAGCATTTTTCACAACGCCGTAAAATGCACTCCTGTCTCACATCTTCATAAATAGAGTTATTTAGAGGTTTTCGATGATGCTTACGAAGTTTCTAATTGGAACCATATGTCTATTGTAACTATATAAAAAGTTAATTAACAAGTTATACTTAATTAGCTGATTGTTACTATTACCACCCTATACTATGTCCCCCTGGCCATATGACTCACCTGCACAAACTGGGTGAGTGTAGCTTTTACGGAATATCTGAAACAAATCTGTAAAGCTTAAAAAACAAAACAGAAAAAAAACTATATTTATGGTGGTGTCAAAAGTTTTTTGAGTCAGTAGCGAACGAATGATGCACTGAAAAAATAGGAAATGTACAGGAATCGCGAGTGTTCCGCGGATCTTCAACAGGTTGTGACACTCTCGATCGTAAGCAGTCACAAGTGTGTGAAGCGGTTTTCGAGGTGTTACTCTTTGAACGTTTCTCGAACTGACGTGTTTAACAGCATTTAATGTTCACATCCTTTTCAGTGAAGGCAACCATGCCCCTCTTCACGGTGGTGCTGTCCCGCATCATTCTCAAGGAGAAGCACAGCTGCACCGTAAGTCAGAACTCGTTAATTCGCTTACCGGCGCAAATTCCGGGAAATAGGCTCGCGCAGCTGTCTTCACGAGTGAACAATAATCCCGTAGTGTTGGGGCAACAAATAGCAACTGGCTTTGAATTCTGAACGGATATGAAACATCCTGTTCTCCCAAAAATGGAGCAATCGTTTTTAATGAAGAAAACCTGCGTATCTACTATGGTAACAGAATGTGCAAATGGGCTAGTTGCTACATGATTACTACGTAAAAGTATAAAAAAAAAAAAAAAAGTAGGAACAATGGATTATGTGGGGAGGGCTGTGTTCATTTCTACTTTTTTGTCCAATTTTTCGGCACTTATCCATAGTATTTACTATGATGCCTGGAATGCTTCTCGGAGTGGTGTGTTTATCGCCTTCTAAAAAAGTGGTCCCTCGATTTCGCCTCGATTTCGCCTGTCATCATAGAAGTGTCATATTGTCATGCCGAAAATCTTGAGTCGGGCTGTTTGCAGTTCCTTTTCGTTTGCTGATGTCCTTTCATTCATTGCGGTGGGTAGACCTGATCGTGCCCTGTGAGAAAGTTGATCCACGGACTTGGCCCTTAGGAACGTTATGTTAGGTCAGAGCAGGTTGGCTATCTGAGGGTGTTGGACCGAGTTTCATCAACTCTCATTGATCATATTCTTACAAATATAGATACCGAAGCTGCTGGCATTTACAAATATAACATTGCTGATCATTACCCCTTATTCATACTTGTTCCAAAGATCAATAACGCTTCTGATAAACAACATCGTCAGCGAGCATGGAACATAAATTACAAACACTTTGGGATTTGATTTTACTACATTATTTAATTCAGATGTAAACATTGAATTTAGTAGGTTTGCAGATGTGACTAGGGATGCGATTAAAGATTCCTTAGATGAGTTGAAACAGCGTCGTTAGCTAGATCCGGTCTGCCCGTGGATTACTAAGTGCATTCTTAGCGCACTGAAAGAAAAAAACACTTGGCAGCAAAAGCTGAAGCAGCACAAACACAGCACTTTTTATCTCAGACAATATAGACATCATCGTCATTTCTTATCAGTGTCCCTGTCACTGATAAGAAAATGTAAAAATGAATACTACAGTAACCTTATCGCTAGTAACTGCCAGACTTGGAAGAAAATGTGGGAAGTCATCAACAGCGTCATAAAGCCAGGGTCAAAAACACAAACAACCCCAGACAAGATTGATAACAGCACCTTCGAAGGCTTTAATTGTTTCTTTACCAACATTGGACCGCAGCTTGCGAATGGCATTATTTCCAACACCATGCCAACGTTTCTATGGCGTGTCTTTATCTCGGTTACCTGTGTACTCGAGGAAGTAACACTTACAGAAATTTCATCCATTATTATAAATATGTCCATAAATAAATCACTTGGACGTGATAGAATTCCAATTAAAGTGCTAAAATTTATAATTGATATAGTGGGTATTCCACTGCAATATATGTTTAACCATTCTTTAATAACCGGAATGTATTTGGACTCAATGAAAATAGCAAATATGTGCCCAATATTTAAAGGTGGGAATGATGATGCTAACAAACCTGAAAATTACAGGCAATTATCAGTTCTAAATGGTATGAACACACAATTTGAAAAGCTTGTAGTAAAACATATAAATGCCTTCATAGACACATTTCAATTTATAACCCCGCTCGAACACGGTTTCTGACCTAATAAATGTACGCCAAGTGTTGTTATATCAGTTAGTCAAGCAATAAACGACTTACTTAACAAAACAACAACACTACTCTGCGTGTTTTCCTCGATATTAAAAAAGCTTTTGACACGGTCAATCATTTCATTCTTCTTAACAAATTGGAGAGATACGGGTTTAGGGGCTCATCATTAAGGCTTTCTCAAAAGCTATTCAACTTAATTCTCACTTTCAATATGTCTCCATGTCGAATTGTCAATCAAATATTAGGCCAATCACAACAGGGATTCTGCAGGGATCGGTGCTGTTTCCTGTCCTATTTTCATTATATGGCAATGATGTCTCACATTTACTTATTAATTCCCAAATAATAATGTATGCAGATGATACAGCCATTTACTACACAAATGATTCGTTGGATAACATTAATAGTGTAATCAATGAAGAACTGATTATTGTCTAGGATTGGTGCAGCTATGACAAGTTGATGCTGAATATAAAAAAAAACGAAGTATGTTATGTTCCAAATCTGGAACGTCCTATTGAGCGACCTTCGAAATTCGCATACTTTTAACAAAGCACTGAAGCACTATCTCCTCTTGTCTGCCTGGATCGTCTTTCATCCTCATCCTCGTTTCTTTGGTATTGGTAACTGAGATTAGCTTCTAATATCATAGAAACAAGATAAGGAGTACTTTTGTTGCTTTCTAATAACATATGCCTGTCGCTCTGTGTTATGATATTTTGTTAATGAGCCTAAACTAGCCTAGCGGCTATGGTCTCATGTGCTTTGTCCAATACTTTGTATGCATTTTTCGGTCAATAAAATTGAAATTGAATTGAATATAATTATTATCCTTATATTGAAGTGTTCCAAAACAACCCCAATTGCCTTTACATTAGTGCATACCTACACAAAAACGGTATAAGTTAGAAACAAAAATATACATGATCACATTCGGGGCGCACTAATACAAAAAAAAGTACAAAACACGAAGCAACAGTGCTTTAGTGAAAATCAGACGTATAGTTATTTGTCGCTACAAAGACAGCAAAGGCAGCATTAACAGTTGGGAGATTTCACCTCTGTCCAATCTGCAAGATCAGCCTTATTAAGACAATGAAGGCATTAAACAAATTGGGACAGGAGACGTGCTAGCTTGTACACTGCAGACGTGTCACTGGAACTTTGCTTTATTCTGCTGAGACGGCGTAAGGATGGGCGCTAAAGCTTGCTAGTTGGGTTAGTGACTTTCCACCGCACTACTGGACTATTTTTATGGCAGTTATTGCAACAAGAAAAGCTCTCTTGTTTATGCTCCCGATGTGTCTCTTGCTGTTCCTTTTTGTTTAGTGCATGCATTTTTTAGTAAGTCTGTAGAGTTTTCTCATCAAAATCTTTACCCAAGCACATTAAATTTAATGACAGAAAAGATAGGTAAGACAAGTTTGAACTTGAAAGAGTTGCTTTCTGGTGCCCAATTTAAATATAAAGATTTTTTTTCTTGTACCCTTTGTTAATACGATGGTTGCGCAGGGTTAGGATTATTTTTTAACGCTGGAAAGTTGATCTATGCAGCATGAAAATGGCGCCAGGTGTTTTGTTTTTAAATTTGTACTGACCTGGCATTTCTTTTCCTCTCTTAAACCGTGTAGAGAACACTCGCTAGAGTCATTTTGATTCATGGCAGTTTTTGTTTTCAACAGCTTGCACCTCTGATATTGGTATCACGTTGCACAGTTTGTCCATGTTGGCAGGCTATGTTTTTCAGCGCACGCGGCCGCGTTAGGATGTTGTAGGAATTCCTTTCCCCGTGTCGGAAATGCCTGCTTAGCATAAAAGTATGAAATTCTTTACAGTATACAAGGTGTTTCTTTTAGAGGGTCCCGATTTTTCTTAGAAGCGTAAAAGCTACACTAATGCAGTCTGTGCAGGTGAGTTAGTATACGGCCAAGGAAACATAATATAGGGGGCTAATTGCCAGACTAGGTTGGATAATTGACTCAAATTTGTGAATTAACTTTTAATGAGCGATTATAAACCTGGTTCCAATTAGAAAATTGCTGAGCATCGTTGAAAATTACTAAATCAGTTAATTTCTGGAAGGTTAAAAGCACGGGAGTGCGCTAAAGTTATTACTCCTTCAAAAGACCCAAAACTAGCAGAGCAAAAACGCGGATGTCAAGAGACGAGTGTGTTTTTGTGCGACAGCCTTGCACCTGTTGTAAGAGTGGTAACTTGAGTGCACCACCGCGCTGACTGACTGATTGTGTAGTTTTTAATGACATTCGGGAAGTTTCTAATTGAAACCATATGTTTATCTTTGCCAATTAGAAAGCTAATGAACAAGTTTTTAACAAGAAAAATAAGAATTGAAATTGAAACTCTGTATTAATTGAACACTGAAGTCGTACCAGAAGAGCAAACATTCAGATTTCTTTGTGTCACGCTTTCAGCTGATTGCACATGGAACGCATGTATAGCCGATGTCATTAGGGGGAGTTGGGTAAGCAATGGATTTCATCTTCGAAATTTGAAAAAGATAAACTCAATTTATAAAAGGGCTTGCCTTTGTGTGCCCAGTGTTGAACTATTCCTGCACCGTCTGGGACCCTTCCCAAAGAAACCACATTAAAAATCTAAAGAGATTACTAACAGTACGACCGTTATGCAAGTGTCATTGCTATGAAAAAAGAGCTAGGATTATATTCATTGGCTTTCCAATGAAAAAATTTATATTTGAAGTTTTTATATAGTATGTATCATAAGACCACCGGCATAAATAGTTTGTCTTACATTTTACCTCCTACTAGTTATATTTAACTACGTAAGGATTGTATTTACAAAATATGTGAGCTCCGTACCAGAATAGAATTGGGTAAGAGTTTTTTTTTTTGTTAAGATCGTTAAAGAATGGATTACTCTGCCTCATGAGATTGTGTGTGCGGCAAATGCCCAAACATTCTTTTTTATGCTTGTTTGCCCCATGCCATAGTGCCTAATGGTGCTGCAGGTACAAAAATGAATAATAAATAATTAAAAAATATGCCGCTATTTCTTTTTTTTTATCCACACATTAGCAAAGTACATTAGCTATTCAAAGTATGATTGTCCAGGTTCAAGGCTTGGATCAGAATTTTTATCACAGGACTGGCCATTTTGTTGCCCCATTAGGATGGTTGCGCCATAGCTGCGACACTGTTTCGAGGTATCTTTGAGTTTGTTCCTTATATTAAGTTTGCTTTTTCAAATTTATTCATCGCGTGATGTGGAATAACATAAAATTATTTTTACACGGTTCTAT